AAAGCTAGGCCACACCCCTCAAATGAGCTTCCATGAACTAGCATACACAACTGCAGTGGACACATCAAGATTCCTGTGAGTACACTCAGATTTGCTTTCTTTTCCTTATCATTTATAGATACTTTAGAATAACTTACTTTGTAGCTATGCTATGTGGTTAACTTTTGTACTGCGTAAGTGGTCGACAAAAAGCAATAACCAACAGAATATTAAATGAATGCAGGGTACAACAATGATTGTTGCAGTTGTTCTATATAATTTTAAACTGTTTTATTTAAATTGTGTAATTTCTACAAAAATTGCAGTCATTATATAATCTCGAAAATCATGATAATTGCATTCAGTTTCAACAGAATTATGGTAAATGTCCTCCTGATTATGATCAATATTTTATTTCACAGAAACTGAAATATCGAGTAAAAACGCCGAGCAGGCACAATATCGGGTCAATCGCAAGTTTCTTTCAGGTTTGTTTACAATTTTAAATTTTTTACATCCTAAAGCATTTAAAATTCAAACTCTCAGAGAAGAATCAGACTTCAGTAGAGTTTTACCCTGACGTGCTAAAACAACTCGACCCTGACCAGGACAACAACAAAAACTTTATTGGTCTCAAACAGTATACAGAAATATGGCCGAGGAGTACAGGCTGCCCCAAATAACTATAGGAGCTAAGGATCTGTGGATCTGTTAATAAACCATTATTATTATCATCATCATCATCATTATTATTATTATTATTATTTTTATTTTTATTATTATTATTATTATTATTATTATTATTAAGAAAAATGTCAGGCATACGTAGGTGATTTATCTATAATTATTTGGGTCAGATAGCACACACACACACCCAAACATAACACCCAAACACAAAACACAAGCGCGCGCGTGCGCACTGAACAGCAAAAGAAACAAAATAAAGGATGTGAAAGTAGAAAAACAACGGAAAGCAGAAGAATTATGGTGTTGAAATACTTTACAATTTTCAGTAGTTTTCAAGAAGAATTAGCTTGAGGTTTTTTTTAAAGCATAAGAGAGGAAGAAGCTTCACATAAATAATGCAAGTCCTGTGCAAGTTGAGGGGTGATGATGGCAAACAACTTGACAACATTTAGATCTTTAAATAAAGGACTTGAATGTTCATAAAGTGAAAGTAATTATTCTTAATAGAAATTATTCTTAAAACGGAAAAAACATTAAGGCAAAAATTTAAAATAAATCAGTAGGATACAGTTTTTATACAGTTATAAAAAACACCAAACCTCGATACCACCAAGGTCCGGAAGGCATTAGATCAAGTTTCTTTGTGGTTTGCGGCTTTTGATGAAACTCACTGCTCAGAATATTCTTAAATATTCTCTCAGAATATTCAATATTCAATATTCTCTTGAATATTCTCTCAGATTATTCCTAATAAGTTCTAATGGGAGCTAAAAGTTATCATGATGCTATAAAAGGCTGAGTTCTCATTGTATAACTTATTTTGACATGAGCTCTAGAGAAAGTATCGAGTAAGTCATTCAGGCTCATGAGCGAATGATTTCGTCCACCTGCGGCTAAAACTGGCTTTAATTTTGCAAATATTGTTGTGAAGATAGATAAAGATGTTTGGCCTCCAATAATGACCTCATGAATGGTTTGGCCCCACGATATATAACCAATGCCACGTTTTACTGTTTTCTACAACATGCAGAAGATGTATTACAATTTGGGGTTTACCAAACGAAAGCAAATAATAACCAATTGAAGGCCGGGTTTTAGGGATAAACGAAGCAACCGGGGGAAGTTCAATTTCAAGAATGTTTGGAATTAAATCGCCTGCTTAAACAAGAGTCAGCAGTTTGCATAGAACAGGGGCACCCAGAGTCTGGTTTCTCCTAAATACCTTAAAACTTGTATAAGGCTGTCAACACTGCTCATTTAAGCTTAACCATGCATTCTAAAATAGGCAGCTTTATTAACGTTTTTTCTGTACGGTTATCCCGGTCAAATTTAGCTTTTGGAATTTATTAGGGTTTCTCATTATTACGTTTTGGTTCCTGATCACTTAGCTATTGTTATTTATCGTTTACGAAAACTAGGGATTTTCTGATACCTCTTTCCGTGACTGTTCTCGAAACCAAAATTTAGGTGTTGTTTCCAGCAAACATGCTGGCCACATCTGGAAAGTGATATGTCAACTTCCGAAAATCGTATATAGGGAGTTGATAAAAACACTTCGAAACATATATAGATGAATGGAACAATCATCTAGAAATTTTTAGTCTTTCTCAAGCTATAGAAATTGCATGGCAATATTTTTTCTTTTCCAAAAGATGTTTTACAGAATACATTCGTTGGGAAAGAATCCTGCTGAATGCCTTTCAATTGTGGTCAATCATTTACTTCACAGAAACTGAAATATCGAGCAGAAAACACCAAGCAGGCCCATCGTTATCCGCCTCAAGATGACATGCTGCTTACCAACAATTACAATTAGATCTGAATTTCTCTATCTACATCCCCTAAAAACCATACTGCTCTTACGGAACTGCTCACGCCCTCCGCAGTTTAAACATAGTTTAAAAGCATGGTCCAATGTTCCTTCTAATTTAACCAGGACTGTAATATGGTGTGTGTGTTGACAAAATATGGACCTCATGGATAATAGTAGTATATTACATGGATAATAGGACATCAAACAACATCCAAAGTCAGGATGGTAATTCCACAATAATCTCAAAAAACTGGAAGAAACGACTCTTGCAGATATTTTGTCTTTATAAAAAGACTTCGTCAGGGCAACTGACCAAGTGGTTAGAACCGTTACAATATGTACACGCTACCTAAGGTTAGACGCTCCACGACGACGTCCAAAATTGAAGAGCGCGCGGTAACCCGGCATTACAGTGAAAAGAATATCTGTATTACAAGAAAGTCACGCAATAATAGTAGTAGATAATATTAGTATATCAATAAATTAACCCTTTTTTGCGGAAGAATCTCCTTAACTTACGGAGAAATGCAGTAACGCCGATGACGCCATAGCCTTTTGTCTTTATCTTATGAATAGAATGCGGAGGATTTTTATTAAGACCAGGTCGCGCGCCACTTTTAGTTGACTTTACCTGTTGGACAGGTTTTATAGTACTTTTTAGGTCTATAAAGGCCTCGTCACGTAATTATGCAAGTTCTATTTTCTGCCAGTGGATATATTTCCTGGTGGTGGATGAAAACAATAGAAATGTGGTGGTGGTGGTGGTGGGAAAGCAATAGACTTTTGTCACTCGGCGGCCATTTTGTCTCAGGAGATTTAAAAGCTTTGTTTATAAACGGCTAGCCTCGTAGAGAGAACGAGGCTAGCCGTGCATAAACAAAGCTTTTTAAATCTCCTGAGACAAAATGGCCGCCGCGTGACAAAGGTCTATTGTAATGTGGAAAAGAAAAATAGGGAGGAAAGTGAAAATTGTTTTTCGTGGTAGAAAGAGATATTTTGCCTTTTGTCCTCATTAAATTTGCACGATTTACGAGCCAAGAATCAATGAGCTGGGATTTGAACAACTTGTTGGACAATGAAAGCGGCAGCCAGTAGAACTTGCATAATTAAGTAACGACTAAGTGACAACATATACCAACCAATGAATAGTTTTCTTAGTTTTTCGTCAAGGAACAAAAAGTAGGGCCTCCATCGACCTAGAAATTACCAGAAAACCTGTCCAGCGGAATGAGTCACCTAAAATAGCGCATAACCTTATCTTAATGAAATTCCTCGGCGTTTTACTCATGGGATATAGACAAAGGGTTATGATGTTATCAGCGTCACTGCATTCCTCCGCAAGTGAATGAGATTTCTCCGCAAAAGCGGGTCCATTTCATTTCAACTATACCACTGATAATATTGTAGAGAGGAGACGTTAGCCTTTATTTTCTAACATAGGCACGTTTAACGTGCACGAGCTATTTTGAATGCTTCAGTGTAAACGTATCAACAATCTACTGTTTTAATCCTAAATTTAGACTATTTTTTGTGCGAAATTTGGTATCGTACGTTAAAGAAAAGGCGAAACGCTGGGCACAGCTGAGTCGATCATCATACTACAGATTCACTTTTCTTAATCTTTCCTTCGAACATCTGGTGCAAAATAAACAAATTGTTAAAGTACTATGTATATCAACTCACCAAACGTTGCTCAGAGGGAGGACTCAAAAGTTTCCAAGTTTCTTCATGGTGTCTTAAGATAATGAAGCTCGTCGAATACCGAATAGCTAAGAAATGTCACGTTTTTCATCATTGTTGTAGTTGGTTGCATCATCATTATTCACGAGGTTGTCACGTGCGATTCTATACTTTAAAAAGAAACAGTCTTTAACTCTGTCGACTTGATTCTACAAGTGTTATAAGTTATTGTTTCTTAAATGAAACTAGTTACAAAGCTAAAGAGGTCTTCATACGTTCAAGTTACTATTGTTATTATTATTACAGTTTGCACGTGAAAGTGTTGGACTTTGCCCCTTTCGTAATGCAATGTCATGTTTAAGTGCCAAAATCTCATTGGTTCCTAGCATCAACTCATAGTACCTTCAACATTATTGGTCCCTGCCACAGACATCCGAACACACAAGGCCACAAAGCCAGAACGATACATACCCTCAGACCACTGACATATGAGCTATTTTTTCAAAAAAGGTCAATAATGGCATGCGTATGTGTAGGTGACCATTATCACATAAGAGTAGAGATTCACCAGATGGCCCAAACTCATAAGAAGGTAAATAAAATACACTCAGTGGAAATTCGAAGCTTAACGACAGACGCTTGAATACACATAAAAAGGACCCATCACCCCCCGTCAAACACACCACTTAACCTCTTGGGCTTCATTTTCACTCGGATGATTCCATCATCTGATGGCACAAGAGGATATTCGATTCACCTTACCTAAAACATTGGCATCATCTCGAATACATCCTCACAAGGCGAGCTATCCTATCGTGCATCAAGCTTGCACGTAGCCTTCATGACAGCTCAGAAGGTGACACTGACCATTCCCTGGTGTAGAGCAAAGTAAAACTACAGGCAAAGAGAATCTACCACACAAAGACTATGTGCAAACCATGCCTCGACGCCAGCAAGACTCGCGATGCACAGAAAGTGGAGGAGTTCATAACTACGCTTGAGAAATCTCTCCCCCAGCCTCTCTATTGGAAAAGTCCAAGAAAGATTGAATTACTTCAGGGATGCAGTCAATGGATCAGCCATGCCAAACTTCGGCAAGAAGAAAAACAAATCTGCAGACTGTTCGAGGGGCATATAGAGACAATAACTGCAGCAATAGAAGAAAAGAGAAAATGGTTAACTGGATAAAATACCTGCCCAAGTGAACAAAATCTACAGGTTCTACAGGCAGCACGTAGTAACGTGCAAACGATGCAACAGACGCTGTGCAAATGAATACTGGCCTGAACTCTGTGCTAGTATTCATTCTGCTGTTGAGACATATTATTAAGGCCATATCTACGATGAAATCAAGCAGGCACTCGGTAGCTCTCAGAAAAAAAAAACAGCCCCCTTAAATTTTGCTACGGGCGAGATAATCCAGGACCGAGCGCAACAGATGGAGCGCTGGGTAGAACATTACTCTGAGCTGTCTGCCAGAGAGAATATGGTGTCTTTGGAAGCACTGAACGCCACAGATTGCTTACTCTGGATAATGAACCTACTAAAGTGGAGCTGAAAGAGGCCCTGGAGTACCTGCACCTGGAAAAGCGCGCGGCCAGGATGGTGATACTCTGCCTGTGCTAGAGGGAAAGAAGGTATCACAATGATGAGAGACGCAAACATAGTCACTCTATACAAAAACAGACCGGCCAGAAGAGACTGCACTAACAATTATCAAGGCATCGAATTCCCCAGTATCGCTATAAAGCTCTTTGCTCGAGTGGTTGTGAAGGGTCTCCAAGTGCTTGCAGAGAGATTTTATCCTGAGTCACGGTGTGGTTTCCCTGCTAAACGATCAATACTATTAGGTCTGATAGCTTGTCTAGCCCGGCGATCAATTTGGTCAGTTTGGTCAAGGCTTCGCCGCAATGGCCACAAACGTTACCTTCATTTAAATCATCTTTTGGGGGTACTTTCTAGCTGACCTTCTATTTCTTCCTTTTTCGGCCAAAGCAGAGCCATTTAAGCTTACATAATCATATCACTTCAATATGCAACTTGCAATCCCTTGTCGACGAGCTCTTCACATCCCGCTGGCCTTTAATGAGGGCTGCCGGCTTTGCTTCGAACTTTGGTTCAAGGGGAATAATTTTTTAACGACTTGACTTACAACTGACTTTGAACTAAGACGGTCTTCCGAATGAGTTATACCAGATAATAACGATCATTACGGTGGAATAAAGGAACATTTGATTTAAGCTCCTTCGGAATAGCAAAGTTTTACGTGTTGGTACATGAAAAAAGAGCTGGCCACGGTTGTTCAAATGCGTAAATCTCTATCCACAGGGATAATAAGATTGTTTTACTCCGCTGGATAGTGATTTATCCGATAGATAGCAACAACCGGGGTCTGGTGTAAATACATTTCCCCTTAAATAAGCGATTTTGTAAAATTTACACAGGAACAATTTCGTCTCTGTGCGTAACAGTTACCTCACTTAAATCTTTCAGGCAGCCTAAGGATGTGTACTAAGAACTGAATCTGAGATTTTTCTAAATCTTAAGACTGGACTAGCCAGTCGTTGGCAACGCGTGACGCAATTAGATACTTCTGCAGTTTTTAAAATCCGCAATCACAAACTCTGTCCGAGGATCCTCAAGCGACGATGAAATGTGACCTTCATGCAAGATATAACAATAAGGCAAGTGATTCCGGAAGTACTTAGCTCCTCGTGCGTTCAAAAGAATTTATGGACTTAAAATCCTTGACGCTCCATTTTGTTGTCGTATTTTTTAGCTTTACTTCCCACTTTCGAGTTTAAAACCTCCTCTTTTCAAACCAAATTATCTATAGAAAGTTCCTTCTTTCTTAGACTTAAATGTAATATATTCCTGTATATAATTATTTGCGTTCTACTGATAGGTTTTCTTTATAGTCTTAAATCATTATTACATGCATGCAATCCTTATTGATCACTGAAGAACCCAGATGGATATGTATTCAATAAAATATATGTATGTATGTATGAAATATTATTGTTATTTTTATTTTATTCGCCCAATATTGTAAAAAATAATATTGTACATTTGGTATTTGTAGCTATACATGAGCAGGACATCTCAGCAAGCTCTGCTGAGTCTTTCAGAGGAGATTCCCAACTTTACTTGTTAATTAAATTACTAAACATATTGTTTGCCACTTAATATTACAATATAAACTCTATCGAATTTTAATGAAATGATGCAAGCTTATCAATTTTAGGAATTTTAGTGCATGTCACATGCCTTTCAACATTTTAGACGTTCTTTTAATTCTTCCAAAATAGTTGTTCCTAACTTAAAATTCTACAAGAGAAACCACGTTTTTCAAAAATGCAAAGAAACCTAAAAACTAAAAGATTTCTTGTAAATACAAGACTGCAGAGACACGTTCTATAGACTTAAATTTCAACAAAGAGAACTCATGATCATTTACTTCAACAAGTAAACTGCTTTTAAATGTAAGTAGCTTTAATTTGACGATCCGGGTAACCAAAATCTTTCGTAACTGTGCCGTATTCCTGGGTAAGTCCATTTAACCAAAACAGAATGTTTCATGGAATCACAGCTACGATAGCATCAGCTTAATTTACACTTTTAAATGACACCTGACCAGACCACAGAGTCGTTACGAATAAGTTAATGTTTTCGTAGCTATTTCTTTAGCCAAAAGCTTATTATCATAACGTTTCTAACTGGCTTCCTTATTTTTTTATTTAAGATTAACTCTATTTCCGTAGAACTATTTGCTAATTATTCTGGTTCTGTTTTTTTACCTGTTTATGTTTCAAAACAGACCCATATGGTCAAGGTTCAAGAAGCTATTCACCATGGCATGATTGCCGCAGATTTTCTTTCAAACACTAAACGAGTTGTCCAGGCTATCGAGCTGTGGAACGAGTGCTTAATACTACTAAACAACAAAACCTTAGAAAACGAACATGAACTTGCCACAATATTGAGTATAGAGCTGTATGAGAAGCTGTTTTATGGAAATGCTGCTATCACGAAACTTTCACCAGCCATAGAATCTGGCAAAAAGCTTTTAGTCCTACTTCGTAATCGTAAGAGAAAAAAAGAAGAAGGTAAAGCAGCCTTGAAGTTATCAGATCTGTACCTCCAAAAAAATGAATACCAGGAAGCACAAGCAATCCTCAAAATTGCACTCTGCGTTTACAAAGAAATCGAAGACAAACACGGAGAAGCGTTATGCTACATAAACCTAGGAATAGTGTTTAAATCTGTCGGAGAATATGCCAAGGCTGAAGAATATCTTCATAAAGCACTTACCATCAACACAGAAATTGGCGACAAACACGGAGAAGCGTTATGCTACGAAAACCTAGGAAATATGTTTCAATCTGTCAAAAAATATGCCAAGGCACTTACCATCAACACAGAAATTGGCGACATTGAACGCGCAGAAGGGTCATGCTACATGAACCTAGGAGTTTTGTTTGATTCTGTCGGAGAATATGCCAAGGCTAAAGAATATCTTCATAAAGCACTTACCATCAACACAGAAACTGGCGACAGAAAGGGAGAAGCGTTATGCTACACACACCTAGGAAATGTGTTTCAATCTGTCGGAGAATATGCCAAGGCTGAAGAATATCTTCATAAAGCACTTCCCATCAACACAGAAATTGGCAACAGAGAGGGAGAAGCGATATGCTACATATACCTAGGAACTGTATTTAAATCTGTCGGAGAGCATGCCAAGGCCACTGAATATCTTCATAAAGCACTTGCCATCAGCACAGAAATTGGCTACAAAGACGGAAAAGCGTCATGCTACGGAAACCTAGGAAATGTGTTTCAATCTGTCGGAGAATATACCAAGGCAGCAGAATATTTTCATAAAGCACTTACCATCAAGACAGAAATTGGCGACAAACAAGGAGAAGCGTCATCCTACATGAACCTAGGAAACGTGTTTAAATCTGTCGGAAAATATGCCAAGGCTGAAGAATATGTTCATAAAGCACTTAAAATCAACACAGAAATTGGCAACAAACACGGAGAAGCGTCATGTTTCCAAAACCTAGGAGCTGTGTTTCATTCTGTCGGAGAATATGCCAAGGCTGAAGAGTATTTTCATAAAGCACTTACCATCAGCACAGAAATTAGCGACAGAGAGGGTGAAGCGTTATGTTACAGAAACCTAGGAAATGTGTTTCAAACTGTCGGAGAATATGCCGAGGCTGAAGAATATCTTCATAAAGCACTTTTCATCAACACAGAAATTGGCAACAAACACGGAGTAGCGTTATGTTACGGATTCCTAGGATCTCTGTTTGGATTTGTCGGAGAAGATGCCAAGGCTGAAAAATATTTTCATAAAGCACTTACCATCAAGACAGAAATTGGCGACAGAAAAGGAGAAGCGACATGGTTCACAAACCTAGGAGCTCTGTTTACATCTGTTGGAGAATATGCCAAGGCTGAAGAATATCTTCATAAAGCACTTACCATCAAGATCGAAATCGGCAACAAAGACGGAGAAGCGGCATGCTACATAATACTAGGAACTCTGATGTTTAAGGCTGGTGAATGTGCTAATGCTCAAAAATATTTTGAGAATGCTCTTGAAATTAGCAGGTGGACTGGAAACATCGCTTTGCAATTTGAAACTTCTCTTGGTCTAAATGAGTGTTCTTTTAAAATAACAGGCAACGTATCTGAAGCCTTATCAAATCTCCGGACAAGCATTCAACTTTGCGAAAAAATGCTTATTTCTCTAGGAAGCAAAGATAGCCACAATATATCATTTTTTGACAAAAATGTGTCTCCCTATCGTCTGTTTTGTTCATTGAGTTGTTCTAGTGGGAAACCCTATGAAGCTTTACACGTTGCTGAACTTGGACGGGCCAGAGCTCTAGCAAAACTTATGTCAAATCGCTACTCCATTGAAAAAGAAATATCTATCAACCCACAATCGTTTGTTGGCATCGAGGAAGTAATTAAGAAAAATGGCAACAGCACGTGCCTCTACATCTCCTATGACTACGTTGACAATATATTTTTGTGGGTTCTGAAACAAAGCACACCGGTAGCTTTCCGAACAACGAAACTTTGTGAAAGCTATGTTAGCAAGCACGGCAAAATCTCTGTGTATGAGCTGTTTGGAAACGAAAGCTTCTTAAGAAGATTTCACGTTTTACCTCAAGAGCAATGCGAAGACCGATCACTCTTCTCTTCATTCGCCAACCAGCGTCCTCTTTTAGATGAGGAACAAGTATACACAGGCCCTGAACCGCCAACACTCTCTCAGGTTTACGACATGTTGATTGCTCCCGTAAGAGACTTGCTAGAAGGATCTGATGAAATCATTGTTGTTCCTGATAACTGTTTCTTCCAAGTTCCTTTTGCAGCATTACCTGATGAAAGTAACCGCTATTTATCAGATTCTTTCAGGATACGCATTGTCCCTTCTTTAACGGCTCTCAAGCTCATTCTGGACAGTCCAGCGGTCTCTCACAGCGAAACTGGTGCATTGATTGTGGGTGAGCCAAGTGTGATGAATGTGTATTTCAAGGGAGAGTTAGGGTCTCTCTGTCCATTGCCTGGCGCGAAAGCAGAAGCAGAGATGATTGCAAGACTACTACCTCAATCTCACCTTTTAATAGGAGAGCAGGCAACAAAGCAGACAGTCCTTCAGAGAATACCGTCAGTGAGTCTCGTACATATCGCTGCTCATGGTGATGCCGAAAGAGGAGAAATTGCTCTTACCCCCCTGACTCCACAGTGGGGATTCCACATGAAGCAGACTACTTACTGTCAATGACCGACATTTCACAAGTTAGACTCTCAGCCAAACTGGTGGTCCTTAGCTGTTGCCATACCGCACGTGGACAGATCAAAACAGAAGGCGTTGTTGGAATCGCTCGAGCATTCTTAGGATCGGGTGCACGCTCAGTGTTGGTGGCATTGTGGGCCTTACAAGACGACGCAACAGAGCCGTTCATGAGAAGATTCTACGAAAACCTTATCCAAGGAGAAAGTGCAAGTGAATGTCTTCACCGGGCCATGAAGTGGATGCGAAATAACGGTTTCCCTGAAGTGAGGCAGTGGGCACCTTTCATGCTGATTGGGGATGACGTGTCATTTCACTTTGGTGAAGAAAAGTGAAGGTAATTGTTTTGTGACAATTAGGGCCATAGGAAGTCTGCCAGGTCTTTTTATATTACAGTTTTATCAACTTGGGTGCATTTGGTACTTTTACTCTAGTACCAAATAGAAAGCAGCCGTATTTTCCTTTAAAAACCAAATTATTGACTACACCTGAAGTCAGCTTTTACTATGACTGAGGTAAAATATCAATTAACATCGAGGATACTAAACAGCTCAATTATTCGACCACACTTCTGTACTTATCAGTCTAAATTACAGCCCATGCATATGTGGGTCTTTGTATTTGAAAAAAAAAACACTAAAGCGCCGTATCCCTACCGTAAAAAGATTGATTTTAACTCTTTTCTCTTTTTCTGATTTATGAGGCACAAATAATTGAATATTCTTTTATTTGCTACCACTCAATATGAAAGTGAGGGTTTGCTGACAAAATGTTTTCTTTCTGAATATAAAGGGAAGAGAATTTCAGATATGAAACGAAACTGACAAACAGTCCAAGATAGTTTTTTGTTTGATATAAAGATAATCGGATTAAAAATATTATGGCGGAGATCTAGATCTGAGAATTGATCAAAAACACTGAAAACTACTAATTGTGGACTGTATATGGAGTCTTGACCGTAACTAGAGGGCTTTTCGCGGACACTGACTGGATTGCAGTTAGTTCTAAACTTGCACCAAAGAGGGAAGACCGAGATTCCATAGCTCATCAAGGCAAGAAGTTTCAAACCTATTTTAGCTGTGCACCCTGCATTTCATTTATGATGCCAGTAATTGTAAAGTTTTAGCAGTGAGATAAACTTTAATAAGTAAACCTCTTCCTTCACGATAAAGCCGGAGGATCCCTCTTCCAGGTAAAATGAACCTAAATGCTACTTACCCCAGCTTGAGTCTTTTGTATTGAATATATGTGCTTTACTAATTTTTGTCTCTTATACATTACTGTTGCAGGTATTACACCAACGACACACCATAGAATAACGAAACAGTCCTTCCGCAGAATTCCAATGAGGTAGTCCCTAGCGGAAAATGTAAAGAGTCAATCTCTGCAGCAACGAACATTAATTAAAAGAATTAAAAGAGAACTGACTTGCTTGGCCCAGCGGTTCACCTTTGCCGGCCGGCTTAATTATTTTTCCCGGTGATTTTATTTTGTGTGTGTGTGTGTGTGTGTGTAGGTACTTTGAGTACTCTAATCTCTAAAATGTCTTACAAAAGCTCAAATCACCAGCCTCGTAAAAGTTTACATCGGTAGCTTGGATAATGATGAAACTGTAATTGCGACACGAATAACATCAGGATTAGCTAATTTCCCTGTCTTTTTAGGTAATTTGTTTAAAAAAACTTACTTCCTTGGTTAGTTCCTAAGGCTACAACTAAAAAAATTACTTTTCATGTATATATTGGCGAGATTTTTGATCGCAAATTGAAGTTTGATTACAATGCAAACAACATTGCAAGGTTTATAGTTTAGTAGAATTGTAAATATTTTAGAGCCAATATTTTTGTGAACATAGAAGCAGTAGTTTCGCAACCTTGCATTATGAAATAAGGTTTGACGACTCGATTAAGTCAAATTAAAGCCTAGCGAAACCAATTTGTCCTAACTCCAAACTAGCCCAGTTGTAAACTAAAGGTTATTTCATTGTATATTGTTCATGCCTGAGCATAAGTTAGTATAAGTATAGAAGAGTAGTACTTGCTTTAAGTATCCACCCAAAATGCAAAGATTTGGTGGTCCAGTTTTCATTGGTGCTTTGAGTAGGAAAACTATTTTTAGTGGTTCGAACAGCATGTCGCGTATCCGAGAAGGTCGCACATGGAAGTTTGATTGTAATCTGTAAATATGTAATCTCACCAGGTTTTTAAAAATAAAGCGTATCTGACATAGCAAATTCAACGACGAAACTTTATTGTGCCTTTCGTTATTAAGACGTCTAGTGTTTATCCTTAGTTATCAATTTGCTCTTTAACAAAAAAAATTCCCGGTAATATCAGGGAGATTTAAAATCACATTCCCGTCAAACGGCAACGTCAATTTTTACGTAACCAAGGTATCAGTCTAAAAAATAAATAAATAAAATTGTAATTTGTAATTTGTTTTCCCACGAAGCACTTAGAAGTTGTTAAGAACTCGCTTAAACGTGTCCGTGCGTTGCGGATCGAATTGGAATTTGAAAAGGTTGGTTTTTGGAGAGAGGGGAAAACCGGAACACCCAGAGAAAAACCTCTCGGCAAGGAAGAGAACCAACAACAAACCTACCCTTTCATATACCTGAAGCATGAAAAAGGTACCCCTTCCGGTCGGAGCCTCCCCATAAAGGCCATTATAGGGAGTACCCACCCCCCCGAGAAAGGAGGCAAATGCCCTCTCCACTGTGCCACCCTTGCGCAGTTTTCGTCGGAAGCCGATTCAGTTGTTGTTTCTACACAAAAAAGCTAGTAGTTTCATGTCGATCAGTCTAATCCGTAACAATTATTTTGCAAAGTTTGTGCCTGTTAATTTCCTGATTCAAGGAAATGTCACCTTGGGTCTAATGTCTGCCGTTTGCCGTAAACGCAACTCTAAATCTCTCGATTTTCCTCTCAACGACTACTTGCCACGATCACTCCCGTCGATTCGGAATCGTAGAATTACGTTGACGGCAAAGTCGAAACATCAGGTTTAAGTATTACAATTACTAAAGTTAGGAAATCAAGAGATAAAAACTGAAAAAAATTATCCTTACGGATAGACGTGGCATGAATGTCTTTATTTTTGAGTAGTAAAAATAAACATTAAACGATAAATAAAGAGAAAGCTTAGCAACATGTTTCAAAATGACGTTAACCGTAAACGTGATTCTAAATCTCCAGACGCCTGCGTTTGCATGGAAGTTCTCCAAGGAACCAATGGGACAGGCCTGGTAACAATTCTTTTCGGGCCTTTTCACCATCCCTGCTTTACTTTCTAAATTCCCCAGCTGATCCTTTTTTTCACTACCGTTAATGCTTTACTCAGATACCAGGAAATAAGTTCAAGACTTTTTCTAGACTTTTTTCCGAAACAATAATTTCTTTTTCCAGACTCAAGGTTATTAATTAGGTCAGTGATCAATAGACACCTTAAAAAACGCAGGAACAAAGTTAAGCTTTTTTCATGATACATTTAGGCTAAAAACATACGGGCGAAAACAATAAGATTTGACCGAAACGGAAAAATATTCAATTATAAAACACTATTCAGTTGTAGCTTTAAAAAAAGACTCAAGATTTTTTTCTATTTTTTCAGACTTTATCTCCATTTTGCAGACGTTTTTTAGGTCTGGAAAATTGCTGAAAATTACTGCTCTGTACGAACCCTGAGTTTTTACAAGGTGTTTCACTCCATAACTTACCAGTGTACACCCCCGTAGTGAGAGTCACTTCGGGCCCCACCAGGGATGGATTTTGATTTTCGTGACTATCCAGATCTTGGAAGTACTTCTGATTGGTGAAAGCAAATTTTTAACCAATCAGAAGTACTACCCAGATCTGGGTAGTGACTTGTCTTCATTATGGAATTTCTGCGCTCGTTTCTCAGATGTCACTTCGCGGGGAAACCAGTGGTAGCTAGTGATGACGTCGCGAAATTTCGGTAGTTTTCTCAGGCTAAGCTGGGTCATTTACGAGTGGAAATGCCACACTGCACTTGATGCGCGCATCATGGAACAAAGGCTCTGCGTACTCGTGACAGAAATTAATGTGGAACGATGCTAAAGTAAGATGATTATTGGCCTTAACAATGTACACAAAACCTTTTAGCCACAGGCGGGAATGAGGGAAGAAAAGCCCCCTTTGAAGCTTCATTATAGACTGAGCTTTTTACCAGGGTAGCAAAAACGAGAATGAACACTGGCTTACAGGAGCTGTGGCACGAAAGAGAGAGAGAGACTGAGATGGACCCCATCATATGCTAATAGCAACCAGCTCAATGGGTAGGAGGCGATGAAACATCCTTAATTTGGGGGAGAAGAGAGAGAGCAGGACGCATGACTTTCCATGTTTTCCATGACTTGTACGAATCCTACCGGCTGGTCTATGTAAAGGAGATCGTGAAATACGATTGGCAAATTTGGGGGGGGGGGGGAGCACGTGGGGGTTGACAGGGCCCCCATCATATCTTTAGGCCAAACTGGGAAAAATGACAAGCATAGACTCTCCTTGTTCGCGAACTGAATCATACAGCATTTTGTATCTGGCGTGAGAATTAGAGCTTTTCTTACTCACGTACACCACGGACACGACATTACTCCATCAGGTGTTACAGTTTCTGTAGAAAAAATGGAAAGTGTAAACTGAAAAAATGGATAGTGATTTATATTTATATCTTAAGAATATCCACAGACGTATTTCTTTTCTCTTTTTTTTCGACAATTCGACGGCGCGCTCGCTTCGCTCGCTCTCTCTTCCCCGCCCCCACCCACTTGTGCTAGCGGTCAATAAATCCACCGGGAATTTTCAGGACGCGCGCAAGACCCCATGATCTCTAAAGAGAAAATACAGTGTCTGTATACAAAAACGCTTGTGAAGGCAAAACCAGAATTACAAACCAGTGAGGATCCACCAGGCCCCAGTTGTTCAAAAGTTGGATAGCACTATCCGCCGGATAAATCACTATGCAGTGGACAAGTATTACAAAAACCGATTGCACTATCCACTCGATAGTGATTTATCTGGTGGATAGGGTTATCCACCTTTTGAACAACTGGGCTCAGATCTTTAGTAGACCTGGATCAATAAAATCTTCAACACCAAATTTTAAAAATAAAACAGTAAACTGATCCTTACGGCAAGAAGAGTGACGGCAAAAAATAAATACAGAAAACAAAGATAAAGTTGTTCTTACTGTTCTTTTGGAAACACGACTAGTGTTACCCTCCAGTTTCGAACGCCACTCCACGAGTTTCACGTGACTCCACCCAACAGATGGCCGGGGCACCTGGAACGAATATATCGCGCCCGCGCGCGAAAAGCGCCATCCAAAAAACCATCATGGCGGATGAGACGACAAGTTCTGTTTCCAAGGTAAGCTGCCTAGAAAATGACCGAAAATTTGCTCTCGTTTCTCTCCTGTATTCATGATATCTAACTTTTGGTCATCAGGGATGCTTTCTGATCAAGAAATCTACAGCAAAGAGTCCAAGAAAGCGAAGTGCAGGTTTGAATTGTAGTCGTTTCGAAGCCCGAGATTTCAGGCACACAGCACACGCAAGCTTTCCTTGTTTCCAGACGACCCTTAAACGTTTGTTTATACCCCGTGCTCTCCTTCTCTCTCTCAGCTCCTCCAAACACACACATGTACACCCATCCTGACAAAAATGCCTGAAAAATTCCTGAGAAGATGGGATGAGCATGCTTGAAATTTGCACCGTTCGAGAAAGATTTAATACCGTAAAATTCCGAAAATAAGCCCCTCCATGTATAACCCCATCCAAATATAAGCCCCACTACACTCCCAACTCAAAAAGCCTTCCGTTAACAGCGTTAAATTGCCCCTCCAAATATAGGGCCCCCAGAGGGCTTGTACTTGGAAATTGCCCTCAAATACAAAGTACAACAAAGAAAAATCTCCTTCCAGGAATAAGGCTAGCCCAATCGATTTTTAAACAAAAATTTCCCTCCATACATAAGCCCCTCCGAATACAAGCCCCTCCAAAAACAAGCCCCTCAAAAGAGTCTTTGAAAAATATAAGCTCCGGGACTTATTTTCAGAATTTTACTGTATTTGGACAGTATCAAATGCAGACTGCAGACTGACTGCAGACCATTGTTTTCAGTGTTAGAAAACAATGGGATTATTGTTGTCATGTTCTCATTTGCATGGTGAAGACAATGGTCTGCAGCAGTCTGCAGTCTGCATTTTGTGACTGACCGACGTAGTATTCATCAAGTTGACCACAAGCTTAAGACAAAGACAAAGTCTAACTCTCACTGTGGATTTTAACTGGTGTTTTTTTTTATGTTGGGGAAACCATTGTTGGCTCCCCATTCTCTTAATATTTTTCTCTGTTATTTTCCAAAAGAATGAATCGCTCCTTACGGGAAACACAACACTCTCTGGGCATGGTCTAGGTTCCTTTCGGAGCTTCTCTCTTGCTACTACAAACGCTTGCAAAAATGTTGAGACACTCTGACAAAGAACCGACCTTTCTTACTTCAAATCGCTGCTAGTCACACGTCTGTTGGATATATTACACACCTCCCTCCTCCCCTCCATTCAAAGTTGTTCCTCCAAGTTTTTTGAGCATGGTCTTGTATTGCCAAAATAAGGTACAGTGTCTCCAGTATTTTTGCAACTGGTTGTGGCATCTTTTGGTTTTACTACTGATTGCTGGTGCCCTTGCCACTCAATAGCCTGTGAATTTCTGATAATAATGGAAATTCTGCATCTTAGGGAAGTGACATCTGAAAATATGTCTGTGATCCCATCTAGCCACTCCACTGTTACTTATTTATTCACTCTTAATGAAAAACAGGATTTCATACTAACAGTGTATTTTATCTTTGTAGAAGATTACTTTCCTGAAGTTTGTGGTGAAAGTCACTCTCATCGTAAGCTAAGAAATGCAAATTATAATGAATGCTGGAATTCTATTAAAACGGAGATTGAGGTAAGAGTTGATTGTCCATTTTTTTTAAAACCATATTCCTTTTACCACATGTGATATCATTGATTTTTGCAGTCATAGGTGACTGAGATTTAACTTGTGCAGGGCAGGCATTTTTTAATGGAAACTCGGAGGAAGTAAGGGAGGAAAGTTGTTGCAATGTTAAACTGAAGTGGCCGGATACTGGGAAACATACTATATTTGTGGTAGCTCAGTAAATCTTCCTTTTACTAATGCTCTTTTTTACCAGCTTTGACTCGGTATATTTCAGATTTGACTTATCTCTTTTCACTTTTTGCCCTCCCCTTCTTGAATGCCAAAAACAAAAACCTCAGAAAATCTCGGGAAATCAGTTTTTGACTCACCCCAACTCTCTGTCAGTTTCAACATCCAAGATGGGAGGAGAACATTCGTTCCTAAAATAGTATCGTCGTTTGCGCCTCAAAATAGGCTTACAGGCTAGTGGAGGAGAAAGACGTCTTTCAAGCCATACTTTATCATCATCTCCACCTGGTCATGCTAGTTGTACAGATTGCCAAGACTTGCATATTTTCATCCATCCTGATCAGTCATTGCATTGTGTAGGAATACAATAGGGTATTCAGTATTAGTAAAATCCAACTAGTGGTCTATTGTCAATGCTGCATTCTGTTTGGTTGAGCTACTACAAGGCTATAAGTTATAGCTCGCTAGTCGCTAAAAGCGCTGGCTTATTGGCGGCAAAAAAGGATTAAAGTCTGGCTTTAACTAGCTAAGGTTGTATTGGCTCGATATTTTTGACCAACTAGTTGGTTTTTACTAAAACAATTATTCCGCTCTCCCTCATGGCCTCTGAGTCAATAGCCCATTCGGCCTTCAGCCTCATGGGCTATTGACGCAGAGCCCATTTGGGCTTGAGGAGTAATTGTTAAATATCTTCTCGTAGTTGATATATCTATATTAACCCTGGACCTAGTAAGAACTGAACTGAACTGAATTTTTTTTTTTGAAGCATCTACAGACACAGATGAACAGCAAAATATTCTCCGATCTTCTGGAATTCATAAAGTCTGCTCATAAGATGAGTTCTTTGGGTTCTGAGGGATCTGCTGTTATACATGAAATACCAACAGCTGCACTTATAACTGGTAAGTGTATTTAGACTTCTTTACCCTTTAAGTCCCAAAGGTGACCAACATCAATTTTCTCCTAACCATATCCATAGATTATCCAGAGATTAGGTTATAAGAATTAATAAACTGATCACCTAAGAGAAAATGCTTTGATCTTTTATCAAATTTTCTCAACACATTCTTTAAGGAAATGTATAGAGATCAGTTTGGAGAATTTGTATGTGGATATTGGGGCTTAAAGGGTTAATACAGTGTATAAGTCAAAACAGATTCAAGTGACTGTTATCAAAACCAACAGTGACTCAGGGTGCAAAGAAAGTCACTTTTACAGCCTGCCATTTGGGCAAGCTGTAGCTAGCATGTACTAGCCCACAAGTCATTTCAAATAGTACCCCAAAACCCTTTTTGATTAGCAGAATTGATTACAATCCTTCTGTAATTTGAATTTTCAAAAAAAACAGCACTTGCCCATCTGGCAAGTTAAGAACAAAAATCACTTGTCGGATAGCAAAACCCATTAGCCCCAGGCTATCAGACATGACTTTCTTTGCTTGCTGGGCTGTAGCGGTTGGTTTCCCCGTTTTTGTTTTCCCCCTCTTCAAGGTCACATGGCCTTGTCATTGGTTGTGCTTGTTATTTTGTAGTTTTGGGTGTTCACTCAAAGTGATGATCAAATTATGACCAAAAATCTAAACTGAATTACTGCTTTGTTGGGGAGCACTGTATTGTTACAACAGTGTTTTATAAATTATTGGCATGACTCAAATCTTGTAACCATCCATTGCAGTGAAAATTAAGGTACGGTTACAGAGTGAAAAATTTGAATGAACCAATGTGATCTGGAAGCAAATTGATACCAATGTGTTATCCATTACTTTGCACCAAAAACAAGCCTGGTTACTATAATTGCAAAGCACTGGAAAAAGGTTGTGTATACCCTTTCAGATGGGTTGAAAGTACACGGAATTAACCACAATTTTTTTGTTTTTAGGCAGGTAACTTTATTTATTCATGGTATTTTCTTTAGGTGCATTTACTCCCTAGTATAGAAAACTAACTAAACTAGAATCTAAGGGCGTTCTCCATTCGTCAGAACTAACTGGCCAGACCATTCCCGTCGCAATGATAATTTCTATTTTAATCAAAACTCTTTGGCCAGATCAGTCAAATCCTGAATAGTATGCACAAAGGAGATGGTTTTTCAGCAAAAACTCTTGGAAAAAGCCTATTTCATTATCAATCAAACTGACTGGTCAGGTAATGGTCTGGCCAGCCAGTTCTGAAAAATGGAAAGTGCCCGAAGATAAAAACTAAAAAAAATAAAATAGTGAGCTTGTATTCATTCTCTCTTACAAACAAAATGCAAAGTCAGATATTCAGGAGCCATGTTATTTACAATGCTATACATCATTAATATTTTTGCTTTACTATTAACTACACAGTGATGGACAAGCTTTGACCACTTTAAATTTTGAAACAATTGACAAGTACTGCATGTCATAACTGGAGAAAGTTACAATGCGAGCAGCACAAATTATTCTGTAGTTTCTGCAATTTAGAAGAAAAGTTCTTAGAACAGTTTCCCCATTCTACATTACATCAGTGTTCAATCTAGAAATTAGTCAAAGTGGGTCATATGTCTCACATGGCATTTTAAATTGGATCATTTCAAAAACGGTCTGGGTTAGACTATGATATTGAGACTTTGAACAGCTTTGAACAACCGATACCACCAAACTGACTTCTCCAGCTTCACTGCCATCCTTTTCCAGCCCATCTTCATGCTTTTCAGGTTCAACTGCCATTTTCTTTAGCGTAAAAAATAAACTTAGCTTTTTGTTGTCCTTTCATAATTAAACGAAAACAAAAGAACAAAGTTAACAGATGAAGCGTGAATCACTTGGCAAAGCAACGTATACATATACTATGCACCAGTCTCCCCCTAAAAGTGGATGGAATATCTGACACAAAAACCACTTGTAAAGCACATACACTTGTAGTGTGAAATGACAGTCATTTCGCATACTCATTTCGGGCAAGTAAGCACACCGATTTTTTTCAATCAACAAAACCCTTTGTTTTTTGACAGCTATCCTTCATCAGATCATCTTATTTGGGAACATGACCACTTATAGTTTCTTTTGTTGACGTCTTTGGTCACACAAAAACTTGTACTTGTCTCAGGCACGATCAAGGTTGCAAAAACGAAAAATTGGTGACAACAAAATTTTCAAATGTTTTTGCAAACCCCAACTCTATTTTTCTGTCATAGTGCAAATGGGACCTTAGTCTGGCCAGCCAGGTCTGACAAAATTAATGGTAAGCACCCTCAGAAAGAGTTGACTGTTATAAATGTTGTATAATTTGCAGGTGTGAACATGCCAGATCATGATGTGATATTTTCTGAACTGGCCAAAGAACTCAGAAACCAGGTGACTCCCTTTGTAGCTCTGCTGAGGTCCAAAGATTGTACAGGTGTGGAGATACATTTTTAACTTAATTACATCATTGGATGATAATTATTGGGCTGCCTATGGCAACCTAGTCATAAATTGGGACTCATTGTTGTGGTCACAAAAAGACAAAATAGCAGACAGATCTCCCCGATGGCATTGCATGCCCTGTTCCCCCTGCCATCAATTCCACGAATAGGAAAATATAAATAAGCAAATTAACCTTTTAAAACAAGAAAAAGACGGGTATTGTTTTTAACTGAGACTTTTCCACAGTGCACCCCCTCCACCCCCCATCCCTGCCCCCAAAATATAGCATGACAGTATAACGTGACTAATTTGATGTAACTGTAAAATCCAAACATTATTGTTGTTTTATGCTTATAACATGTGACAGGGTCAACTTTTGTTGTATTTGAATACCGTTATATAGCAATAGTTTTCTGTTTCTTAAAACTTCCAAGGAAAATTAAGTTTGTTTTGTCTGATATTGCATTTAAAACTCTTCTAACTATCTGGGTGAGGGTGTTTCTGTTCCACAGGGCAGCAGCCCAATTCACCGTCATTATGGGGGGAGGGGGAGTGGGTCTTGTTTTTTTTATATCAAATTTGTTACTTTTGTAGTGGATTACTGAATACTTGAAGATAAGAGCTCACGCTATTTGTACCAACTGTTTTTTTAGTATTTACAGCTGTCCGTTTTGTTTACTTTTTTGCATGGTATCATTGTTTCAGTTATGAAAGCAACCATGAAAAATGTGATATCACAATTTATTGGTCATGAAGTGCAGGTAATTTAAGTCGTGATATTAACATTCATCCAGGGCTACACTGATAACAGTTGTTGATTGTCTTTGTTGGTGTTTCCTTTGTGTGTTTTAAAATTTGCTGTTCAATGTTTTTTTTTTTTTAATTATTTTTTACTAATCATAGGACTTAAAAAAATGTGAATTTCCAGCTGACTGGAGATCTAACCACGCTAAAGACTTTTAACATGATTTTACTTTAATTTCCTGACAAAGGAAGAGGATGATTCTACTCCAACTGAACGAGGAAAAAAGATCAGCAGTTTTACCATGCCTGTGCTATGTCACTGGTATAAGAAAATCACAAAGGTTTGGAAATATTTATGAATTTTTCATTTAACTATTTTTCATTTTAAAACAAAAATTAACAATATGAAAGAAACTTGAAGTTTTGATTGCTTCGTGTCATCATTATATAAAGATAAGAAGTTAACATGACTCATAATAATATTTATAGAAAAAGAAAGTGCAAAAAGTGCGTGTAAATTTAAACTTAAAAATGGACAAATTACAATTAAATAAAAAGTTTTGCATGTAAAATTTTATTTTTTTGATAATACATCATGACATGAAGCCATCAAAACTTCAAGTTTCTTTTAAATCATTAATTTATACAACTTAATAACTAAAGACAACTTAGATTTCTGAATTTCCCTTTTTTTAACCTTACAGTGGCCATGTTGTAGTCAATTTTTTTCCTCAGGTAATTTTTATATTTATTTTGTTTCAACTTCATAAGCTTACATCACCATTCCCCAAAACAGAAAAAAAAAATTATGTGAGATAAAAAATTTTAAAACCACAACAGCTATGTTGTAGGAAAAGTCAATCTCAGGTTAAACTGGTAAATTAACCTATATTTGATTCAGATTTTCCTTTGTTTCCTAAATCTTCATTCATGGGAGACAAAAAATATCCTGGTTTAACCTGAGAACGGATTTAACCTATGCATGAACCCTTTACTCTTTTTATCTGGAAGTACACAGTAATTCTAAACACCACAGACCTTAGGTACTTAATATAAACTATTTTTAACTATTTTTAACCAAGTCAGCCTGAGCCTCTTCACAGGTTCAGTTCAAATATAATATGTACAAATTATAAACATTTTAAATGCAATATTACAGTTTCAAAGCTCAATTTCAAACATTTACTGACAGCATCCTGACAACATAACCTGATCAAGATTCCTTTTATTGAGGGACTTATATAAATTTTTGAAAGTAAGTATGAACAAAGTAACTTTTTTGTAAATGTGCAATTTTTAAATGATTGCACAGTAATTATCTCTTGTTCTCTGTGTTAATTACATACTGAACAAAAGTGAAGCTAACTTTAATAATGAAAATGTCTAAAAAAAGTGTTACCTTTACTTCTATAACATTATTAAAGAAAACATTTCTTTTAAGGCCAGTATTTCCGGCTTTTGAATGTTGTTTTGTATACTGATTAAATTGTGCTGTATTATTCAGGTAGATATTATTAAATTTAAAACAAAAAATAACAGTAATACCTTTTCACTCAAATGAGGAATAAATATAGGATCAAAAACTTATTATATTGATAATAATTATTGCTAATTAAAAGGAAAATGCTAAAATTATACAAAAATACATTTAAAACAGTGCTAGCTTTTTTTTCTAATTTTCATTCATTTTCTTGTCATATTTAGTTTATTTAGAGGAAAGACCACACTTCAGGCTAAATATTATTATAAACTATTGTCTTTTCAGCAAGATGACCCAAAAAAAAGGCGTAGCTCTCAACGACCTCAGTATTCAGGTAAATAATGTGATCTGAAAACACATTAACTGCACCTCTCAAGAACTCATCTGGTCATGTTTGTGATCCAAGATGTGAAGAAGTGTTGGTTCTAGAGGAGATGGGGAGGACGGATAAGATCCAACAAAAATTCAACCCACACAAGGCACTAGGCTGATTTAGCAACAGAACAGGAACGTCAGTTGACGACGGCGAGCGCAAATTAAACAACTGGCTTGACCAATGGCAGAGCGTCAAATTGGGCACCGGAAGTCGTGTCTATTCCTTTCTGCGCACTTTCCCGTCGTCAACTGACATTCCCGTCTTGTTGCTAAATCAGCCTATTGATGCCAAGACCTGGACCTCTGCCCCATGTTGGTGCAGTGCTCCAAGCTCAACTTTTTGACAGTTTTTTGGTTTTCAAACACAGAATAATTTGCTCACCAGAAAATAACTAAATAAATAAGACAAAAAAAGAAAAAAGGCATACATCACACTCTTTTCATTACTGCACTCCTGAGCTATGTTTGATGTGTGGATAGGAAAGAGGTCAAATGAGGACCTTGAATGTTATTGAGTTTCCATGTAAGCTATGTGTTCAAATATAAGTTTATATCATCCAAATTCCTTTTAATCTTGTAGATCATCCTCCTTTGGTTGTCATCTTTGAAGACTTTGAAGGTTTTTCTCCTGCCGTTGTTCAAAATTTTGTCTCAATTTGCAGGTATCACTTGAAGTGATTAGTCACCTTTTGGTCTGACTTATAGTGTACATATAGTGTGAGAGTTATTTGTAGTAATAGACAGAGAACAAGAATCGCGCAGCTCAAATTCTCAACATTTTTAAAGATGTTTGTATGCTATGGGGAACTAATTTGGCCCCAACCATACAAATGTCTGTAAAATTTAGTGACTATGGGGAGCTATAACTATTTTTTTCCTTCCAAATCAGCAAAATTTTAGACATATTGCTTTAGAAAAACATTGTCCTGCATTTTTTTCGCCAGATTATCCTTATTTGCAAGAGAAAACGTATGCAAAAAACCCATCAGCAACCTTTTCAGTGGTATTAACAGATTTTTGCTAAATGATCTCCATCAAAACTTGAAAAAAAACCATGGAAGGGTTTATTAACCTTTTAAGTCCCAATGGTGACCAACATAAATTTTCTCCTGATGATATATATACATAATCAAGAGATTAGGTTATGAGAATTAATAAAATGATCACAAAAGAGAAAATGCCTTGATCTTTTATCAAATTCTCTTAACACATTGTTTAAGGAAATGTATAGAGATCAGTTTGGAGAATTTGTATGTGGATATTAGGGCTTAGAGGGTAAGGAAACTTATGTACAGTCAAACCTTCCTTTATGGTCCACTGCTTAATACAGACACCTCATTATTATGGACAGTCTGCTTTGCCCACAGGGAAAGAAAGCCCTTACATTGTCTCTAAATTCAACCTGTTTAATACGGACGCCTGTTAATATGGACAGTTTCTATGGACCCCTCAGTTTCTTTATTTAAACAGGGTTTTACTGTATTTTGACAAGTTGGCTAGCTGTTTTTTTGTGAACATGACCTTTACCTTCAGGCTTGCCTAACTAGCTACTGTCTCTCTTTCTTTGCAGTCTATATTTGAGTGAGCTTCCATTGGTGTTAGTGTTTGGAATTGCAACAGCTGTGACAACTGTCCACAGGGTTCTTCCACATGCTGTTTCCAGTGTGTTAGCTATTGAGAGATTTCAATCTCAACCATCGCACATCTGTGTTCTGGAGATTATCAACAAGGTAATATTAAATTATTATATTCTGGTGCGTATTAAAATGCCCAGCTACACAAAAAACAAATTGTCCGTAAAATCTGAACTATCCCTTAAGAGTGTTAGGAAAGAAATTAATTTTAATAAAGGTTTGTGTGTCGCTATTAAATTCTCATTTTCCCCCCTTGTATAGGATGTCATTTTTTAGTGTGGGCCTCAAATAGCGTATCAATTTTCTTTTGTCTGATCCATAAATAGGGTCAGGGTTTAAATACCTGGGCGACACCACACCTATCCAAAGTTTATGGGAGTACCCATCCCCCTCCCTGCGGAGTGCGACCTAGTAGACGCAGCATTGGTTATAGATAGTGCCCAGTCTTTGCCCAACTTATCAATATTAATTTATTATGTATTATTAATATTAATTTATTAGTTATTACTTTGAGTCTGTTTGTTTAAGGTGTTGATGACTGCCAAGTTTCCTTTCAAGCTTGGAGCTAGAGTGTTCAGATTTCTGTATGAGAATTTCCTTTTCCATGATTTCTCTCTTCAAAATTTTGCCAGAGGACTTCAGGTACATTGGTGTTTTAAAATATTAGTGATGTATCATTAGCAGGGCTTGAAATCACGACTGATGCAGTCATCAATGCGAGTAACATTTTCTCTGTGGCGCCTAAAAATTCTGGTTTAGTGGCAACTTTGGTGACCATGTTTCTCTATGACTTAGATGTAAATTAAAAGAGTAAAGTTAAAACAAACATTAATTTTCATCTTACTTTGCTTTGCTTGCGTCTTAAAAAATGTGCCAAATTGCAGAAAAAAAGCCAGTTTATGTCCAAATCTATTCGGTGTTTTCAAACGATCAAATCTAATGGATTGCTCTATACTATGAGCTGCATCATTTACATTATACAACCTGGCAGCTAAAAATTTACATGTGGTGACTACATTTCTCCAGTTGGTCGCCAAAGGTGATCTGAGGATTTTTTTAATTTTGAACCCTGATTGGATGTTTGGTGTTCTCTTCTCTTTAGTCAGTCAAGGTTTATCACTTCTTTTTTTATGTATTCAAGTCATTTTTGGTTAAGCTTTTTCTTGTATCACATTAGTAGTTAAAAGATATAAATTATGTCTGCCAGGCTAGTTTAGGATTAGCACGGTTGGTTGATGTGCAACATAGGGGGTATAATGAACACACTATCAACCCCGTCATTGTTATATTAATCAGATGATGACCATTTCAAGTCACACATCAAATAAGGAGCCTTTAACTTTTTTGACCTTTAATTTCTCATATACCACTGGTAGCCATGCCAAGCCAACCGCCAAGCCGACTGCCGCAGCCTGACCTTTATTTTAAACTCCAAAAATGCATACATATCATAACCTTAGAAATTAAAGGTAGGACGCTAACAAAACTACAAAGTTACACCATACATTTAACAGCATACAAAACTGAAATCTTAGGGTGGGTGGGTGGGAAGTTCAGTAATGGCGGACGCAACAAAAGCAACTGCCCGCCCTTCAGTCACATGACCTATACCCAGGCTCTCAGCGGTGTGTGAGAAAAACATTTTCCACTTAATTCGTTACACTCAGCCAGTGGAAAATTACCCTTTACTTTTGCCTTTGATTGACTGTTGTATTCTTTACACTCCCTGGAACTCTGCATACTCTAATGAGGTTCAGAGTTTAGGGGGCTTCCTTTAATTTTTCTTATTGCACAGCCTTCAGAAGTTCTAAATGTTAGTTTTGTTATTGTTATCTTTCAGTTTTGCCTGATGGAGCACTATTTTGAGAGCCCTCTGAGTGTTCTTTGCAGTGTTTCAGTAGACAGTAGAAATGATATCCTGGATCAATTGAGTCATAAACAAGTTGAGATGTTCAGAAAAACTATATCTTTCCGTAGGTAAGGCTTTTTGATTGCGTCCAACATGTGTCTGTTGGTAAGTTTCCTATAAAACACTGCCAGTGTCACTTCATGTTTATTGTAGGTATGTCGAAGGTGAACCACCCTCAAAGCAACTTAAACTGTTACTGGAGGATTCCTTCACAAAGGTCAGTCATTTGAATAATACTTGATATTTAACAATTATTTCTCAAGCACAAATGGCCCATGGGCTATTGACTCAGAGTCCATGAGGTTGAGAGGAATAATATTGTTAACTAAATTTCAGAGAACTGATCGACCCACGGAAGGTTAATGAGTCTCTCATTAATCTGCTATTGCATCTCGGGATCAAACCTACATTCAGACCATGAAATGAGTAAGAACTTTCTCGCTTTCTAAAGATTCTCTTAGGAAGGCAGGCGAGTTCAGTGAATATTAGATTAACAGACTTGTACCCAGTCGCTTAATTTATGTGTTTTGGGGGTGAGAGAAGATTGGAGGTTGAATGTTGAAGAATTTATTCCAAAAATGCCAATGTGCGGCAGCCAATGAAAAACAGGGGATACAGAAAAACTCTATTTAAAAAATGGTTATTATCTCTTTACAGGATGTAATTGGCCACCTTTTGGATGATCTTGACAAGTATCATAGGTGTTTTTTCCCAGTTCTACAGTGTCTTCATATTGTGACCAACAATCTGCCAAGATACCCTCTTGGAAAGAAGGTGATGTAAACTCATCTAGTTTCCAAACATCTAGCAAGTTTGTCTTTGTAAGGGAGTGGAACATAAAATTTTTAATATTAGGGGAATTGTCACTTACAGTTTTCAGGGTGCAAAGAAAGTCATTTTTAAAGCTTGCCATTTGGGCCAGCTGAAGCTAGCATATAAACTAGAAAGGGATAACCTCTTTTATCTCCTTTTCACTTTTTCGATTTGGATTTGTGAATAAACAGTTATTATTATTATTATTATTATTATTATTATTATTATATTAGCCCAAACGTCATTTCAACTAGCCTCAAAACCATTTTGATCAGCAGAATTGATTTCACAGTTCTTCTTTAATTTAAATTTCTCAGAGATCTTCACTTGCCCGTTGGGCAAGTTAAGAACAAAATTCACTAGCCCGACAGCAAAATCCACTAGTCCCGGGCTACTGGACACTACTTTCTTTGCACGCTGGTTTTACTAGCAAAGTAATAATTAACTTCCTCTCTTACATCCCTCTTCACTTTGTTGGGGGGACCACAGGGTTAGTGCACCATATTGATTATTGTTTCATTGGTCACAAGGTCACACCTTGTCATGGGGTTATGACCTCTCGGTCTGTGGACCAAATTGTGCTGTGCGACCATTTAAAAGAAACCTCTTTGAAAGTGCTTTCACATGGTACCATCTGCCTTTTCATTTCTTCAGTGTTTACAAAGTAACTCTCACAATATTGGAATTTTGCATAATTTTAAAACCCATAACTGGTTAGGAGATAACTTTAAAATAACATGTCACCTCAGTGAGTTGTACACTTGAGCCTGCAATACAGTCATGAGACACAGGTCAGCAGATACTCTTTTTGACAGCTGTCAATTGACCATAACATGGATGGCCATAAGGATGTTTACTATCAAGTTAAACACAGATTGTATATACCTTGGTCACCTAGCTGGTAATGCCCAGTCTTTACAAGAAAATAATGCCTGCTTAGCATCCAATCAGAGCACGCATACTATTCTATAGCCATATAATAATAAGTTGTAACATAGTTATTTTTTGATTAATCCAGGCCTGTGATGTGTATGAAAACAGTCTTGCAAATAACATCTATGATAAGGAAGAGTATAAGGAAGCGATGTCTCTACTGAGGTACAATGGCTTTAAAGACATGATTTACAATATTTTACAAATTTTTAAGTTTGGAGCCTTTTTTGCAGTGGTATTTGTAAAAATTGATATTTACTAAGACAAATTTTTGTTTCCTTTGTGGTAATTATATCTATAGTGAATCTATTAATTTTCTTGTCCATTTTGGAAAAACGACCTGTTGAAAAACAAAACCACAGCGCAAAACTAGCGAGGATTAAGTAAAAAAATATTGAATACTGTAGCTACTGCTTCATGCTGTTAGAATCAGTTTACTGCAAGTATTTTTTTTATGGGAAGGTTAATATGGATTTTCCCTATTAATAGAGTTTGCTCGAGAGATGAGCTTCTTCCCCTACTTCAGAAATGTGTTGATGTTCTGGGGAATGCTTTAGAAGGTACTGACCCTAAAATGTGAGTACAATCGTTACATTTCATGTTAGATTTCTTGTTCTAAGCAGTGAGGACACAGAACTCCCTTCACCCCCAGAGGCAATTATTAGGCAGACTCAAGAAAGAATGATGAGACAGAGAGGGAATCTTAAAGCATTGGCCGGGATATGTGATTTTCACTTAAGTTTTTTTCCTGGAACATCCGCACATTTTATTTGATTGTTTGAAACGCCATCCAGTCAATGCATAACTACCTCAGCAAACAATGGCGACACACCAAGAGAGCATGTTTTCCCATTATTTCTCTTGACATCACCGAATAAAAGTTTGCCGACCCTTCTGGAAACCAACTTCTGATTAATTTCAAGCATTTAATTGGTGTAAAAATAAATTATCCCTAGCTGTTCCAGTATTCTCTCTTGGCAGACTCAGACAAGAAAAAAATAATAATGAATTGATACTGGTGCATCACTTAAGGTCTGTCAATAAAATCCTATGATGACATGGCAGGTTTGTCTCCGCATGTGTCACTATTTCCAGGTATTAAATAAACAGGACCAAAAATGACCCCTAGCCCTAATCAGTATTCAAAAATGTTATTGTGTTTGAATGGAAACTATTGGCTTTAGTTAGGTATTGTTGGAGCAGTGATTGATTGTGTGCTCATGACCAGTGTAACGTGACTTGTAAAAGAATCTATGGTGTGACCATTTAAATGAGAGTACCCTGCATTATTTGCTTTGTTTTGCAGCATTTGTTGATAGTTTAAAAATATGATATTCTTATTGAATTTTGAAAGAAGAAATACAGTGGCAAATTTAGGGAAGGGCCCAGGGGGTCTGGATGCCCACCTTATTTTAAAGTGGGGATGTCACTAGGATTTCAAGTTGTCAGGTAAATACAACAAGTAGGCGGGGAATGAAAGAGCTAGGGATTTCTTTTGGTTCTATTTTTCTTCTATTTTACTTTGCAAGTAGCTGGAGGCCATGTTCATAATAGCTGGGGAAAATCCCTGGCCCCCAGCTTTTAATGACAGCCTTGTCAAGGCCAAACTGAAGCTCCATTGGGCTGCCCACTAGGCTGAGAAAAATATTGTTTTTGAGGTTGGGCCCCTCTCTTACTTGAAGATCTGAATCTGTCCCAGGAATTGAAGTGTTCAATTGGCATTTTCTCTACACTGCTTAATATTTTTTGCTGGTTTTAGGCATTGCCAAGCGCTAAAGGAATCAAGAGATCTTATTGCCCGACTTGTTGGCCAGTTTGAAGATCTTAGTGGTAAAGTAACATTTTAATTGGCTGTCTTGTCGAAATTTGATTTACCAGTAGTAGGACACCTTGGGAGTGGCAGGCCTGGGTTCAAATCCTGGCCAGACCAACACTGAGGGTCGTTAAATACCCAAGTAGAATGGGCTACTGCCATCATCTCACATCTGCAAAAGTTCAACACTTATTATTGACCTGACTCTTGTTGGATATGAAAGGACCACTAGGGATGCAAAACTCTCTGGCAGTGGCCTGACCCATAGTGTCTGTTTATCACAGTTGTAGGAATGGGTAAGGATGGTAAGGTACTTCACATGGGACCTGTGAGTCCCATTGTGCCCATACCCCCAAAAGGTAGGTCTGGACTCAGCCAAGCTGTTAAACTAAATGTGTAATGTACTGTAACAAAAGTCATTGGTATTTCATTTCTTCTTGTCAGTATTATTCTTGCTTGATCAAACATACAGGTCATGAGAGTGAGTAAAAATAATGAAAATAGTACCACAAGAATTAAAAAAAAATGTTAGTGAACAGTATAGGGAATCAATGTGTTGATATTAAGGTTTAGAACCCAAGAGGTTAAGGGTGGCACAGTTGCCTCCCATCAATGTATGGCCTGGTTCAAGTGTTGGCATTGATGATATGTGGGTTGAGTTTGTCATTTGTTTTTGTCCTTGTTTCAGGAGGTTTTTCTCCAGGTACTCCAGTTTTTTGCTCCCCTCAAAAACCAACACTTCCAATTTCAATTTGATTTGAGACACATTAACATTTCCAAAGGAGTGTCTTGAAGTACCTAAGCACTTCATGGGTAAACAATAGTATAATTTCATGCAAATTTTCTTCCTTTTCATTGGTCGAGAGCCCACCATGTTATCTGCAAATAATTGCCTACAAATAATGGTCTGCTCATATGCAATGTCATCCAACTGTGTTCGGCCACAATTATATTCTGCTTATCCTTGTGAACGCTCTTGCGTGAAATAGCAGATCGCTACGATGACCTTTCATAGAGCGATTTGTGATCGAACAATGAAACAATTATTGAACTCAGAGGGCAACCTCATCCAATATTTGTTGATTTTTTTTTCTAAAAATAAATCATCTAGATGGCTTACATGCTGCCTTTGTTTTTGTTTACCTTTGTTTCAAACAGACTTTACTGAAAGCCACTGTCCTTTATACTTACAGCTGTTCAAGAGAATCAAGAACAGAGATCAAATTCAAGTCAGAAGGAGGCACTTTCAACTGTTACAAATAGATTTGAACTGCAAGAGGTCTGTCATAAGAACCATAATGATTATTAGTCAGTTATTATGATCCCAGATAAATCATGTAGGAAGGTTATATTCAAATGCGCAAATTCCTAGATTCACAAACATCAGTTTCCACTTCTAGATCCAAGTGCTAAATTTATACTCACATCATAACTCACTGATATGTGCATGATTAGTGTACAGCTTTTCCTTTTTACTTTTCACAAGATCTCTAACTCTTTTGTATTTGTTTTTATGGCAGAGACTCATGAATGCAGCAAAGCAGAAAAGGAAAGAATCCCCATATGACAAGTTGCGGCAAAGAGCAATAGACATTTTAGATGACATGTTTAGGTAATATTGAAGATCAGTAAAGAGTATAGAAGAAAAATACTGCAGAACAACTAAATTAATTATCAATATAATACCAATGACAGTAAATTAATTTGCTATTTGTTTTTTATCAGAAAATACCTCTCTTGTCCACGTAACCTGCCACTGAATGAAGTTATGTACTATGACAATGTACAAACAACAAGAAAGGTTTGGATGCAACTTTTGTTTTATGATATTTATTTGAGTTTATTTGCGCAGCTGGCTATTTTTACTTTCAATGTATATTTCCACTTGACTGTTATTGCTACTTTGTTTTTTTTCCTTTTACCAGTATGGGATAAATAAATAATTATTGCATTTTGTATGCACTGTGCCATCTTTTCATAGTTGTTAATGTTGAGTTTTCACTTGGGAAACATCTTTCCCAGTCATGTCTTTCATATTAAATGAGTTATTGTACTGAACACTGGAGTGTTGGAATGTATTGAACAGGTGTGCACTGAAGTTGTAAATTAATAAAATAAGTGTCAGTGTATTTAGAACAAAAGCGCTATAGTCAAGCCATATGGTGAAAACATTGTGCACTCTGGGGTAAAAGCACCAAATTTGGCATGGTAATAGTACTTGGGCTGCTGAACAATATTAGCTATGGACCCCAATCAGGGGGGACATTTTGTACTCAGGGGGTGGGGTGGTTGCAGTTTCCAATTTAAGTGCGGTTATTGAAAAGAACGCTGCTATATCAATAGGGAATGGTGTCCGAGGGAAGTTTAACAAGGTCTATTTAATCCAACTTTCTAGGTGGCGTAGGGGGGAAGGTTTCAACACAGCTTAGGGGGAGGGGTAGGAGTATCTCTGTTTGCATGTTTGTATAAGTTTATGTTGTGAGGAAGAATACAATGACCTTTCCTGAATTCTGGGATAATTTTAAATCATTTAGCAATTAGTTTCTCCTCTGAACTTATTCTCCATCTCCATGGTAGTGGAGATGGTGGTGGTGGTGTCTATGGGGGGGGATGGGTGGGTTTTTCCCGGTGTAGTAAGCGCATGTTTCTTATATTATCAGTTAATCAACCTGTGGAAATAAACTAGATGAGTTAATTTTTATCATCGTTACATCATTCATAAGAGGGTAGCCGGGGTGTCGGTCCAGTTTCGCATGTAAATTTTGACACATTTCACGTATCACATGCGTTATAAACCATTTTTCACAATCCACGAATTTAGTCATCAACCAAAACCGGAAACCGCGCATGAAAAGCCCCTCGCACCCAGGGTACCCGTTACTCAAAGGGGTAAAGAACCGAAAACCATAGTCATCATGGATCACACTTCGCAGTTCAGTAAATGATGGCATCTTTTCTTATCAGCAAGTCAGCAAGGTGATCTTAAAAGGTGTTAACGAGCACTCGAAACCATCGTCTCATTGACAAATACAATCTATTGGTACGAAACTACCGCTCTATGCGACAAGGAGATTTAAAATCACATTTAAAATCAAATTTAAAATCACATTTCTGTCAAGTTCAGTAGAAGCTCCTCGGTCTTCTTCTGAGTTCCTTTTGTGTCATTGTATTCCAACTCAACTCTCTCTCAAACGCGTAGTTCTTTTGGGACATGTTTAAGCAGAATCCTTTGTGGTGCATTGCATCACTTTTCCATGCCCAGTAGCCCATTGTCGCATTACGCTTTGGTCACGTTTCGCACCCAGGGTATCATCTTTGCTAGGCAACTCTCTTGGTGTGCTGATATAGTGGAGAAGTTCTCGAGGTTTCTTCCCTTTTGTGCAAATAGCCGGAACTTTTTTGGCATCATTGACTCTTTGACTGAGGTTTGTGTGGTCAGACACTAGGATAACAAATCTCTCAAGCACCAGGGCATAGTGTCTTGAACACCCTTCAAAGTTTCCTAAGGGATGTAAAAAGTTCAGTGGCTTCTCCATAAGGCAGCCTTGTGGCCCAGGCGGTTTTCTCGTCCTAAGAAGGGGGATGTCTGATTGCATTTTGTGATTGCATAATAAAAGTACAACATCCTATAACACTTTTCATCACTTGATAGCCCTTATGATTGCTGTGCCATGTAAAGAACCAGTTGCAGGAGGAAGAACTGGCCCCGGTTATGGTGGATTTTATTGGCACCAGGAGACTTACATAAATTTGAAGTGGATTCTCACGATGAAACTTCGCAACGTTGAATCACAAAGTTTAAAAAGCTATCAAGAGCAGCTCGATTCTTTATGATTTTGCTTGACTGTGTCTCAATACTAGCTCCATCGGTCCAGGATGATCTCAATTATACTTTTTAAAAACTGAGAGATGTGAGGCTTGTTCACTATCAGTGTTTCTTTCTGTGGCGTTCTTCTAAACAATTGCATTGTATTCACTTAAGGCAAGAAAGACTTCGAGAATATCTCTATATGGCGTTAAATCCACACATTCCTGTTATCAAATGTGTCAAAGATTTGTGTTGTGAACTTGCTGTGAAACATCACAGCAAATATAGCACTGCTCCAGTCTCAGCTGACATCTGCTGTCATATAACTGTTATCAGACGTCTGATTTTGTATGTTATGTTATATAACTGTTATCAGACGTCTGATGTTATATGGTATGTAATATAACTGTCATCAGACGTCTGATAACAGTTATATGATGTCAGACGTCTGCTAACAGTTACAAAAATCAGACGTCTAATAACAGTTATATGACATCAGCCATCTGATGTCACATAACTGTTATCAGACGTTATGTAACATAACATAACATATGAAATCAGACACCAGACGTGTCATGACAGTTATATGACAGCAGATGTCTGCTGTCATATAACTGTTATCACAGTTAACAGACGTTAACAGTTAAAACATAACTGTCATACTATAACATAACTGTTATATAACTGTTATATACTGTTATATAACAGTATATGTAACGGTTATATATACTGTTATATATAACAGTTATATAGCTGTTATATATACTGTTATATAACAGTATATATAACATAAACAGTTACAAAGTTATATAACAGTTATATGTCATATATAACAGTTACATAACTGTCATATATAACAGTTGTATAACTCTTATATAACAGTTATATAACTGTTATATAATAACTGTTATATAACAGTATATATACTGTGTATAACATAACTGTTATATACTGTTATAACAGATATAGCAGATGTCTGCTGTCATATAACTGTTATCACAGTTAACAGATGTGAACAGTTATAACATAACTGTTATATACTATTATATAACAGTTAAATAACAGTTAAACCAGTATATAATCAGTATATAACAGTTCTTTTAGTATATAACAGTTATGTCATAATAACAGTATATAACAGTTATATAACAGTTATGTTATACACAGTATATATACAGTATATATACTGTTATATAACAGTATATATAACTGTTATATGACAGTTATAACAGTTATAAAGTTATATAACTGTTATATAACTGTTATAACAGTTATGTTATACACAGTATATATACTGTTATATAACAGTATATATAACTGTTATATGACAGTTATATAACTGTTATATAACACTGTGAAAGGTTTGAACCCAGGAGTCATATCAAAAGGTTGAGTTTGATTGTCCGGGTGAACGTAGTCCTGAATAGGACTGATGTTGTTCACAGTGACTGACGTTCCGACAACCTGTGCGGTAGTCATCTTCAGAGTCAAAGTGAGTTGTGTCACATCAGTTGATGGTATTATACTCTGGTTATTGATCTGACTATTGGTTATTGATCTGGTTATTGAGATGACTACTGCACAGGTTGTCGAAACGTCAGTCACTGTCAACAACAACAGTGCTATTCAGGACTATGTTCACCCGCAGGATCAAACTCAACCTTTTGTTATATAACAGTTATATATATACACTGTTATATAACTGTTATATACTGTTATAACAGATATAGCAGATGTTATCACAGTTAACAGACGTTAACAGTTATAACATAACTGTTATATACTGTTATATAACAGTATATAACAGTTATATAACAGTTAGACCAGTATATAACCAGTATATAACAGTTATGTTAGTATATAACAGTTATGTTATAATAACAGTTATGTTATACACAGTATATATACTGTGTATAATATATGTTATATACAGTATACTGCTATATAACAGTATATATACTGTTATATAACAGTATATATAACTGTTATATGACAGTTATATAACAGTTATAAAGTTATATAACAGTTATATAACTGTTATAACAGTTACATAACTGTCATATATAACAGTTATATACCGGTAACTGTTATATAACTGTTTTATAACATATTTGACAGCAGACATCTGCTGTCATATAACTGTTATCAGACGTCTGATTTTATATGTTATGTTATATAACTGTTATATGACAGTTATAAAGTTATATAACAGTTATATAACTGTCATATATAACAGTTGTATAACTGTCATATATAACAGTTATATAACAGTTGTTATATAACAGTTATATAACATATATGACGGCAGACATCTGCTGTCATATAACTGTTATCAGACGTCTGATGTTAGATATCCTTTTCTCCTCAACTCGGCACTTTTATTTTTGATAATTGTAAAGATGACAATAGAGTGTGAGAGAGATCAATATATTATTGAAAACAAGAGAAAACCAAAGGTTACGGAGTGAGGGCGACAACGATGGTAGATGAAAACGCTGTTACTCCAATGCTGTGCTTCGCACAAGTTTCACTTGATAGATGTTCCAAACACGCATGATCAGATTCTAAGTGACCAGAGAAGATCCAGATGCGAGTGATCAAATTGCTTTCTGTGAATTCCATTCATCCTTATAAGTGGAAGTCCAAATGAATGCTGGCTACATAACTGCGATGCATGCATAATAATAACCTGAAGATGAATACTGCGGGCTACTCTTGTCGCCCACAATAAAAGTGGTTAATAACTCCCCGTTGCATGTCGTTGAAGGTCTCTGTAAGTGTCTCATGTTTTATTTTTGCGGTAGTTTGGCTGAGCAATTAAATTCCCAAAAAGTGCAATACACTTCAATCAAAGTGTAAAAATGAAACATCTTATCTTTCCAAGGGTGAAAAACGGCATACTGTCTCTCACAAACGAGAGAGCAAAAAGACCAGCCATTCCTGTCCGCCATGCAGAATTTCCTTGAGTAGCCTGACCTTTTGTTTCTTCCATGTGCAGTCTTGTTTGTTCTATCAGGAGCTGTCTCAAAAATATTGATGAAGTGTTTTGATGTGTCAGGGGGTGCATGTATAATATTGTAATGCTTTAACTCAAATTAATTCCGCCCTTCAGAACTCAACTTGCTTCTATGTGGCTTTCCCTTGTGACAAGAATCACTTACACACTCTTTTGAAATAATTTTAGAAAATCTCTCAGAAAATTAATTAAGTAACAGGTATTTTATAGGGTTACCTTGCACTACTTTGAAGAAAATGGGAATGCAAAAGTTTTTTAGGCCGCTTTCTTCCCGTTTTTGAGTCTTTTCCAGACCAAAACAAAAAGGCCATGACCCCTCCCCCACAAGGGCACAATGTGCCTCTCCCCGTGCATATTTGAGTGGGGTCCATAGCTAAAAATAATTAGTGCAACTAGTACTAACACTGTGCCGACTTTGATGTTTTTACCCCAAAGTGCACAATTCAGCTATTTTTTTAAACCATATGGCTGGACTACTAGTAAAGGACACTATACATCCCCTACTGGAGACAAGACCACCATTTTACATGGTCTTTGAAGCCATGTGAAGGTCAAGCCATTTGCATGGCAAAGGCAATTAAACTTTCATTCCATAATTATTTTAAGACAATGAGTATAGGCTAACCTAGCTAATTCTGCCATTGATAACATTTAATGTTTATTCTGCAGTCAAGTCATGTGAGAAAATTTGAATCATTGTTTTGTCATTAATTATAGCATTTGGTTGGAATGCCTCGTGTTGCTATCCAGACAGCACTCAGCAATCCTCAGCATTATCTTCAGGTCAGTATTTGCTTGATACATGATGTTAACACATTTGATTTGCAAGAAAGAAGCATGACTGGAAAGTCAGAGGCGAGAGATAAACCATAGGCTAAAATTTTCTTCTGTTGAGAAACAGCTCTTCTTTTTTCTTATTTTCAGTGTCAATGTTGTCAGACAGATGTAGGAACAGTCCAGGATACTTTACCAGACATATGCATAGCTTACAAACTTCACCAAGAGTGTGGCAGGTTGATTAACCTCTATGACTGGCTTCAGGTAAATAAATGCACATCATAAAAATTTTGATGTTACTTTAGATTAGCTGTTGGCTCCTAACCCTAAAAGCCAATTGGTTTGATACCCTAACTGTGAAACAATGAGAAATAATGATAAACAATGTGTTATTGTTTTCTGTGACCAATGAGGAAGCACCTTACGAGCAGCTCCTACATTACTGACTGTCGGGGGAGGTTCCAATTGTCAGCCAGACCCATAGGATCTGTAAGTAACTTGTAAGACTTTGCTGGTGGTTGGCAAGGAGTTAATTGACACAATGTCTTAGCTTTGGTAACTTACTTGTAGTTTTAGTACTTGGGGATGCAAAGCAGCCCTTATCAAGAAACATAATGCCCAGACTTGGGGTCTGTTCTGTTTATGTTCATGGGTTGGGGGGGTGAAGTGGCATCATAAAAATGTAGTGGTAGGCAAATGTGGGTTCAAGCACATTCCACCCATAAGAGATGGAACTTAAAGCATTGTCAGATTTCATATGATGCAGGTCTTAGTACCAGTCTGTATTTTATGGGATTATGTTATCAATATAAGACCCAAATAGTCAGAAAGAGCTCACCAAGCTTTACAAAATCCTGAAGTTTGGTGTTTATTGTGCCGATATTGAATGAGATACAGCCAATCAAAAACTCCACACATCACAAAGAATAATGTAGATGTCCAGACAATACGTTTCTTAGAGAAATTTAAAGATTTGGAATGTCTGTATCTTGGCAAATATGATGGGAATTGTCCCATAGCAAGGCATCTTTGTTATCATAAATATTTTATTATTTACTTCTGCTTGGATTCTGAGAGCCTACCATGCCTTTTGTATCCAAGTGACAAACATTTGAGAGGTTGTCACACTTCTTATTTTGATGCTCAAAAGCCCTCTTTTTTTTCTCAGGCATTTATAGCTGTTCTTGAGCCCTCAACAGAACAGCAGTCCTCAAAAGGCACACCAAAGAAGAAACAGAAAACAGATGAACAGCTTCAGTATCTTTTTTTTTCATTAATTTAATTCCTTACCTAACAGTTTTGTAAGTGCCTGATTTGCCATGCAGGCCCTCTGCAGTTTCTGGCATGTTGAGACCTCTAATGCATGTTTTTTTACTATTACTTTGGAAAAATTTCCAAAGTAACCGTTAAAGTTTCTTAATTTACCTTAACCTTACTTACAGCGCTCGCTTCATTCAAGCAGTCTCTGAACTACAATTTTTAGGATTCATCAAATCAACTCGACAGAAAACTGATCATGTACAAAGGCTCACATGGGGTGCCTGTTGACAGAGAATCACGTTATAATATTTTGATTCCCATAATTCTAGGCTTTACACTTACCGTATCTGTAATGTTTGCCAGGACTTACTACCTAGGCTACAAAAACGCCTTCAGCTAAATCTGAGTGGCACTAACTGATCATTAGCATGAATTAGTGGTTTGTCATGATGTATGTTAGAGTTTTAAAGAGCCACCACCATTTTTTTTGTGGTCTGCCATATCTAACCACACAGGAAGAAGTGTGGCTGAGGGCCTGCAACAATGATGTTCAGTATACACTAAAGGCATACACGCTCATATTTACATGAGTCAGGGTTGAGCTTTTTTTTTTTTTTTTTCCAAGAGAATCAGGGGAAGGGAAACAAACAAGACTTACTGACATGAATAACTCTATCTTGGTCGGCATGTTACAAGACTGACTGCTTATGGTGTCATTGAAAATTGCAGAACGAGGTTTTCTTTTGAAGGCAGGCTGGCCTGCTGGATGAAATCTCAGTTCAAGCAGCCAGGATCTCTGAAATCTGCCCAGCCCACCTTCTCGTAAAAACACATTACAAATTTTATGAGGAAACAAGGCATGAGCTGAGCAGCTGAACCAGGCTGGCTCACCTCATTGACACTTTTTGATATTTTAATGGAATATCATCCTATTAACTACTCAGTGATAACTAGTACGATATGCATCCCAGTGAAGTCTAAGTGCAATGTGAAATTTTTTTTCCCTGAATCTCTTGTACCATGTTTACAACATAAAAACAACCTAAGAGTTAACAAAATAAGTTTATTCTTGACAGGCATGTTTCTTTGTACAAAATACATGAGAAAAATTCTCACAAAACAGTTTATCTAATTATTGTTAGAAAATGTTATTTAATAAAGAGCTACTGGTATTTCATTTCATTTCATTTCATTGATCTTATTCATTACTTTGAAGTATAAAAAATCAAGTGTTGCATATTGGGGTGTTGCTCTTATTTCAGGTTCTGAGAAGCATCAATTTGGAATGCAAAAAACAATCTTGACTTCTCAAAACTGAAACAATTCTGAGCAAATAAAAGTACAGCATAGCTCCAGTACCCTTGGGCATAGGGCTAGGGCTTAACTCTAGCTTAGTTCACATCCTGATGCCACTGTTCATTCAACAAGTGTGTGGATCTTTGAAGATCCAAGGTGCAGCTGTCCAAATAACAGATGGTTATTTGAGTGCAAAATCGTTGCAAGTTGCAAAGTTTGCAAGAGGAATGGGTGATCCCTTGGGCACCCTATCATACCAAACCAATTTCAGTAGTGTTTGAATTCTGCACTTCTGATTTTTCTGGTCCACCAGAATTAGTAAATTCTAAAATAATTCCTGGGTCTTCAAGGATGGCTATTTTTTTTCTTAAAAAATCAGACCTTCAGCGTAGTACCACTGTCATCCTGATGCTTATTAATATGAAATAATTAATATTTTGTTTAAGCTGCCATGTCTTCATTCATCCTAGTTTTATTTTCTTCTTTTTGCTGTCTTTTGGACAGTTTCCATCAGATGAGGTCTGAAAGAGGGGCACAAAGTGAAAAAAAAAGGAACATCTCTTTAGTATACACGTTGTACAAAGCTTTTCATTCACCACAGCCAAGTTGGGAATTTGCTGTCGTTTTTGCCAATTTTAACAATTTTTTACCTGAACTTGAAGGGTCCCTGCACTGAGTCCGTCAGATATCATTTCATGAACTTTCTTTACTTCTTCAAATGTGACAGCAAGACTCTCCTTGAGACCTGACAAAAATAAAATTCAACGGGTAAATCTGACAAAGTCAACCAAAATCTGGAGACTATGTGAGAAAACCAAATAATGGCAACAATATTGATCAAGAACTGTTCAAGAACTTCAAGTACCTTCTGAGGCCTTTTGTATCACATCCATCTGTTTTCCAAAGTTGTCAAGCTAAAATGTTTTCGAAAAACGTCCATTAACAAAAAAATTCAAAAAACAGTACTCTTCACAAACGGGGCGCGGTTCCTGAGAGGCCGATTAGTGCTAATTTAGGATTAAAATTTTGTTCCGATTTTGTGTTTTACCTTCCTATGTATTGCTTAGAGTAACATTTTGTGTATCATGACTGTATCTTGGAGTAAAGGTTCAATATCAGTATTTTATAAGCTCGAGTTATATGTCCTTAGACAAGATAACCTGGCTTAATCCTGGGTTAAAGTTAACTACCTTTCCAGGAACTGGGCCCAGAGCTCATACCTAACATCCAACATTGTTCACCTGTTCTTGTGCATCATCCAAATCTTTTACTTCCTGTTTCAGTGCTGTATTTACGTACTTGGCCTGTTATTATAAATTAGAAGTGGTGATCAGTTAACCGGCAAACAAATATCAATTTTTATTTCTATTCGTGCACAGCACTCAAATTGGGAAGGTTGCTACTTTCTAACTTGTAAAATGCAGTGGAACACCACGTTTTAACCACCTGTTGAAAACCAAAGTAATTTGGCTCAAAAATAAACACTTTTTTTGTTGTTGTTGGCTTAATGCCAAAGTGGCAACGGTTGGGCTAAAAAATTTTCTGGAGGTATGCACAGTTTTCCAAATCAGTCCTACCCTGTTCCCCTAATCGTTTTCATGTGGGTGACTTGATTGCACAATTTCCATTTTTTTAAATCTGGTGAGGTGATAATCTCCTTTGGTCTCAGGACTATGTTTTTCAGGTACCAGTTATGGCTTCCATGTGTGACAAAATAAGGGAAAAAACAATGCAGTTTGAGTTACGCAAAAGCAGTTGTGCCATTTTTAATTCTGTTCATTTGCCATGTTTTCCTATTTTTGATTTTGCTTTTTATTAATGTTCAACACATTTTTCAGATGCATGTTCTGGTGTACAGGTAGCTACTTCCCTTGGTGGCAACTGCTACACTAAACTGAACTCAAGTGCTCCTCTTATCCCCCCCCTCCCTCCCCCGACCACAAAAAAAATGCAGAAAGTTAATGAAGCCTGAGAAAACAGCTGACCTTTGCAGACGCCACTGGTTTCCTCGGTGTACAGAAATTCCAAAATAAAGATGTTTCACTACCCAGATCTGGGTAGTGCTTCTGATTGGTGGTGCAATGTGGGAACTTTGCTTCAACCAAATTAGTTGAAGCAAAGTTCTCGCATTGACCATGCACTTCCCAGATCTAAGTAGTGACATGTCATCAGAGTGGAATTTCTGTGCTCCTTCCTCAGATGTTTTCCAGGGAAAACAGTGGTGGTATTTTAAAATGTGAGCTGTTTTCTCAGGCTAAGAACAAGGAAACTCTAATACTTTCAGTGACACCTGTACTTACTGCCTTGATTTTTCTTTCCAGTTCTTCAATCTCCTTGTCAACCTTTTTCTCATCTTCCACTGTATATAGTTTATCATGGTGCACCTGACCAGAGTGAGTAAGAACTTTATTATGGTGTCGAGGTCGCTAGCCTACATTGTACAATAATTGGGGAGACCTAACTACAATAATTAAAATAATCTAATAATCAACAAAATAAGGAATGTATGTCCATATGTAAAATCAGGTATTAGTTGTTAAATACAAAACAGTCTTTACAAGTGCTTTCCTTTGAACCAAAACAGTCACACCATTGGATATTATCTTCACACTCTACATTTAGAACATACTAGGATAGTACCATGTAAAAGTACTACTGAATCAAGGTTTCACTCTAATGGTAGCACCATAGGATTTCATGCACAGACTTGCAATATAAAATTAAGTGAGAAAATTAGTATAGGTAATAGCATGATTTGTGGTGATATTTGGCATAAATACCACGAGTGATATTTGGAAATTGTTATACATAATTTCACGAGCCGTTAGGCGAGTGAAATTTGAGTCAATTTTGAAATATCACAAGTGGTATTTATGCCAAATATCACGTACAAATCATGCTATTATTTGTTTATACCACCCACAAAAGGTTTGTAATTTTCATATGTAGGTATTTCAAATTAAGCTGAAATACGACTGCTCTAAGCCAATCAAATTGCAGTAATTTCTCATGCAGTAGTATAAATGACAAAATCACATTGGGCCTTCAGATGGTAATTAACCTGATGGGAAATAGCCATTTTTTTTACCTTATCTTCAGGTAAGAGAACATGAGGAGGAATTTTTAAGATGTTTTTCTTTACATAGATCTGTGAAAAACAAATCAACAAATTATAATAAATAATAACATTATATTTAAACAACACTATAGAGTGTTTTCACATGACGTCATGTCGGCCATATTGGTGTCCCAAAACAATGAAACGGCGGCCATGTTGGTGTCCCAAACCAGCCCCGTGGGAGATGAACTCTTTTCTTATGCAAATGATTTCTTTTGTTCCAAAACATTTGCATAGATGCTGGCCACGTGAGTGAAAACACTCTATAGTTACATGTACAGGTATTCAAACACTGTTAGCAACGTTTTGATAAACCATTCCTTTGTTTCCTACCTCAAATCTGTCAAAAGCCTCGTCTATGCTCTTGTAGAAATTATTAGCCATTTTATCACTTTCCTAGATGAAAATACAGAATTGCAGTAATTTCATTGTTATCAATATTATCTTTTTTAACAATATTCAGATCTGTATGGGCAATGATACAATAGCAATCTGATGGGAAGCCTTTGCGAACACCTAGGTGGCACCCCTAGCCTGCGAACGCAGACGTATTTCCAGTTGTAGCTTCTCACCACACAAAAAGGGTGGAGAGAAGCGACGACGGGAAATGCCGTAAAATTCCGAAAATAAGCCCCTCCAAATATAAGCCCCCCAAAAACGCAAAAAACCCTCCGTTAAATTGCCCCTCCAAATATAAGCCCTCCCGGGGGCTTTTACATGGAAGTTGCCCTCAAATACGAAGTAAAACAAAGCAAAAATGGTAAATTTCCTTCCAACTATAAGGCTTGCCCGATCAATTTTGAAACGCAAATTTCCCTCCGTAGATAAGCCCCTCTGAATATAAGCCCCCCCAAAAGTAAGCCCCTCAAAAAGGGCCTTTGAAAAATATAAGCCCTGGGGCTTATTTTTGGCTATGGCAACCCAGGAATTTTTAGGGCTGAAAACCTTCAAAAAAATACTGGCTCCATCATTAGACCAAAAATGTTGTTGGTCTTTGCCGAAGCAGCTGCTATCTTTAATATTTTGTAGTGAATCATACCTCGTGAAGTTGTTCTTGATTAACATTTCCAGACAGTGATGGCTGTGAAGAAAGTAATGGTTTTCAACTTTAATAATCACATAAATCAGACGCTCACGGTTGGTATGCAACTGGACTGGGGTGAACAGCTGTAATGAGGCGGGGGCGGGTTGGGGGATGAAGGAGGAGGACACTACCTGGATCAGACTGGGTCGGTTCAACCCCTGTAATCCTATCCCTAAATTTTGTTGTTTAGTGAATCACAGAGGTAGGTTGGTCCAATCCAGGTAGCATCCATAGTAAGTGCCAGCTTTTTTCAGGGCGAGGGAAGAAATCTCGAGAACTCATGTTCCCTCGCGCAGCCTGTGATGGGATAATTACCAGCGCCTACTACAAGGCTACGATTCAGGTTTTGTTGACCCTTGGTGGTGGGCGGGCGTTGGGGTATCCCATATGTCAGATTCTTGCTTGCACTTCAACAAGCTAAACTCTTGTTATACGGAAAACATCTTAGCCCGCGATACGGATTACTTGAAATTTGAACTTTTTTAACTTTTCTTGTCCCTACCCCACTCCAAACAGGCCCTTGCCCACTATCCACTATCTATTTATGACGAAGTTCAAAAGTAGGTGCTGTAAAGTGTCAGACCATACAGACTACAGATTCAAACTCAATGTTAAGACCTACCTCGCTTTTGACAAGATTTTCGAGTTCTTGAAAGCAGTCAACCACATAGTCATTAACAGCATTATAAACTAAGGAAGCAACACACAAAAAGGAAAAGTTCTGTGGACACGAAAACTATCTCAGCTGAGTTAAGTTGATTAGCTTTCTAAACAAGATGACGTTAGAACTCAGTCTCACCTCCATTTACGAATGAATCTGGAGTGAATCCAAAAAACTGAATTTCATATTCATATGACATTTGGGTAGTATTTTGGTCCATCTTGTACTCACACTGTTGAAAAATACACCAGGCAATTGCAAACTTCCTTACAAAATGGCACCTTCGAAGTGTCGGAAAAACTCCCGCCAAAACAAATCAAAATACTTTGTAAGCGGGGTGGGGTAATCAAGGTTTTGTTTTATCTATATCAAACTTGAAGTAATCATCATAAATGTTTTTGAAATTAAGTCTTAATTTACAATTTTTATATTTTCTGGTTATTTGTTTTTTTAAAGACTATTTTAAAACAGGCAAAAAGATCTTTTTTAGCAAAATTTTTCTCTAACTTACCCCCTCCCGGTGAAGCTTTGTATGACAGTCGCTCATGCAGAGACTGGTACTAGTGTCACATTTTCTGATCTTATGTTTGTTTGCATTTCACAACGGTCGTACTGTTTTGTAGCTGACAAGTTTTCAACGACTTTTCCTGTGTTCTTTTGGATATAAAAGATAAGCAAGATAAGATATCGACATCCTTATGCCTTTCATTTAGGTAAGTTCCAATTCTGCTTTCATTCAATCTTCAAGATAGTGGACGTCGATCACAAAACATGGCGTCGCGTCACGCTAGGCAATTGATTATATTAATCTGAACTTCTTTCAAAGGATCTTGAAATTTCCTGGGGTTCTTTAACGATCTGAAAAAAATCCTTCAGGATCGTTCTCTACGGGAGGAAGATCAATGGTTTCATTTCACATGCTATGTCCACAGATGCGATTCATGAAAGTCACAAGTTAGAAAACATGCATCATGCAAGTTTCTACGGTCATCACTGTCATTGAAGTGATATTTCTTTTTTTTTTTTGCGATTGTAGCGGAAAATCTAGTAATTTGAAAAGAACGTCAAGATATTGACATGTTATATTTCAATCTGTATGATAAGATTACACTTATTATCTATGATCATGTAGTTCAGTTTATATTGCACTAATTCCACTCATACTGGTAACTGCATGCATCTTCAATATTTCTATTCGTCACGAAAATAAATTTTTTCAACTTTCTGCTCGAGATCTGGACGTTTTTTCCCAGCAGCTGGTCCGATTTTAGGTCTATGAGACATTTACAACATTCCTATGATGCCATCATCCTATGTTAAATATTTTCATGTACAGTGGAACCCCGTTAATATGGTCACCAATGGGCCAAAAAAATTTGGCCGTATAGTTAACGAGGTGGCCATATTACCGAGGTGGCCGTAACGTGGGGTTTCACTGTAGGTAGTACTAATTGCTTCCTTTCCTTGATAGCTATAACTCAGATTCTTCTCCTTGATGTCCAAAATGGACTACAGCCCTCAGTCCACATCATCCTCTCTACCATACAATACCAGTGTGACGCAGACCATGTCAGTGGCAGATGATGTCAAGACTCAACACGTCCGCTTGTTTAATCCTGTAACTCCTGATATTTCACCCCCTCCTCAGATAGGTAGTGGAGGGTCATCATCCATGAGGGTCCATGAACCATTGGTAAGAATATCCCATTTAGAGTGTTTCATTTCTATTATTATTTAATAGACCCTGTTCAAACATTGTGCTTCTACCATGCTGATCTCAATTATTGTATTCAACAGAAGCACAACTTCAATTCAGACACTGTGCCAGAGTTGAACTCAGTTGTGAATGTAGTATTAAGTCAGCTCTAAATGACACAAAAAATGTACATTCTGGAAAACACATTTCCAAAATTTATGAATTTAATTCGACATGGTATAAGCACAACATTGGAATCACCGCTATGCCAGAGTTGTGTAGCATAGCAGACCTTGTGGTACTTAATTGCTCTGCCGAATCAAACTTTGATTTAGATGTCTTGCTTCTGCCGTGCTTTTGTCAAACTTAATTCTTGAATTACATGTAAGTTTGGCGTGGCAGAAGTGTAACATATGAACTGGGCCTTAAACTGCCATTTGCAGAACATTTTACATTTGTAAGACATATACAGGGCTGTCATTAAGAGCCAGTGGTTGGGGATTTTCCTCCAGCTATTATGTACATGGCCCCCAGCTAGTTGTATAGGAAAACAAAAGAAAATAGAACCAAAAGAAATCCCTGGCTCTTTCATTCCCCGTCTACTTGTTGTATTTACCCGGCAACTTGAAATCTTAATGACATCCCTGTATATAAGCTACACACTTCAAAAATATAAACCCCTTTTTACTTGGTCATTTTTGTTATATGTATTGGTATTAAACATGGTTTCCAAATTGTTACTGGTGCAATAAGCTGAGGTTGCAGTGGGTCATTATTATTTTATCATCAGGTGCATTGACTGAATTCAAAATGTGTCAAAGAGGATGGGAGAACTCCCCTCGATCATCAGTGCTGTACTTGGGGGGTACAGTACTTGCCTGTAGCAATCCTCCTTTCTCCAGTCCTTTATCATTTTGTGGATTGGTGCTGCTAATATGGGTTGCTTTAATCTAAAAGGATTGTCATAATCAGAGCTGTTGCAGTACCTTCTAGGTGTTGATCCTAAAATTTAGAGCTATCGGGTACTGAACTGATTTTGTGGTACTACAGGCAGACCACCCTCTGCTTGTGTGGCTGTTGTTGTTATTGAAATTTGAGCATCAGTCTTTTGTACTCAATAGAACAAAATAAATAATACAGATGAGCATTACGGCAGCTACAAATTACTCCAAAATACCGATTTGAACGGAAATCTTCAAGAAAAATGTCGACTTAGTTATCTCAGCAGGGCTCGCAAATACGCCAAATTTGGCGTATTTTACGCCAAAATTGTTCAGATGACTCCGCCGAGGTTACGGAGGGAGTCACTTCGACTCTAGAAATTTTCGGTAAGAAACGCAGTTTATTTTGTCCTTACCTTTTTCGCAACAAGTACAATTTACATTAATTGTAAACGTTGCAAACCTTAATTAAATAATCGAAATTAACCCATTCGCCCCTGAACGGCCCGTAACCGCCCGTGCGGATCCAGCTCCTTTCTACCCTTTGTGACGTCATCAGTTTTAATGGTCAAGGACAACTTTCTTCGCTAACTTGTGCAGAGTGAAGAGATCTTTCAAACCATACCAGAATGAGCACAATTCAGTCAAGGACACCGGAGAAAGAAGCAAAAAACCAGGTGACAAGGACCTGAAAATCTCCATGAAAATCTTGTTCCATTACCCACCTACCTTTGCTTTCACCTAATCCTAAGATCCTAAAAGCTTTCCTAAAAACTCTTCCCACCAAAATGAAGCCTACTAAATGCCCAGCAAGAGAAAAAAAAAATGAGGCAAGAAAAGCGAAAAAAGAAGGGAGGAGAGTAAGCGAAAAGTAAAAGTCAAGACTGCTGTGTCACTTTTAAACCCAAAAACTATGTCGAAATTTTGCTTTCTGCGCATGCCCGAACTTCACAAGCTGATATTTTGCATCTGGATCAGAAGGCCGCCAAGTGTACGACCTGTAAACCGGTTTGTGGTAAGTTTTAGCTCTTTATAGCACGACAGTGACCAGAAAACCACTTGACTAGCTTCAAAACGCGTTTTTCGGCAAAATCTCCAGGAGCGAATGGGTTAAAGAATTATACTGCACGACAAAACAGGAAGAGGGTAAATTACGATCAAATATACTCGATGACCGCCATCATGGATTTGAGCTTTCCAGGTCAGCGGACCACCACAGCTACTTCGTGTATCGCTCGCGATAGTGTATGCATGCCAGGACCACGGACTGGAAAGTCTGAAAATGGCTTTTTTCGTTGTGATACTTGACTCCAAATATTCCAAAATGATTCCGAAATTTGTGAAGCAGAAGTCACACTGACTCCACTCATCAATAAAATTTACTGCAAATGTTCTGTATTTCAGTTCAAATCTGTATTTTGGAATAAAATGTAGCTGCCATAATGCCTATCTGTATTTCTTCTATTGACTACTAAAGACAACAATGACAACAATGGCCACATGAGCAGAGGGTGGTCTGCCTGTCGAAAATTGAAATTAATTTCAAGGCCTGATCTCCATAAAGTGAGTATCTGATACCTTCATTAGGGACATTCTTGAAATTTTCTGAACACCACCACCATTATAACACAGGAGTACCCTTGATGGGGCTCTTCGAATTCCCTAAATCCAGCTAATTAATGAGGTCATTGTTGTTTACAGCAAGGACTTGACTTTAGCAGCATCACAAATGCAGATATCCAGGAGATGGAACAAGTTAGGGGACACCTTCACATGATGCTGCAAAACTGCAAAGGGTTCTCAGATCAGGGAGATTATGATCACGCACCAAGTACCACAACTGCAGGTGAATTATGGAGTGGGTAGCCATTATCATAAATAATTTTATTTTATTATTGGGGGTGAATCCTTGAAAACTGAAAAAAGTTTTAGAATTTGGAATGGTGTTATCATTATTTATTATAATAATTATTCACTGCTAGAGGTCCACAGTTGTTCAACATGCGCATGCCCAGTAGCTCACTGCATCCTTCACGTGAATTCAGTGGTGCCAGTGCCATGAGGTTTCTTTCAGCCATGTTTTTCCTCACCCTTCCTCCATACTCAACAAATAAGGAGAAACACTTATCTATGTCTTTCACTTTGGTTTCCTCCTCCTCTTCTTTCGTGCTCTAGCCGCTTCCTGCATGCTTAACAACAGAACAGAGCACAGTCAAGGTGTCTTTATTTGTTACAGATAATTATGTGATGATTTCATGATACTTGCAGACTACCCAGCCCTTGTTGGGCTTGAGAAGTTAGATTTCAACTTTTTGCTTTAATGTCAAGTATTTCCATTTAACAGATTATGAAACCCAAGACAATGATGGGGAGAAAGAATCTGTTGTTAGTGTGGACACCACAGCTTTGTTACACAGACTGCTGCCAAATTCTTCACCACTTTCAGAGCTACAGGTATGTTAATTTTTTTATTCTAGAGTCCGTCAAAAGTTGGATAACGCTATCCACCAGACAAATCGCTATCCAGAGGATAAGTATTATGAAAACCAATTGCACTATCCGCTGGATAGTGATTTATCCAGTAGATAACGCTATCCACCTTTCGAACAACAGGGGCCAGCTGGATAGTGCTATCCAAAGTTTGAACAACCAGGCCAGTCCATTATCTAGTAAATCAATAAAGGAGAAGACTCATTCTTGGGGGCTGGTTCAAGTATAAGCTGCCAAAGACAATATTAAATTTATCAAATGCCTCCTTACCCCCTCTAGAGCCCAAATTTTAATTCACTTCAGTTTTAATTTGTGTAAAAATCGCTCGGCTTATAGTCGAATAAATACGGTAATTTTCCTTTGGCTTATACAGTTGCCTAGAGTTATGAATGAAACCTTTATTTGTCCACCCAAACTGCGAGGAGTGGTTTCTTCTCTGGATACAAAACTATGATTTTGTGGCATCTGGTGTAGAAACTTCTGCTTGTAGAGTACTGTTCCTTCAAAGAACATTGCTCTGACAGAGTCACTTCTTCTTTTCTCAGTTTTTTTTTTCTTTGGAGCAAATCACTCTCACAAAATCAAGTCTGAATATCAAGGAAACAAAAGCGCTCTTGTTTTATCTGTAGACAAAATTCATAAGGATTGAAATGATGCTACTTTCTTTGCATTCCATATTGTGTTTTTCTTCTTCTTTACCCCCCCCCTCCCCACTAACCCCTTTCTGACTCCAAGAGTTTTCTGACCCAGGGGCCAATTGAAAATGCTTTTGTCTGTCAGACCTGACTCAACTGATTAGGAACATGCCTGGATATAATAATTATATCCAGGCATGTTCGTAATCAGTAATACACTATTAAATGTATGACCAAACAACACTGTAGTTTCAAGTCAAAGCAACCTTACAAATGTATTTTATAAGCTTTGATAATTATTATTCCAGCAATTAACCCTTTTTCTTACAAATACTTTATTGGTTTTTTAGGTCCATTTTCAAAATGGTCAACAAGTCCTCCCATCTCATGACCAATCAGGAAAACACATGGTCTCGTTTTCTGGTGATAAAAGGCTGAAAGGAATTTCTAGTGGAAAAGTTACAAATGACAAAACACTTCTGTCTGAAAATTCACTTTTGAGAGATCAAGTGGAGAGGGAAAGATTCAGAAGGAAGGTAGGAACAATTCATTGAAATGTTCTGAGTTCAGAAAAATGACAGCTAGACTCTTACTGACAGAGTTTTCATTAAGAATTCTACTACCAGGAGAAAGGTGCAACGTTACAGGAGAACATTTTGAAAGATGCTCCGCATCTGAGTAAAACTTAGTCATAGGCTACCGAACATTATATATTTTTGGAGCAAAAAAGGGGTGAAAATATGAACATTAAGAGTTGTCTTAGCTTGCAGGTTGACCAAGATAATTTTCTGCTTTTCTTGTCTTTACATTATAATCATTATTTTCCCCAAGGGAATCAAGAAAGGACTTACAGCGTCATTTTTCCTTCTCAATGTCCATGGGAAGTAAATCACATGAATATACCCTTGTACCCTTTTGTATGGCTGGTAATAAACTAAATGACATGTATTTTGCCTCTCATTAGCATTGTGAGCAACAAATTCAAGAGCTGCATGGAAAAGTAAGTTAACTGTCTCTATTTTCTCAAATTTTTTGTCATAAACCATGATGAGGAGTTAGGACATATCTCACTTTTTAGAACATGTAGCTCATTGGATTATGATGCTTAGATATTTCTCGAAAAATTATTCAATATAATTATATTAATATTTTCAGTTGCTAGAAGTTCAGCAGCAGTTAGCAGTCGCTGTATCTGCAGAACAAAAAAAGGATGTCATGATTGAACAGCTTGACAAGGTAACTTTCGAACTTTGTGACTTAAATTATGCCAAATCTGGCATATTTGTAAATCCTCGACTTAACTCTATATAATAGTTTATCTGTTGTCAGTCATTTGTTGAGTGGGAAGGTTAGGCCTCTTTGGCAGTCACTAGCTAACTGACACCTTTCCCATATTATGATTTTGGACTGATTTTTTCCTGCTTTCCACACAGCTTGCTTGTACACGTAAAGTAACATATATATGAATTGATTCTGAAAATAAATAATATTTTTAACCTTTGCACCAGACATTAGCCAAAGTTGTTGAAGGATGGAAGAAACACGAGGGAGAGAAGGTCACCATTATAAACCAGCTAAAAGTTGAAAGGGAAAATGCTGAACAGTCACAGCAGAGGCAACAAGAGGTAATTAGCAGAGGCAAGGGAAAATATGGCTTTACTTTTAACTATTTTAGCTATTCTAATTTGTATTTTGTCATATAAAGTGTGAGGAAAATCGCCATTAATTTTGGCTCACTAAATAACACTTGAAAAAATTCTTTTGAAATAAGCCAACCTAAGAGAGTCTCCAAAGACATATTTCATAAATTACCAGAGTACATTAATGTATTGCGGCCATGAAAAGTACAGTTTTCATTAAATAAATCACATAAAAGTACAAGATCTCACCCATGCATTTCAAAGCTGAGGTTTACCTTCAGTGACTCTGTATAATAACTTTCAAAACTTGGGAGGTGTGATGAAGACCACAGTTTACATGTCAAGCCTTACAAATAAACCATCTTGTTTTGTTCATTTTGTGTTCACATGTTTAAAAGTTGAAAGCTTTTAGAGTGTAAGTTAAATAATTAGAGATGAATAAAGATGTCACACTCCTTAGGACATGCTTTCCATCGTAGTGACCAGATGCACCCTTAGTACAGGTGAAGAGAGATTATCAGGCGAGCACACTCACTTTCATCCTCGGAGACCCAGGGGCAGATAGTGGTGGCAAAGGAAAGACTAAATGGGCGGAAAAAAATGGCCTTGCCCCCACTATCTGCCCCTGGGTCTCCGAGGATGACTCACTTTGGAAACTGTGCAGGCTCGTGATCCAAATCATGTCTTCACTCTTGAATTATTTTTCAGATGTTGTTACAGTTTGAAAAAGAGTTAGCTCAAGCTGTGGAAGCTTTAACAAAAGAACAAGAAAAAGCTGCAAGAGCTGAAAAAGAAAAACAGATGCAGGTATATTCTTGTGACAATTTTTTCAGAGAGGTCTTGACAAGCTGTGGTATAATGGTTGACTTTAATAGTTGGTTGCATTGGGTACCAGACTTTGAAGTTTGTAGACCAGGCTAGGATTTAATTTTGAGCCAGTCCAATACTTATAGTCTTAAAAAAACTAAGAAGAATGTGCTTTCCCTGGCTCTACCTTCCTGGTCTTCTCAGATAATTAAGAACAAAACACTTTATGGTTTCCATCACACACTACTTTTACCAACCTTATTCTTGTTGCACGTACAAGAACCACTTTGAGTATTGTTGGGAACTGGCTGAGATTTCATATTGATCATTGGAAATAATTGGATTGCCCTGCCCAATCAATCATGATTATTATACAAAAAAACTTCAAGCAGCTTATGGTCATTGATTTCAGCTCAAGCAACAAAAAGAGGAAAGAACCAAGTTACTGGAAAGCCTATCAAAAGAAAAAGAAACAGTTGGACAGATAGAAAAACAAAGAGAGGAAATTATGAAAGAGAAAGATGAACTGGAAAAGAAGTATGCAGAGGCTGAGGAAGCCTTGCAAGAGGTACCATACATGTTAAGATTGCATCGAGGAATTTCAAGCAAAGATTTCAGGGTTTTTATTAGGCATCAGAGATCAGAGAATTCTCTGTTTACTATGCAGAATTCTCCGGCTAATGTTTAGTAGCCTATGACTTTTTTTTAAATCAGATGTGGAGCCTCTTTTAAAATATTCTCCTGTAACATTACACATTTCTCCTGCCACTAGAATTCTTAATGAAAACCCTGGATTTACTTGAAGATCACAATGTGATAGAGGGAATATACAACGTTAGAAGTTTACATGAATAAATAGGTGCCATATCATTTAACAAGTTAAATGTCAAATTAAGTAGAATTTTAAAATCAATTTGGGAATTTTGCTTGGCCTCCAGAAGGCCATGCAGCTCTCTCTTAATTTGACTGTAATGGTGTCATATATTATTTCCTAGTACCTGTTAGGAAGGCATGCAGCAAAGTTCTGAACATCCTGCAATTTGAACCTGATTTTGTGAAGGACCAGACAGGAGAGAATTACAATTATCTAGCTTTGACTTTACAAATGCAGATTCACAAAGATGCCAACCTCTTGAGATCTAAAATCTGGAGACTTTCTCTCTTGCACTACCCCCACCCCCTAGAATGTCAATGGACCCCTCCCCCCTCCCCCACAAATCAACCCAGCCCCCCTAATAGGTTAGGACATTATATGAAGTCTTACATGAAGTGCATACCATCAAATTTCATTTTCATCACTGTAATGATGAAATAACAGGGTTTTCACTAAGAATTCTAGTAGCAGGAGAAAGGTGTAACTTTATAGGAGAATATTGTGAAAGAGGCTCCATGTCTGATTTTAAAAATTGATAATCATAGGCTATTGCACTTTAGCCGGAGAATTCTGTGTAGTAAATGGAGAATCTCCAATTATCTCCGATGCCTAATGAACACCCTGAATAATCTTTGCCAGCTACTAAAGACGTGCAAAGATGCCCCAGAAACCGTACTATTAAGATAAAAAATTCTAGTTTTGACAACAAAAATGTGCTAAAGCACAGAAAAGTTGAAAAATCTATTTTATCTGGCAGATTTGGTGACCCCTATGGGAGAGTTACTAGTATTAAACAATTATTGGATGAGGTTGAGCATGATATCATGAATTATCAAAACCGAGGTCTGTGTTATCTGCCGAAGCCGAAGGCTGAGGCAGATAATACAGACACAAGGTTTTGATAATTCATGATATCATGCGAAAACCGAATTCAATAATGGTTTTATTGCGCAATTCCAGAAAATATCCATACCCAACCACGGACGGATTCCATGTTTTAACCCCCCCTTGCCTTCGGAAATTCCAAAATGCGTTACCCCCCCATGCCCTCAGAATTCCATAGTCGTGAACCCCCCCTCCCCTTCAGAATTTCCGGTTTTTTTTGGAAGTACATTTTTGACTTAGCAACGCCTATAAGAACAACCGAACGTGAATTTATGCCTCCTCAACGCTGTGATCTAGAGGCGCCAGGTGACAAGCTTTACTCTTCAGTGACAAGAAAAACCTACGCTAGTTGCCAGGCCGTGCAAACTCCTTTTTAAGTCCGAATTTGGCTATAAAAATAAACACCACTTAAGGTAATTTTACTCCTCTTTGTTTTCTTGTGCTGTTTTGACGTTTACAAAGGAAAATAGCTCAAACAGACTGTTAAAATCTTTTGGCGGTCAAATATACCGTCGAGTGGTGTTGCGTCCTTTTATACGTCATGTAGTGCGCACGAAAAGCGTTCTAATCTGACAGGCGTTCCTTGGAAGTGAGGGACTGGTGCGAGTTTTTTACTGTTTATCGGACGGTTTCGGACGGGAGTAACAAGAAATTTGCAAGCGGTATTAAAAGATACATTTTCAGTTTTTATTCACGTGACAAGAAATTCATCAAGGTAACTGTGACCAACGTTTTACTCTTCACTTCTATAAGTTATGAGCGTAAACACGTGTCTGATCTATCGATGCTTGTCTTCTGCTTCCGCGGTCATACGTTCGTGGTTTATTTACCAACTACAAAAGTCCACAACAATAGCGTTTTCCAGGAACTTACTCTACACTTTCTACTCCGGAAATCCCACCTGTGGAATTCCCCCATACCTTCGGATTTCAAATGGTAAATACCTCCCCATGCCTTCAGAATTCCATAATCGTGAATCCCCCCTCCCCTTCGGAAATCGTTAAAGCCGTCCGTGGTATGGTATGGATATTTTCTGGAATCGCCCATTGTACATTTTTTAAACAATAGGCAAAAGAAGACATTCAGCCATTCTGTTTCTGAGGAGAACACTCCAAGGGGCTTGGTAACCAGGCAGACGTTGAACTTGACATGATAAATGCAATATCTGCAGCAGATATTGCATTTATCATGCCAAGTTCACAAGCTATTGTGAATTGATTGAATGCTCTCGACCAATCAGATTTTTCATAGTGAGTCTGATGTATAATAAATGGATTTACGCGCCATGGCTTGTATATTTAAAATTCTGTGCCTCCCTGCGATGATCAGCTCCCTCACCAACAGATCCTTGCACTTGTCACAGTGACCAGTCAGTGGAAAACAAAGGGGGCTGGGGTGGGGAAATGCAAGATCCAGATGCTAAATTAAGCCCAGTGGCTGCCACAAAATGCTGTACCAAGCATATGGCGCACCACTCAACAAGGCACTTCCCGACAACACAAGATGGTGCCCATTTTTGGTAACTGTAAATTTCAGTAAAACATTTTCTTTTTCAAAACCAAAAAAAAATGCTTAGATGAAGGAGAATAATACAGATTAATTAGTGAGAGTAGGAGTATTGAATGTTTTAATTGTATTATTTAGCAAACAAACCTTATTGAAGAACAAGAGTCAAGAATAAGAAGCCTTGAAGTTGAACATGAAGAGTCATTAGCAAGGGAAGGGGTAATAATATTGATGGATACATTTAAATATTATTAATTTGTAGAAGACTACCAGACTAGCTATTCACTACAGAAAGTTCATGTTAGTATAAAAATGAGTGTTAAATGATCATTTGATAATAATAATTAATAATTTTAATAATTTTAATAATTTTTTTATTCACTGATTCACAACTGGTGTAAGAAATGTGCTCAAGCTTTAACATTAGTTATCCTATTCCCAGAGGGGCACCCCGGATTTCAAGTGACAGGGATGATTGAAGGATTTTGGGGGGTTTGAAATTTTTCCATTTTGGGATTTTTGGGTAGGAAAATTTTCATTTTTGGCAATCAAGCTTCCCAAAAAAATTTTTTGGGGGTGGCTTAATTTAAGTCTAGGGATTTTATGGGTTATTCAAAACAACCTGAAGATTTGGGCTGCGTAGTTCCTCTGGAAATGTTTGTGGCTCGGAAATTGAGTATGGGATTGTTTTGAAGTTAAATTTTGGTCCAGGGATTTTTTTGGGTTTTGCTTTTTGCCCCCATTCGATCATCCCTGTCACTTGAAATCTGGAGTACCCCCCCCCCCACCCCCTGGGATCCTATTACAAAGCTTTTCTCAAAATTCCTGACCTGTTCATGAATTCATTGCATGATGTCTTCATCAGAGTATGCCCATGAAAGTTGATATATTAATTTTGTCTTTAAATTTCTATTGAAATCAGGAAAAACTTAAGCAAGAAATGCAGACAGTGAAGGTAAGTCAATTAAAAAATTAAGGAGTTTTGTAGTTGTTTGTTTTTTTGCAGGGGACTGCAGTACCATCAATATATTGCATAGTATTATTACTTCCAGAGTGCATTGGAAGACTCAAGGAGTGAAATTACTTAATGGATGTGGTTATTTTTCAGGACAGCCAAGCTGTTCTTGCATCAGTCCAGAAAGAAGTTCAACGTCTTGAAATGGAGTTGGATTCAAGCAACAGAGAAAAGGTTTGAGTCCTTAGATTTTTATGTTTTAAGTGTTCCAGCCAATTTTGCACAAATCATTTTCTCTCTGAGCAGTCAAGATTTTTCAAATTGACTGGGACTCTGCCACATGTATTACGTATTCTACAGACTAATCTATCAACAACTCACTTTAGAAAGTTGGTTTACTAACTTAGAACAAGTGCCACTGAATAATAGTCTGTCAACAGTTACCAGCGCCATACAAAAGACTTATTGACGGACTCAAGCAAAACTAACTACAAGACAATATCTGGACAACCAACAATTTGACTAACAACAAACAACTGTTTAACTGTGACAAAAGACGGATCGACACACACCAATGACTTTATAAGTCTTCATAGGGCTCCAATTACATCACAGCTTAACTGCTAGACGGCCAATGAATTTGTGACTTAACTGACCAATCAGATCAATAACCAGAGTTTAATACCATCAACTGACATGATACAACTCACTTTGACTTTGAAGATGACTACCGCACAGGTTATTGAAACGTCAGTCACTGTCAACAACAGTCCTTTTCAGGACTACATTCACCTGGATGGTCATACTCAACCTACTTATGAAAAGGATGGGAATTCAAACCACCTCATGTGAAAGATACTTTGACTGGTACTGGCAAAGACTGGTTTCCCTTTTTTTCATTGCAATGGCTGAAAAAAGTCCAGCAATCAAAGCAACCTCAACAATTTAGGGTATCATAGCTGCACTAAAACATGGAAGTCAGCTTTAAGATAGAACCCAAGTCTACACCAAAAACAAAACATTGTTGTTGTCGGAATAGTCACACTGTGACTGCTGCTGCCATCAAGAGTTGTTTCTATATGATGCCTTTGATCACTAATTTTTTTAAATATAGTCCTCCTACTGTTCACAGGCATCGTAACAAGTTCCTGCTGAGTTGGTTATTTTAGTTTTTCTCATGCTTAAATTACTATTCAATTCTAAGGAAAGCTTGAAAATGGAGCTTCGTTTGATGGAAGCAAAGCATGAAGCCAATAGAACAAAGGAGGAAACAGAGAGACAAGCAGAGTTGGAGAGGGAGGTTTGTAATAACTACAGTTTTAGTCATAACATGCAAGTTAAAGATGTATTAGCCCTGCAGGATAGAAAATAACCAGCATGCTTGTTTGCAGTTGAGACACTATTTCTGTTACAAATCTTGTTGAGGATATGACTTGAAGGAGGATTTGAAAGTTGGCAATTTTTATCATCATGATTGATTTGAAATTTGGTATTGTGAAGGAGACAGTGATCACTTAATCGACGGCAGCTTATTTGCAAGGAAAAATTAACATTACTTTTATGGACCTCAGTCTATAAATTAATGATAATACCATTTTATAATAATTAAGTTTTAAATAATTATCTAATAACATGTCATGATGTAATTTATTAATGTATACTTTTATCATAATAATATTGTTAATATTTAAAATTGTAACAATTAAGTAGCATAACCATAATTTAACAGATGACAAAGCGATTAGAGGAGATGCATGATCAAATGGCTAAAGATGAATCAGCATTAAGAGATTCGCATAGAAAACAGGTATGTAAAGAAATCCAGCTGTTGATTAAAAGGTGTGAAACAAGAGTGGCGAAGGAAAATGTCCCTTTGCTTCTCTCATTTTCTTGACCACGTAAGTCTTTGTCTTGAAGTAAAAAGGCAAATCAGTGGTTACTGTAAGTTGATATTTTACTTAAAAGCTGTGGCTCCTATTAATTTTTCCACGTTTTTGCTATGGATGACAGCTTGAATTCAAGGCTGTTACTTAATATTACATAATAGATGTCAGTAATAAAACAATTTATTATAATATTTTTTTACGGCAACTTGCAGGCTGTTGTTCATTGAATGTGTGTATTTATTATACTCTGCATTTCTCCACTCTGACAATCAAAGAGTTTTGTTTTTTATGGTGCCATTGAAAATCATCATACTGGACATCACATGAAAAGACAATGCACTTTTAATGAGTCAAAGTTCATATTTTTGGGTTTGATTGGCAGATTGGGAGTTTTACCTGCTAAGTTCAAGAATGTTTGGCCTAACTTTATGATTCACAGTGGAGGCGTGTGTCGCTGAGCGGTTAACACTTGGAACTCTGGATCTGGAGGTCCGGGGTTCAAGCCTTGCCCATGGCATTATTGTTTCCTTAGACAAGGAACTTTAACTCCACTTAGTCTCTTTTAACCCTGGTGTATAAATGGATACCGGCAACATACTGTTGGGGGGTAACCCTGCGATGGACTAGCATCCCATCTAGTGGGCGAGTACCAATACTCCTAGGCTTGCTTCATGCTAAGGAAACCAGGATAAGCTATGGCTGTTTGGGCCTTTGGATTGTGTGCACCTTTTATGATTTACAGCAGAAGGAACTGTGAAAAAATGTCGACTTTGCATTTTGTGCTTTATTGAAATGTTATTATTAAAAAAAGAGATGTGCATGTTAGAGTGTATTTGACTACTGTCCACCAGCTTTTGTGTTGATAGTTGTTATTGATTGGCTGTCTTTGCATTCTCATTTTAAGCTGCAGGAGATGAACACTAAGCACAAACATGACCTCCAACAACAACTTGCTAAATTTCACGAGGTAAGTCTTGGAGCATATCAGTGGTTACTGACAGTAAGGCTCACTAAGCATCAGATGAAATGGTAACACACAACATTATTAAAGTTGGATTGAAACTGCAGCAGCAGATGCAAATGCAGTAGCGAAATGCAGATGCAAATGCAGTAGCGAAAAACCAACAGGGACTAGTATAGGCTTCCTCCTCAATCCATGACCCAACCTAAGGTTTTGAAATTTGGACTATGCATGCACATTCCCCCTTTAAGGGCCTTGTGAGTGGCTTTGTATTAAACAGAGCATGCTTGTGCATAGCAATTAATACTGCCTTTTATGATGATTGAACCATTGGTCATTGACATGTAAATTACTCTTCACTTTCCAGGAGTTAAAGAAAAAGAATGCTAAACTGAAAACTGTGTCTGATGAATATGAAGAGAGGTATCCACGGACTTCTTGATTGTTCCTTTTGTACAAACTGATTGCCGTTTTTCGATTGTTAGCTAATCAATCACAACTTTCCATGTTCTACACTCCCTAAAATGTTCACAACTCAGGTGAAACTGGCAGAGCCATGGTCAAATGATTTTAATCCTGTTATTTTTATGATCATACTTGCACATTACAGAGGATGAAACCAAATTGCACCAAGGTAATATGTCATTTCCGAACTGTCATTTTCTCAAGCAATAAATATTAGTGCTACAAATTGAAAACGTTCTGCACAAATGAAGCTGCAACCCATAAACACCTTAAGATTCTTGACATGTAAGTAAAATTCAATCATTGATTGAGAAGAGTCAACCATAGCTCTGACAGGCCAACTGTGGCTTTGATGGGACAACCATTGCACTTACAGGCCATCCATAGCACTGACACGCCAACTATGGTACTGACAGGCCAACCATAGCTTTGAAACCATAGCTCTGACAGGCCAACTGGCTTTGATGTGACAACCATTGCACTTACAGGCCATCCATAACACTGACACGCCAACTATGATACTGACAGGCCAACCATAGCACTGACAGGCCAACTATGGTACTATCAGGCCAAACACACCACATACAGGTCAACCATGGCACTGACAAGGCAACCATAGCACTGACTGGCCAGTCATAGCATGGTACTGTCAGGCACACCATAACTTTCACAGGCCAACCATAGCACTGACTGGCCAAACATGGTACTGACAGGTCCACCATAACATTAACAGGCCAACTATAGCACTGACTGGCTAGCTGTAGTACTGACTGGCCAACTGTGGTACTGACAGGTCCACCATGACACTGACAGGCCAACTATGGCACTGACTGGCCATCCATGGCACCGAAAGGTCAACCTTGGTACTTTCAGACCAATCATAGCTTTGACAGGCTAACAATGGCACATGAAAGCCAGCCATACCAGTGACAGGTCAACCATGGCACTGACAGGCCAGCCATAGCAGTGACAGGTGAACCATATCACTGACAGGGCACCCATGGCACTGACAAGTCAACCATTACACTGACAGGCTAACCATGGGACTGACAGGTCAACCATGGCACTGACAGGCCAACCATGGTATTCTCAGGCCAACCATAGCTTTGACAGGCCAACCATGGCACTGACAGGTCAACCATGACACTGACAGGCCAACCATAGCTCTGACAGGCCATCCATGGTACTGTCAGGCCAACCATGGTACTGACAGGCCAACCAAAGCACTGACTGACCAGTTGTAGTACTTACTGACCAACTGTGGTACTGACAGGTCCACCATGACACTGACAGGCCAACCATAACACTGACAGGCCAATAATGGCACTGGCAGGCCACCCATAGCACTGACAGGCCACCCATGGCACTGACAGGCCAACCATGGCACTGACAGGCCAACCATAGCACTGAGGGCTCAACCATGACACTAACAGGCTAACAATGGCACTGACTGCTCAACCATGACACTGACAGGCCAACCATAGCTTTGACAAGCCAACAATGGTACTGACAGGCCACCCATGGCACCGATAGACCAACCATGACTCTGGCAGGCCAACCATAGCAGTGACACGCCAACCACGGGTCTGACAGGCCCACCATAGCACTGACATGCCAATCATGGCACTGACAAGCCAACCATGGCACTGACAGGCCCACCTTTGCACTGACAGGCCAATCAAGGCACTGACAGGTCAACCATAGCACTGACAGGCCAATCAAGGCACTGACAGGCCAACCATGGCTCTGACAGGCCCACCATAGCACTGACAGGCCAGTCATGGCACTGACAGGCAACCATGATACTGGCAGGCCCACCATCGCGGTAATGGAATGTGCTATGAGTAAGAATTAGCCTCACAGAAATTCTACTTTAAGGGGGTTAAGTGTTTATGCCTGATCAGACAGGTAACTGAGATTTAATGCAAGCTCAAGATTGTTATCTTAAAATGCATTTTTTTTTTCAGAATCAGTAGTTATCAAGAGAAAATGGCCTCACTTGCCAACTCACAGCAGTATTTAGAGAAAGAAAGGTATGTTTTTTAGCAGGTTCCACACTTAAAATGGAATTACTAGAAAACGCTGGAATATTCTTCCACGGCCCTGGAAAACTCCTTGAGAATTTGTGCAAAGGGTAACCTGTGTTGCCCATGGCCATTTTATGTATCATTCTTTTAATATGAATACTCTTTCTTTTTAATGAACACATCTTCTGTATAGTACTGACCCTTACTATGTTGACAATATCCTATGGGCTGACCACTGGTAGTATACCTCTCTCGCAGTACCTGTGAATGCATGTGTTTCTTTAAATTTCCACCATTTTACAAATAAACTTTTAGCACTCCTCAGGATGAACAGGCAAAACTAACAATCTTTTTCATTCACTTTAAAATCTTTTATGGTTATGTTAGTTAAGCTCTAAAGCCTCATTGGCACCCATAAAAAATACTTTAAAATTTGGCTACATGGGTAAAGGAATATTATTATAAGTAATAATTGGGCTAAAACTGACAAGGCAAATTTCTGAGGTTTTTTTTTTTTATTGCAAGTAAAACACACACAGAAAAGAAAAAAAAATTACACCAAATTTTCTGAGTTGGTATTCCTTATTTGCAACTTCTTTGTAGATACTCCTAAGAAATGTATGAAAAGGTGGAAATGAAAAGTTTTTATTTTGAGATTGTGGTTTACTTGAACTGTTTATTATTTTGTAGACACACACTGACCCAACGTCTCCAGAAAATGATGAAATCTCACTGTGAAGAAGCCTTAAAGTTATTAAGTTCCAGTTCTACTAAACATTCCCCTCTACCAGAGAAACACAAGGTATTTTTTCAATTATTTGATTAGTTAACAATATTATTAATTAAAGTGATAAGTTGAGTGCTATTTCTGTGCATACAATAATCATCTGAATACCACACACATCTTTTTTGGGTCTTTAAAAAGCTATGTGAAGAAAACTTACAATAACTCTTTATTCAATTGTATTGGCTCAGCTCATCCAACAGCACTGCTTTGAGCAGCATTTAAAATTTACTTCGGTCGTTAGGTTAATAAATAAAATTGAGTTTTGACTGGCATGGTTGCTGTTTTTCTTCTAGTTCAGCTATGATCAGACGGGCTAAAAGCAGTGAAGGCACACAACAGCCTGATAAATTACCAATCACTGCCGCACTTTTTCCATCCTCACACATACAACAAAATCAGAAGATGTCAGACAAACCCTTCTCAAGTCTCTTACCAGCTTCTAAACCTCATTTGTACGATGCAATAATCCATGACAACTCACAGGCAGACAGTGGCATGTTTTCATCGGGAAGTTATCTAAGCATGAATGGTGATGTGGATAAACATGGGGTGTTGTCGCGTGACCAGTCCAGTCTTGATTTTTATCCACTCCGCGCATATATTGAAGGCGACTCACCTAAGGTCAGTGTTGAGTCCCTCTGAAACATGTTTAAGTTTTTACTCTGGCTATTTACTTTCGGCAGAACCTGTCTATTGTTTTACGTTGCGGTTCACAAGTCTGAAGCTATAGTCGTAGATGAGATCCTAGACCATGACATTACATCAAATAATGAGCAGTACTTTCCTCATGGTTGCCTCAGGAAATGTTCAGGGGGAAATAAAATTCTTCAAAATCAGGGAAAATTCAGGGAATTTTATTTGTGCTGTGGATTACATGTATGTCACTTTACAAGATGGATGTTACCTTTCAGTTTTTAAGTGTCATCATGAATAATCATTTGACTGAATATGTGGTACAAATTCTTTCCACAGGCATCAGAGGATGCCAAGGAAAGCAGTCTTTTGGAGCAAACCCTGGAGCCTGATAACACATTACTTTCTGTGTTTCCACATGAGACTCAAGATGAGACATTCAAGATGAAAGATTATGTTCCTGCACATTAAAAAGTTGCATGAAAGGATATTTTTTATGTCATCTCTTGCATCAACACCAATAAAATTAGTTTTTCTTTTTTTATGAGAATACCAGTTGTATTAGTGCTTTAATTTATCCACCCCTGAGCATGGTTTAACTTATTAGAGCATAAAAGCAATACAAAACAGTTTAAAAAATGAAAAAAGTAAATTATACTAATACTATTATAATTACATGTATATAAGATGAAAAGAGTTAGAACCTTGGTGCAAAACTCAGAAAATTTCCTTAACACAGGTATCTTGGTGACAAAATTTTGAAAACAACTGAAGGTCATGGAAAATTTGGAAAGGATGTGGAAAAACTCATGGAACTAAAAAAAAAAAACTAAAAAAAGAGTACAGTTCCTAACGGCCAAAGGTGCAATATAAGTATTAGAGAGATTAATCATCATTTTTACGGCAAACAGCAAATGTGAATTTGTACCATGTGACCAAGTTTTCCATTTACTTTTTGTTTACTGTTCATTATAACTACACGAAAATCGGTAGATTCACGCCATTTCTATCCATCAAAATAATGTTTTAAGCTGTTTTTATCTGCTCATTTCTAATTTTGAAAATTTCTCAACTTGAATCTCATGTTTTCCATTTGCTATAACCACGATGCTTAGTCTCTCTATTAATGCAATATTGTGCATCCTGGGAAATCAATACTGTTGACATAAGGATAGAGGTTCTTGTTGTTAGCCAACAGACTTACAAAGTCAAACTAGTGTTCAAGTAAATAATTATGTATATTTGAGCTGCCAAGATGGATACCAGTACCTCACAAATGCCAAGAGCTTTTGATTTTGCTTTCTGTATACCCCTAACATGTAGTAATTTATTTCAGGCTTTTTTTTGGGCTATACATTCAACCCATCTTGTGATGTTATTAAAGTAATAATTTAAATTGGTTTGTTATTAACAGACCTGTCACAATGCCAGCCGCCCAGGATATCACAGAGAAACTTGAGGAGCAGGAGTCCCGTCAAGCTGAGCTAAACCACTATGTTAAAATGGTATTACCAGATTTCTTTGCTTACCACTCAGCAACCAAGAATTCACTGAGTTTATCTTTTCACCCAGATCCCACTCTGTCCAAGATTTGATGAAAAAGAACTAGATCTAAGCAGTTAGTTAGAGCATTTGCCCTAAGTAAAAATGATCACATGTCAATCCCCGACATCCCCAACAGTAAAAAATGTACTTTTCAAATGTTGGTAATGATCGCTAACCATTGCAGAAATCTGGGATGTGTCTTGAAAATAGAAACCCTCCGAATTCCCCTAATTTTTCATTAGTAGGCAAAATATGGGATGGTCAGGATACACTAAAATCGCTGATCGTCTAGGATTTTCCTGACATATAAAAACCAGGCTTAAGTTACATTTCATTAAGCTGTTTAAAAAGTAAGTTTAATTCTTTTTGCATAATGATAATAAAACTTTTTAATATTTGTGCCTGCAGCTTCTACAGAGGTCACCTGGAGATCAACATTATGAGGTATGGTAATCACCTAGAAATACATTTTATTAATTTCATTCATAAAAATAATGACACTGAACTGTGCAACTTCCAGATATACTAAATTTGGAATCAAATAAAAAAGGTGCAGCTGGTAGTCCTGTATTCTACAGTGCATAAGAAGTCGAAATGTGTATCAAAGTGACAGATCTTTTACACCAATGTTAGGTTGACACTGTTTCTGTCATATGAAGAAGCTTTCATGTACTGCAGAATAGTAATTCTCTGTTATTTTTCCTGTAGGAAAAAAGTCACATGGCTGGAAATGGTCTCATGTTAATTCCATCAACTGTAGAACCAAATGGTTTGTCTATTTTTTGTTTTATTGCTGAAGAGAGCCAGCTTATTGCATCATAATAAATCAGCTCTCAGAACCCACTGCTAGATTTATTAAAAGAATATGATCAGAACTTCTACTTTCTGGTTTAAGTGTTGTGTACTTAATTCAGTAAAAGGGTGGAACAGAGACAATTTTTCCATAGGCTGCATCAGCATAAGTTTAACTGATTAGTGAAACCAATGAACATGTTAAAAGTTGTGAGAAATGTTGTGGCAAACAAATAGTTTACTTACACTCATCACAATTAAATATTAATAGAGACATGTACAGCTCCAACAATGTAGAATAGATAGCTTCTAGTTTGAGAGTCAAGGACACTTGTTAAGTCTTACAGCTATCTTCACACTTAGTATGATGGTGAAGGGTGACAGTTTATTTTGTTTTAATTCTTTAAGTTAGACCCTTTGTGATTTGAAATCATCTCCTCTCCACGTACCCTTGACTTGCCTGCAAGTTGACGTTTGTAAATGACTTTAAGTCACAATAAGTCAACTTGTGAACAAAGGATCAAGTTTCCTCAAAGAGATGTTCTCCAACATAATGTCCTCTGATTGGAGGTTAATGCTACCACACACCTAACAGACCACTGCCCCAAAATCAGGTCGCTAAAAAATGGCGAGAAAATTATGTTTTGCCTTGACTGACTGATGACCCAAACAAAATGGACTTTCAGGAAGTCTACATGTACCAGTTGAATACTGTAAGAGCTAATTTCAGTCTTGTGATAATAATGTCCTTTTTCAATCTTTCTTTAATCAAAAGGAGATAGCCACACCTCATCAGGGGTGATATCTCCAATTCACTTTGATCGTCAACTTGAGGAGCATGCATCAGACTCTCTGTACCCTTCAGCTACAACCTTAAGTGGTGTTACATCAACAAATCAACCCTATCAGGTATGCTGATCGAATTTCTACTCTTATTAAAAGGACATTTGTGCAAAACTCGTCTAGCATGGCCGGTTTTCTTTTAGGATGAACTTTCACTACAGTTATGCACCTATCAATGTAAATCCCGTGGGGGGGGAGTGCGGGCAAGGGGAGGGGATTTGATGCCTGAGACTATCCCCATGTCGGGCTTTTGATCGTGAAGCGACCCCGGGGTCGGGACATTTGACTTTGACCGATAGAAGCCCGGTATCAATTCAGAAGCAGTTACCAGGTCCGTCCCTCGCGGCTTTCTGAAAGTCACGCTGTTGGAGAAAGGTTCGAAGTTTTCATTTGTTTTAATCGCCATAATCCGATACTTTACACTGTCATCTAAACAGATAATGTCTATTTTGAGAAAGTTTTTATCTTCAAGTTCCCGTCTGATTGTAAACCTCGATTGAAATCGAATTTTACCATGAAAGTCAGAGGATTTTTTACGGGTCACTGATCCGGCCTGTTCCCACATGTTGAGCAGATGTTATAAAGCATTTTACGTTTCATTAATATGATAGCATGGTCAATCTTCCTAGAGCGATTATGTTGTTCAAAATAAGAGATGCTAGTGGAGAGAGAAAATACTTAAGGTGCATTAGTGAATGAGTAACTTGCCGAGACTGTTAACAGTCCACTATTTTTCTATAAGATTGTCAAGATTGAGCACTTACTGGTGTAATTGGCAGACTGATCTTGCTTTCAATGTAGGAAGGGGGTGGGTGTCGGCCCCTAGGTAGATTTGATGCTCTTCCCTGGGTTACACTAATATTGAATCCAAGATGGCAGAAAGTACTTAATCTAATCAACTTTACCGAAAAAAAATAGGGGATATAACATGTAAGCGGTCTTCTCATAGCATTTAACTATGAGATATGGTGTCTGAGATATGTCTGCCAGACTAATACTTATAATAAATGTTATTTCTAAAATGACGCCCCTCAATACTGGATTTAGCTCCAATGTCTGTTAGTTAGAAAAAAAAAATTTATCCTTTTACTTTTGCAGGATTCCAGACACAAAATAAATCCCACACAAGCTGCTTTTACAAAAACAACGGTGACAAATGGTGCATTCCATGGTCCGGTGCAAACTAGGAGAGAAGTCGGTTTCGCCAGTCAGGTAAAGTCCAAGCATCAAGTGGTACCCCCAAGATAGGGTCTGTTGCGTTTCGCTGCCAACATAATATCAAGGGTGCAATACAATTCTGTATTATTTTGATTTTAACCATTTTCTCTTTCTTTGGAGAAACATTGTATGCAAAAAGCTTTTGTTTTATCTTCAGTATTATACTTTTGCTTGAGCATCATGCATAGTTCTGGCATAATTTTCATAATTATTTTTCAGCTCACTCAGATTTTGTATAATTTAGAATACGCGCAGTTTCGTTGCAAAGTTTTGAACATTTTGTTATAATTTTTAAAGTCAGCAAGAGTATGGACAATGGAGAATTGTTATCTGGTTGTTGTTTAAATTTGAAATTAGAAGAACCCTTCTTCTCCCAAACCAGAGAAGAACTACTCACACCACCATTATGTTATTTCCATGGTCAAGATGCACTCGCAGACCATACAGTAGCTCAACAAAATGATTACTCAAGAAATTGCTCAGCCATTGTAAAATTCCTGCTATACAACCTCTTTAAAAAATCAGTTTTTGTTTCTTTCAACAGCTCCCATCACAACCACCTCATTCAAGACTGACCCAAGTTGCACCTCACACACCACCCCGGAGGGAAAGGGACACTGATGACCACCCCCCGTCCTCTGGTGCTCTGACTCCTCAGCAAGTGGGTCAACTGTCTCGCATGCTGGGTCTATTCTCTGGACCTGGTCAGCCACAGTTCAGTGCTGAACAACTCTATGCTTATCTAAAAGGAGTACAAGACAAGTAAGAATACTTGAATTATCCTTTTAAGCACCATTGGTTGTTCAGGGCAATTCAAAAGTTTGTGAAAGTTCACATCAGGGGGATACTCAAAACTTTTTTTACATGTTCCTCCCTGGGGTCTAACTCTTTACCCTTTTATATACCTTTTTGGGCAGAAAAGTTAGTACCCCTTTTGTATGCCTACAATGGTATTGACAATATTGGTACCCCTTTCACATACCTAGTTTAGAACTCTGAGGCCCTTGTAACTGCTGCAAATGCACCATCCTTCAAATATGAATAAATCACAAAACCAGAACGATTTCTCAACTTTTCCACAGCTATAGAATGCATGTTAGCCCTTTTTATCCTTTTTATGACCAAAATGACAGATTTCCCCACCCTTTTATAAACTTCAACCAGTGAAATCTCTACCCTTTCATTTACCTGATGCCCTAAAAAGGTATCCCTTTGTGCAGGGCCTTCCCATATAGGTCATCATAGGGAGTACCCCCACCCTGGGGGTTTATACATGAAGTTTTATCACATGCCATCAAATCTTGAAAGAGCATCATAAAACTGCTAAGTGGTGGTGGGGGGGAGGGCACGTTCAAGTAGACAGGAAAAACAGTAGATACCTACCCTTCCCCAGTCCTTGAAATTTTATGCAGCCTTCCTTCTTTGTGTGGGCAAGTTTATCATTAGGTTGATTTAGCAACAGAATGGGAAAGTCAGTTGATGACGGCACATGCAAATTAAAAAACTGGCTTGACCAATTGCAGGGCAACAAATTGGGCTCTGGAAGTCACATTCAGTCCTTTCCATGCGCTTTCTCATGGTCAACTGACGTTCCCATTCTGTTGCTAAATCAGCCTAATATTTTGTTCCAAGTGGCTGCCAAACTAACTTGATCAGAAGTTTTGAGAGCAGTCTTCACTGGGACTGTGAACAAGACAAAATGACCCAGCCCAAGGGTTCTATGCTTTGGTTCTTTGTTCAGAAATTAGTATTGATAATGAGTTGCTTGTTTCTTATCTATTGTCAGACAAGTAACAGAGCAGACTTCATGGTCAGGACCACACCCTGTCAGCACTGAGGGCCACAGTACACAGGAACAGCGAGTGTCAGGGCCTGGACCCAAGAGTGAAAGGACCTCTCCTCCCCAGGCCTCCCACAGGCAACAAATGGGAGCAGCCAATAAGGCTAAGAGAAGTCTGGATACAAACTTTCACAAGAGACAGGTAGAGAATATTCTCCAAGGCCAAATAATATGGTGTGAGGTCTAAATTAGAATTCAATGCTTCCAAACCTTTTGTTGTCATTAATTTGTAGTTACAGTGAAACCCTGCCTAGACTACGAGTAGTCCCCCATATTTCCTCAGGGATAGTAGAGCGAGCGAAACATGAGCGCGCGTAAAAAATCACCCTATGTGAGAAAAGGTGACATGCGGTGGGGAGAGAGAAAAATGAGGGACCCTCATTCTTCTCTCTCCGCGCCATGTGTAGCCTTTTCTCTCATGGGGTGATTTTCAGGCGTGCTTGCGTTTTGCTCGCTCTACTATCCCTGAAGAAAAATGGGGGACTACTCGTAGTCTAAACCCTGCCATAACAAAGACCCTGTTATAACGAAAAATATCTGAAAGCCCTGCAGAATTACAGTAAAATATGTGGAAACAAACCCCGCTATAGCGAATAGATTTTGACAGTCCTAACACACAATTTACCCCACTGTAACAAATATTTTGTCTGGTTGCTTGCAACAGTCAGTAAAGACGACAGATAGTTTCCTTTAATATATTGAAAGTGTCTTGAAAATTGATGTCGTGATTGTCAGTGCTTTACACTTAACAGTATCAAAATGAACAAATATAATGTTTTCTACGTGCAGTATTGAATTTTTGGTAATTGTTATTTATTAACTTACCCCAATTTAACGAATATTTTTGCTATTAACCAGATAATTCTTTATAATGGGGTCTTCGCTATAACTAAGACCCCACTATAATGAACAATTATTTTTTCAGTACCATACTGTACCTCTCTAAGTCATCCCAAACAAACAACTTTAATTATTACTGGCCCACCACATCTTTAGAAATGAGAAGGGAATTGGAGCAGAAATGCATCCTGCAATCTATTTTTTTCTGGGATTGTTAGTGGAGATGTGCCGCTCAGCTATTGGCCAATTTTTTCCTTGTCCCTAGTAACAATCCCAGAAGCCTTTGCAAAAGTTCACTTGGCCCAGTTTCCTTTTCTAAGTGGTGAACACAACAGATCAATTTAGGTTTCTGAGAAACTGCCCACCTACTCCTCCCCTCAGCCAACATTTTGCCCTAAGTGAGAAGTAAGAGTCAATGTTAGCTTAGGGGAGGGGTAGGTGGGCAGTTCTCAGAAACCTAAATAATTGATCCAACACAACTGATTTAAACCCTTTGATTTTCCACATAAATGGACCTTTTCCTACTTTTGAAATTTTGTTCATTTAACACATTCTACTGTCTTCTCTGTGGTTCAGCCATAATACTTATTAGAAGCGTGACTTTTACCCGGGGGTGGGGGATACTTGAGTTAATTTTTGCTGGGCATGTGCCACTGGCCTCTCGGAGCCCCTACCCCATTATAGTCCATTCTGTGCCAATAATTATAGACTCCATCTTAGCCACTTTTGGGCAAATGTGTAATTTTTGTGATCCCAATTTAGTCACTTCTCATTATTTTGTTTATCTACCTTATATTGAATGAAGAACACTTTACTTTTCACCTACAATACAAACATTCTGGTACATTTGCTAACAATAAATAATTATGAAGAATTGTCTTACCCCAAAATTCCAAAAATGTGCAACCCCATTCTAGTAACTCTATTAAAAATGCGACCCCATTATAGTCAATCCAGTCGTGAAAATGCGACCCCATCCAGCGGCACATCCCCATTAGCCTCTTATAAGGAAGTTCCACCCCCCCAGACTTTTACCACATTAAAAGGAAAACAGAGGTTTTTGTCATATGTGCAAGGTACTGCACCTTTTTGATGGACAGCAGTAAATGTACTTGTTTTTTCTCAACAGGCTCAAGCACCTCATACAGGGGGCCCCTCCATTACAGGTCACCCCATCCCCCCACCAGGAGGCCAACCTACAAAGTCTACTGACAAATCTAACAAGCAGCAACCTAGACAAATTGCAAGTCACTTTGGACCACCACTCAGATACCAAGGGGGTCCCCCAGGGGTGCAGGATGGGGCTAAGCCTTCAGCAAAAACAGGCCAACAAGGTAAAGAAAACAAGAAGCCTCTGCCAGCTGGAAAACAGGCAAAGACTAATGCTTGGAGATAGTTTCCACAAAGATGTGTTTGCTATTTGTTGTATATATTTTTTAGGGAGAAATGCAAACTAGATCTGTTATTTTATTTGCCAATAAAACATCTGGAAAGGAACGTCTAGAAAACTGTCTTGTTATGTTTAGATCCACTAACAAAACTAGTTCTGTGTTTGTCCAGCATCCTTGCTTTGGGGATTATTCGCATGTGAAAACTGTACAATGTTGACAGGAAAGGAGGGCACACTCATTCCTGTTAATGTTTCATGATTTTTCAAGCCCATGTTGTGACATGCAGCACCTCATATTTTAATATTTTCCTTTTTTTGTAATATTAAAAATAACATTAAGTTGATGGTTAACTTCAATCATGACAAATGTTTTCTGAGATGCATTTGTGAACTGTTCTCCATTAATAGCTGATTTGAAAGAAGATTCATTCTGTTAATATAAACTGGCATGTATGATTATCTTGCAAGAAATGTCCTTATGCTAATCTTGGCTTCATTATTTTTTTAATGCTCAGTACACAAGTAAACTGTCAATGTGTTCTTGATCAGTTGTAGATGGGCAAACTTCGGATAAACGTATTCAACTTGGAAGCAAACAGCTCGCTTTGAATGGGTTCATCCAGGCGACAAAGTGGATTTTTTACCACATATTCGACATAAATCTGAAGAGAGAAGGATAAAAAGCCCAAAAGTGTTTAGCATTAATTGACCAAAAAAAATTGGAATGGGGCTTGTTTCTAATCTAGTGCTGCAGTAAGCTTTAAAGTTCCTAGACTGCAGTAGCCTACAAAATAAAAAAGACATATTTCCAGCTGTCACATCACCAATGCTTAAATCCCAGGCTAGGTACTCACTGATTACACAAAACACATTCCAGCAGCTTTAGTGCATTAGAGGGAACAGTCACGTCATATGCATGAACATGGACATAAGAACTTAAAAACCTCCTATTCGCTTACACTTTGGATGATGAAGTGTTATTGAGGACAATCAGCTTAAGTAACTGTGGCACCATAATTAGTAACATGGCACTGATCACAAATTCCTCTCTTCCTGTTTTACCTTCACTATGGAATTCCCTGGCACCAAAAAACATGTTAAACTTTTGTTTAATAGTCAAGGCACGTCAAGCATACCCCCCAAGATTCTATTAATGAATTGATTATTTTTTGAAAAAATAATGAATCGAATACTAAGTTGTTCCTGTAACTAGTATCAAATTCAAATTGGCCTTCATGCATGCATAATGAGTAGTGAATATTTAAAAGAAATACTCTGTATTTGGTCAGATTGAAAATCTTTGAAGAGATAAAATTGCTTCAAAGACATTTGCATCAATTCAGGGAAACTGAGCTGGTAAAAATTTCAAAACTGCCTCACGTGTGATTTCACGGCTCATTACCCATGCAAGAATGAAGAGATGAATCTGAAATCTACAACTTCCAATGGATTCAACTTTCAAATAATAAATCTGTTAATTATGGAATCATGGGGGGGGGGAGGGGGAGCTTGACCTGGTATGACTGTAACACATGTACCATGGGTGGAATGACCATTAATGTGCTTTGTTCAGGTTGAAAATGTGAGCCCATCTAACAGTACCTCCCCACTAACCTATAACTAGGAAGTACCCCACCCCTCTTGGAGGCTTAACAATCTTCCACAAACACAGGGCATTACACACCTTGCTGTAGATATTGAAGAGAACATCTTTTGTGCTTCCCACATTCAAATCTGTGTTCAGAATAAATTTGAGACCAGTTGGTGTTTCATAGAAATGTAGTTTGTATTTGCTTGTTCTGTAATTCAGAAAGCCTTCTTTTCTGTGTTTGAATCAAGGGTAAAATAATATTCAAAATGAAATAATATTAGTCTGCTAGCCTGCTATCTCAGGAAAGAAAAAGAGGAGTTTTGCATACCAACTTTGTAGTAGAGGTTGGATTACTCGCCATTTCCTCTTTTCTAGCCTAGCAGTGTCCTTTACTATTTTTTTCTGAACAGTGAAACAGGTGAAGCACAGCATTATTCTGTCTAATAAACTAGTACAAAAATTTCATTTCTAATAATACACAAGTTTCAGTATCTGGTTACATTGTTTCTTCACTACCAGTTAATTTGTTATGAATTTTACAGTAACTTGTTTCACTATTTCAGTCATGTAAAGAAAGATAACATCAAAAGACTGGCAGATTGGTAGCCTGTACAACAGGCACCATTTATGGTCCTCATGCACTTCCCACTCACATGCCAGCTGGGTGAGTGCCCTTAATAATGCCTGTTGTGTAGGCTATCTTATTGGATGAGAGCTCATGGTATAATCAATATTACTGAAATCAAAATGCATCAATTTCCTGGAAACTTCCAGAGTAGCTGAGGGTTTAATCTTCTAGTCCTTTTTAATCTAAAGTGTTGGGTGGGTTTATGATGAATGGGAAATCCCGCAAAAGAAAAAACAACTGCCCACTAAATAATGTCTTCCTGAATGAGAGAGAGCATTAAAAAAACAAGCAGATAATGACATATAAGTGTGTTACAGGTTAATATTATTACAACTTGTAAGGATACGATTCTGCTGGGGACATTCGAGCAACAAATGACTTGATTGAATACAGCATACCATACATAAGCTTGAATTCCTTAAAAGAAAAAAAGAAACTTTATAGCAAGCAAATTTGAATCTTTATGGTTATACCCCATAAATGTGGTTGCAGCTTCAGTTTCAAACTGCTAAAAAATAGAAAAATGATCTGCCCTGGTTGTTCAAATAAATAGCACTATCCAGTGGGTAAAACACTGTCCAGCAGTCGATAATATTAGGAAAACTGATTGGGTTATGTACTGGATAGAGATAGATTCAGAGGATAGCGTTATCCACCTTTTGAACAAAACAACTGGACCCTGATAGCCTGTTCCAGGCTCCGAGACAGTCGGGTCTGCATCAGAAAGCATGAACTTGAAATGATAATGAGAGGAACTGGGGAGAAGAAGGGTGGCAGAGCCTGTAATCATTTCTTATAATGGCCTCTCCCTTCCTTTTTCCAGCTACCGCCCCTTTATTCCCAGATCACGCACTCAAATTTTTGCATGCCTTTCAGTTACATCAGGGGCACCCAATGTCAATTTTCGGAAAATATCTGTGCAGAAGATGATTTGAGTTCTAGAATTTTCGGAACATTTGTTGTAAAATGCCTTGTCTGCCTGCCTCTCCTAGGATTTTCGAACAGCTAAAAATTGTTAAAAAATTTTAACGGATTTTTACCCTAAAAAGGTCACCTAGAATTTTCGGGAGCCTTTTTCCGGCTGAAATTTTCAAAAAGGTAAGTTTTAATCCCTATAATTTTCAGATCACTAGACTTTCAGCTAGGAAATCTGAACAGATGAAAAATTTTTAGGGGATAAAAATATGCCTATATCTACCATTCAAATACTAAAATACGTTTAACAATGTTATGTTTAAGTGGTTTTGAACTATATTCTCGTTGGGTGCCCCTGCCTATATGCCTTCCCCACTATCTGAGAGCCTGCAACAGGCTAGGACCCTGATGGCTTTATTACGAGAGGATCCACGCAGCACCCCCTAGACCCCCCCCTACCTGGACCTGCCAAGGATGGCACCAAGACTGTACCAACCCTCCTACATTCAGTGTTGGTACGGGAAAATGACTCTACAAATGCTATCATCGCTTAATGCAACATATGAAGGTATGGTGGTTCATAGAAATTATTCAGGGTATTCCGCTGTCACTTTCAGATGGATAAAATTTACATGTTAGGGTGGCACACGAAGGCCACCCCGTTTTAAAGCTTTAAGAATGCACAGTAAGAAATTACTCCCACGTTACAAAGTGATACAAGGTAGGTTACATACAACATACAAGTATCAGCGACAAACAACTCGAATGTACCTCATCCTTTGACAAGTTTGACTCCTTTCTTCTGTTCCAAGACTCATAGTAAAGGCACGTACCATTGCGATCGAATATGTACAGGTTGTAAATAGTCATTTCTAATCGCTGATTTGACACAAGACGATTACTTAGACCTCTTGTCACAAACCCGCCATGTTGTATTTTTGCCAGGCTCAAAACCTTGTCAGCGGTACGCACCGAAAACTAAAGCTACTTCATGTTTGCGACCACTTCTCCACAGCTTCCCATTCCCTACTCCAAGCTTGGAAGCACAAAGCTTCATCTATTTCAATCTTTTAACGTGAAACATTTGAAAATGAAGCCCACCGTTGTGGCTCAGGATGAAATGTTTCCTGATGGAGATGCTGGATGGATGGAGATGGATGAGGTAACGACCGTTTTGTATAAAGCTTTGTAGTTTGTGGCTGACAGCCTCGTCCGCTAGGTAGTACTGACAGTCTGCTTGTTAGGATTTTATCACGAAAGACATTGTCTTTAATTCAGTTTTCATTTCTTCCCAGGCGGCATCAGGTGGAGGAATGATGATTGAATTAGCAGCGAATGAAAGAGCAGTTCATGGTGACTTTTTCAACAGTAAGTGTCTTCTCCGCAGGGCTGTCAACTCTCCCGGATAATCTGGGAGACTCCAGATTTTAAACCGTTTCTCCCGGTCTCCAGATTAGGCAATCCCAAAAAAATGTTTCGTTTCCCATCGCCCACCGACCCATTTTTTTCGAAAAGTAAAAAAAAAAATTCCAGAGTAATTATGTATCGGTCAAATCGAAGCCTCAACATCGCCCCGGCCCCCACTCCCCCCTCCCGAGCAACCCCCCGGGCATTTGACTTTTTTGAAAATTTTCGTTCAAATTCCCCCCTACCCGGGCCATAATGCCGTTCAAATGCCCCACACTAGGGTCCATTCAGGTGATCAAATGCCCCCACCCCGGGGACATTTCATAGGCACATAAATGACAGAAGGACGGTAGAAACGTCTTCAGTTGTTGAACAGAATCTTTATAACTACAGCAAATAATTCGCATTCAATATAACAAAAACTGAGAAACACTGTTGGTGTATTTACTAAGAACAAAAGTCTTGTGCAAAGTGGCGGAAATCGCTGCTACAAGGTCACTGAAGGCTCAGAGTTTCTTCGTGTGTCATGCAACATACAAAGCGTTCTTTAAAAAAAATCCCACCTATTGAGATTACTACATCATGACAAATTCACTGACATGCATCATCGCTCACCTCATTAATTAACATTCATGCGGCAGGTCAAAATAATTGACCTCTGTTGAGCTTTTTATTGTTCTATTGAATCGCCGGTATAGGTATTGTAATTCGTTACAAACACAACTTAATACATTCATTTATTCAAAGCCTGAATCCAATATTAAAAAATATTAAAATTTAAATACCTTCAAATATGACACAAACCTCGTCACCAATTGACCTCAAAGGCACAAACTTTTCCACGAAAATCCTCTAACACCGTGTCCCCATGACAGCTCGCCACACCAGAGTTTTCACATGAAATTGAGGGTGCTGTTCAAATTCCCCACCCCTAATGCATGGGGATCAAATCCCCCACCCCCCGGAAGACTCTGATAATCAAATTCCCTCCTCCCCGGGATGGCAAAGGTGTCAAATGTCCGGGGAGCTTCGATTTGACTGATACATTACAGTGTAGTCAAAGAAACTAGTCAGAGAAGCAAGTACGAGCACACAGTCTTGTTTTATTAACCCATTCGCTCCTGGCCCCAGTTGTTCAAAAGGTGGATAACGCTATCCACCGGATAAATCTCTATCCACTAGATACTGCAATTGGTTTCCCTAATACTTATCCACTGGATAGTGATTTATCCGGTGGATAGCGCTATCCAGCTTTTGAACAACTGGGGCCTAGAGATTTTGCCGAAAAACGCGTTTTGAAGCTAGTCGAGTGGTTTTCTGGTCACTGTCGTGCTATAAAGAGCTAAAACTTACCACAAACCGGTTTACAGGTCGTAGACTTGGCGGCCTTCTGATCCAGATGCAAAATATCAGCTTGCGAAGTTCAGGCATGCGCAGAAAGCAAAATTTCGAGATAGTTTTTGGGTTTAAAAGTGACACAGCAGTCTTGACTTTTACTTTTCGCTTTCTCTCCTCCCTTCTTTTTTCGCTTTTCTTGCCTCATTTTTTTTTCTCTTGCTGGGCATTTAGTAGGCTTCATTTTGGTGGGAAGAGTTTTTAGGAAAGCTTTTAGGATCTTAGGATTAGGTGAAAGGAAAGGTAGGTGGGTAATGGAACAAGATTTTCATGGAGATTTTCAGGTCAATGTCACGTGGTTTTTTGCTTCTTTCTCCGGTGTCCTTGACTGAATTGTGCTCATTCTGGTATGGTTTGAAAGATCTCTTCACTCTGCACAAGTTAGCGAAGAAAGTTGTCCTTGACCGTTAAACCTGATGACGTCACAAAGGGTAGAAAGGACCTGGATCCGGACGGGCAGTTCAGGGGCAAATGGGTTATTAAACATCAATTGGTATGATGTGATGTCCTTGTCTTTAATTAACGTCGATACTACGTTTTTTAAAGGCTGTTTAGACATTAGATAGTCGAAAAGACCACGTTTTGAGTTGACTCTGTAACCAGGCTTTCTTACTTAGCATCCCGGCATTCTCTGGAACCTAGACCCCTTCAAGTGTTAATTCTTTTTTTTTTTGCACGCGCGACTGACCGACCCACCATCACAAGAGACAGGGCGATGGGAAACGAAACATTTTATTGGGATGGCCTTAGAGTCTGAAATCTCCCAGATAATCGCCGAAGTTTGCCATTTTTTGTTGATTCGACTCTCTGACAATGAAATTTCAAATATTTTGCGTTGTTTGAGCTATTTTTCTGTTGACATTGAACGTTTCCTCACAAACTCCGTTATGCCATTGTAATATAAGCAATAATGTGATTGGTGGGAAGTAAACCAATTAGGTCAAATGTTACAATAATTATTAAAAGAACATCTTTTTTGCGTGTTTTTTTTTTTCTCAAGAAATGACGTCATGTGCCCAGCATTATGACGTCATCTATCACCCACGCCTTATCAATTCTCACTATGTGAAGACGTGGGGGGGTTGACAGCCCTGTCTCCGGGAGTTCGGGAGGGGGGGTGTTTGAAAGAGACAGGGATGCTCTTCGGGAATTGGGAATAAAAGTCCCTAAAGGAGACTAGTATGGGCCTTATATGTAGATATTTCTTTATGCACTACCCTAAGCAATACCCTTGCAAGTGAGACCAAAGTCTCCAATTTCTCTGAGACAAGGAAAATCCCCATCACTTTAAAATGAGATTCCCTGCCAAATCTTTCCATGAATACTGAACGTAATTAGAGGAAAAGTTATTTGGCCGGTTTTTAAATTGCAATAAAAAGCATATGGCTTTAACAGCGGTCAAAGAAAATCAGTACTTAACTGCATCTGGGATCAAATCCTGTCAGAGGTGAACAGCAGGAAATAATTTCTGAACATGCATGAAATAAATCAGCTTCGTGAGCTCTTAATGTTAGACTCAGAGCGGCAGAAATTAGATTTGCTCAGTCAAAAGAAAGCAAACCTCTGCTACTGTTTGTTAAAAGCTAACTCTAAGGTCACATGTCACACTACACGAGCTTATGAGTTGTGCTTAGCCTCTCAATACTTTATTTGATTCGCAATTCAGTTCATGTTACAGTTATGCGGTTGACAGTCGATTAAGGGCAGAAAAAGCCCTGTAAGGGTATCTTTACAGGTATTCCCTCCCCTTTTCCCTTCCTAGTCTCTCCTCATGTATTTTTTTTCTTCATCAATTTTTCGCCTGCATTCTACCATCTGAACACCTGGATCAGGCTATAAAATTAATACAGTGAAACCCCATTATTATACAACCTCTTTTAGGCCATGACTACAGTCGACTCCTGATAACTCAAACCTTCTAGGGAAAGTTTGAGTTTATCGGGAGTTTGAAGCAAATAACTGGAAATAAGCAAATAAGCAAGTGGATTTGGAGGGAACGCAATTAAGCAACAAAATATACAGGGATGGACACTGAGTTTCAACTGGAGTAACAAAAAAGAAAAGACAAAGAAATGACATGGTTATTTTGAAATAAATTCAGTGTCACAGACTTCAGCACACGTTTTTTTTTTCCTGCTTGTCACGTGCTGGTTCAAGTTACTTAGTGTAAAATTATCTAGAAATGATCTGAAGGGAAACAAAAATTATTTCGAGTTAGCAGGAGGTTTGAGTTATCGAGGGTTTGAGTTAACAAGGGTAAAATTACAGTAAAGGTATTGAGGAAATCCAGGGTAAATCGACTTTGGTTCAAGTTAGCAAGGGTTCAAGTTATCAAGAGTTGTCTGTATGCAGTGGTCTTAAAAATCCGGCTGTATACTTTTACATCTAACTATCTCCTGCTGTATCAGTGAAGATTAGGAAATCTGGCCCTCTGTTAGTCACTTTTCAAAGTTTAGAAAATCCCAGCATGGAGTTTGCGCTGGTGCAACTGTTTTCCACTAAAAAAGCCATATTTTCCTGCAAAAAGGTTGCAATAGTTGCATTATTATTATTTTTTTTCTTTTTAAACAGATTTTGATGACCTTTTTGACGATGATGATCTGCAGTGAACTAAGAAACACTTTAAAATTTTATTGTACGGTTTGCTTGGGCTTAAATATGTATTGAATATTGTATGTAAATTAAGACCTGACTACTTGACATTCATTTGGTTTGTACAGTTATATTTTCATTATACTGGAAATAAAAAGTCTTGGTTCATTAACTAAGTTATTTTTACTAGCTGGTTATGGTGGTGCACTACACTGTATCAACTCTTGTAACCCAGGAGCAGATCCACACCACAAAGTTTCCACCGTTGTACGAAAGATATATTTGTAATGAAAAAAAAAACCTTTTTAAGTTAACATCTAGCCAATATCCTGTCTGAATGACTCAGAACCTCAAGAAAGGTGACTTTGGAAAGTCAAAATCCAAACAATTTCCTGGGGGTGCATGCCCCGGATCCCCTCCCTAGAAGGATGCACCTTTGGCGATCGTTTAGGAAATCGGTCACTATTAATCCTAGATTCGTTCCTATAACCAATATCATTTTGTTCGGAACCTCTCTCTAAGAAGTTGGTAAAATATAAGCAGAATATCCGTATGGGTATTTACAAAGTTTGTAATAAGGGAAGGCTCATCGCTGAGGTCCAACCTTAATTATCATTAACTCACTAAAGTAAACCAGGAAGTGTTTTTGTCTTTTTTTACAGTCATAAGGTGTGTCTGTTAATCCTTTTAGGTTCTTTTACGTACCCTTTCACATTCTTCAGGCAGCGAAGTCGCTACCCTTTCATGTACCTGAAGCCTAAAAATAGGTATACTTTTTGGGAGTAGCCTACAGGGGCGTAGCCAGGATTTTTCCAAAGGTACGCACAATTTTCCAAATCCCTCTGCTCCCCCCTGCCCCCCCCCACAACAACGTTTTCACGCTATATAAATCCAGCTTGCCGTTGCGCTTTTCCCCTCCCCTTCTCTAAGTATATTGATCCACCAATGAATCACGCGTCGCTTCGATAGAAACCGACACTCAGGTGTAAGAAAGAAAATAGTTTATTGTTTCAGAAAAAAATATTCCAGCGAAACAAGCAGAGTTAAATGAATTGGTGAAACGTGTGTGTGTGTGTGGTTTTTTTTGTTTTTTTTTTTTTCATTTATTTGCTTATTTCAGATAGTTCGCTTTTTATTGTATAGACTATTGTTATCGGGAGCCGATTACGGCTTCTGTTGTTATAGAGTGATTTTACTTGAACCGTGAAACAGATAGTAACAAATAGTGCAAAATAGCGTGAGGTAAACAAAACTGAGAAGACTAAAGAATTAGTGCATAATAGTGCGTAGTATTTTACTACCTATTTCACGGTTCAATTAATTTTTTTTTTTTTTTACCGCCGACTTTTTCAGGTACGCACGTGCCTACATGTAGCTACGCCCCTGTTACCCCTTGTGAAGTGATATGGGTATTGCTCTGTATCTCTTAAGTCTTCTGTATTGCATTATTTCTTTGTGACATTCACAACCCCGAGAGACTACTCCACTACCCCTTAATAGCGGACAGAAAGTGGCCCATGGCTGAAAATTTAATATCCTGCCCGCTTCGGCGAAATGCTCGAAAACATCTTCCGAAATATTTGGATGTTCGGAAGTCATCGGAATGTCTTTGGTACGGTTAAGAAGTTGTCATAATTTTTTCGAAAATTTGGGTAAGAAACAATCACATGCGTGTGACTTAGCAAAAGTTGGGAGGTAAACAAATGTGGAACTGGCGCAGAACCTTGTTGAAACCAAAAACAATAACTTAATTAAAGTGGAATTCCCATTTTTATATACCTACTATAAACATGGTATTAGCTATGATTTACAGCGCACTTGAAGCACTTACCAAACGTTCGTAAAGGAAATACGGATCTTGTTTACTGTGGGTAATGTCGACCAAGATATCGGTCGATATAGCGGTCGACAGTCGGTCGATACTCGGTCGACACTCGGTCAACATTACCCACAGTAAACAAGATCCGGAAATACAATACAAGTAAATCTACCCATTTTCTCATTTTTTTATGGAATTTTTTTCTATAGTTAAGTTTTCTTATCGGGAATTTGACACGGAAAATGAACAGCAATAGATTTATATCTCGCCTCATGGATCAGAACCCAGTATCCGGCGTATTATTAAAATTAGCGCATTTGACGTTTATGCCATCCATTGGGAATTTTGACTTGATTTTTTATAACTATATGTAATTTCTTGGAATTTTGAATTGTGTAGTGGTTTGGCCCGAAATTTGAATTGATATGGAAGTTTTCTTTTTATGAATATTTTACTGAAGTTTTGTGTGTAGTTTTTATAAGATTGTAATAAAGTATTTTTTTATTAACTTATTTTCTTAGGAAATACAAATCAATCTATCTGTTATGTCAATTCTTGATGTTTTCGGTCTACTCTTAGGCTCCATTACGTCTTTGTTTTGACCGCAGAACAGTCGGCTTGTTGTTTTTGTAGTCACAGGAAAAAATAACAGATTCCCAATATTGGATATTTCGGGAGTATTTAACGAATACCCACAAAAATCCCAAATTTGGCAAAGTGAGACAAGTCCTAACCAGAGAATTCCCAACCAAGTTCCTGGGACTTGTCTCAATCTTCCAAATTTGGGATTTTTGTGGGTATTCTTTAAATACCCCAAGATATCTAAAAATGGGAATCTGTTATTTTTTCCTGTGAGTTTTCTCCCCATTTGACCTTAAGGTACAGTCCCCACCCAGGGACCCACTAACGTTTTCACCCTATCACGTGGTACTACGTCTGGAATCCGGTGTCACAGTGATTGGTGTAACGCCGCGACGCAGATTGTTTTTGTTGATACTGCTCATAGTCGATTGCTCTTACGAAATTTCTCTGCTCCGGTCTTTGAACTTTGAGGTACTCCAAGCATATGTGATAAGCTTACAACTTGACTCATTCTCTGGTTCGTTAGCAAGAAATTGTGTAGCAGCCTCAAAACATTCGGAAAGACCTGCAAGAAGCCTGCGGCGACATGGCTCGATATCTGGGCGCCTTTGTTATCATGGGTGAGTAGAAGCCTAACTCTCTTCCTCTTTTCCTTTTCCTAAATTCTTGATTGTTGATCATATTTTGAATTACTCTCATCCAGTAATAATATTTTTTGTGTCTATATACAGTTTTCTTTAGTTTTTTTCTTTAATATTGAGACAACAAAATCAGCCAAAATGTACACAATGCCCACGACCCGCTAAAACGTGCACGTTGTCCAGCTACGGGCCTTTTCCAAATTACCGCTCAAATAGAACTTTTCGTACTCCACGAGGTGAGGAGAAGTTACTGACAAATTAAAGTACAGGTATACTCAATTTGTTGATGGAACGTAAATCGGTTCGTTTCATCAAATTTCACACCCAGCTCCAAGCGAGGGAATTTCCCGGGGGGGGTACTTTAGGAATTTCTGGGTGGGGATGTGCCGCTGGGACCTCGGAACCCTTAACCAATACCAGAGCTAGTTCAGCTGAATTCTGCTACCCTATACTAGAGTAAACAACAACCCCAAATCCCCCTATCCTAGAGTAGCTGTTTTCCAGAAATTACTGAGGTCATTAGAAAATAGTCTAGGCAAAACAAAACCTTATACCACAATCCCTAGTCTAGATAAAATCTTCAACCAACTGATCAGTTTCTTGAAAAATGATACCCTATTCTAGACCCAAACGCTCTGATTCATATGCCCTGTCCTAGAGAAAACTGCTTGAAAAAAACCATGCCCTTCACAGTGTCACATACCTATATAGCCCATATATGGCAAACAAACTAAAAAACACTTGAGATTCAGGAATGAACAAAAATAATTATTAGTCATTCAAAATATTTCCCCAATTCTGGTTGGCTAAAAGCACACGCATAATTCACCATAACCAGTTACTGATGACCAAATTTGGAAGAATTTTGTGTTTAACGATGAAATGACATCAATAATGCAGCCTTCTACAGGTTAATGCACCGTTAAACAAGAAGACCTGGAGACGAGATTGAGTTGTTTTCGTTGTAAAAACTAAAATAGTGGACACTTCACTCGTTTCAAGAGTAAGAACTACAGCTGGAACTAGGCAAAATAATGGCTATAAGGGTGACGTCTGCTTTTTGGAGAATATTTGCGGAGCTGGACAAACCTAAACGTAAACTATCGAAGATAAACTTAACATCGATGCAGGTAAGCATGTTTTAGCTGTTTTTAAACTAGGAATTATTTTGAATGAATAATAAAACAATTATTGAATTCGGCTTTCGTATCATATGAAGAATAATTATGGAGATCTCGGAGGGTGTTCTCCGCCTTGGCCTACGGCCTCGACGGACAACACCCTCCTCGATGTCCATAATTCTTCATAAGATACCCAGCCTCATTCATAAATTCTTAATTTATTTTGTGTTTTTCCCGTAAGCCTCCTAACTAAGTAAGAATTTTAATAACTTGAAAGTGGCCTATTTAGCAGACCCTTGACCCTCACCCTTCCTACTTCTTTCAATATTAAGCAGATATGTATATTTGTCTAAACTATCCCTCGCTTGTTTTCTGTTGAATGAACCTGTGTTTTGTGGACACCTCTATTAAATGAAAGCTTTTTCTTTGGGCATCCGTACACCCCTCTTCCAACCCCAAATGCCCCCTGTTCACCCCAAATGTAGGCTACCTTCACACAACAATGGACAAGTTTTCAAGCGGCAGAAAATTGGTGCTTTTGGTACCCTGTTTGGCAGGCGCAAAAGGGAAGGTGAACGGGGGAGGGAGAAAAGCACGAAAGTGGGGAAAAGGGAAGGCAGTGCCTTCTATAAGAGCTGGTGTTTTTGTATTGCGCCCACCATTAATTTTTCTGAACTACTCCGACAACATCAACTGTCAGTGCATGACCAATCACAATTAGGGGGCTTCTCACCATGGTCCGACCTTAATTACTTTGTTTACCAGAAATTGTCAAGTCGAGACGCTTTTTTTCAATTGATATCATAATCGAGCGAAATAAAACATTTTTTACTGTTCTTGCTCCCACAGCAAACATGACAACCAGACTACAAGCAGTCTCTCTTTTTTTACTGCTCGCAGTTGACGACAAACAATGATCAATTTCGTGTGAATACACATGACCTTCGGTCTTACCTCATCAAGCACAATGGTCACAAAGAACAGAACAGTTGCCAGCATGAGATGCCAATAATGAAAGGAGAATTATAAACAATATTATCAAAAAGCTCAACGGATAGTTTTTACCAAAGCTTTAACTCTCTCTGTACAAACCATTTAGAAGTTCATTCAAGACAGTATTTGTTTTTTCTGGAAAGGTGGTCTTGTGAATATTGGCATTGCAGATGTCGGGCAAGAATTGCAATCACTTTGAATCGCTTCTTGGTGTTTGGGAAAATCCAGTATACAAAACTTCCTGAGCATCTCTGCCTGCTAAACTAGCTATTGAAGCTGGTTCTAGTTCGGGTTCTAACGTGAAGTGTAATGCTTTATGATTGGAGTAATCTTCTTCCAAAGCTTTTCCCAATAGAACACATTTCCTTGATGCCTTCATCATGTTTGTCTCTCACACTAATACATGCCAGGATACACACCAGTAAGTTACTCATTATGGCTTAGCCAATCAGGAATTTTCGCACGCCAGTGTCCGCAGTACTAAACAAAAGGCAGTTCTTATAGCAGGCATCCCAAACCCTCCCTCCCCAATCCCCCTCCCTCTTTCCTTTTCTGCCTATTCCCTACCCCTTTCGACCCCTGCTATGCGGGCTATGCTTTTAGGTGTTCCGTTCATGTCTAGCCTTTCCAAAATTTGAACACCAAAATGAAGGTCAAATTTTTAGCTGCAATACTATTAATTTAATTGTGTAGTTCCAGAAAATATCCAGACCCTCACCATGGAGGGAATCTCACTTAGGACCCCCCCACCCCCCTGGATTTTCCATTTTTGCAGGGAACTGATGGCCCCCCTACCCCTCCGGAATTTCCACAAGTGTGACAAAAACCCCTCAACCCCTCTGAAAAAGTTCATTTTCATGAAGAAAGACTATTAAAGTAAAAGAATGAGGCATTTTATGGTTAGTACGTAACGGTTTCCATCAGAAGCTTGTATTCTTCTGTTTCCATTTATTTGAGTGATCTCGCAACATTAAAACTCACTACACCACCACAAAGTAACCTAATCTGCAGTTTTTGCTCATCCCTAACTTTAAATGAAATAGATAAAGTTACAAGTCGGTTGTATTTATGAATTTACCTTAATCAGGGCAAGATTACGATTTGTTATTTGTCTTCATGGGCATAAGGTAGGCGTAATGTTGGTAGAATTAACGAGTCGTGCAGGAATGCTATAGTGGTGAACAAGTCAAACTTTCAACCCCCAAATTAAGGCAAAACAAAGAGAAGAATAAAAACTCTGACTTTTGAAATCATAACAATGAAGACCCCCTGCATCTTGAAGGGAAACCAAGTTCAATTTACTGTTGTCAGATCGACTGATGCAACGTGCGTTATGCGCGATGGCCGTAATGTTTGCTGAAATCAACACCATTTCAGTGAGCGAGAATTCGATCATGAACATGCCTCATCTTCAACCACAAAATTACGGGAAAATGAAAAGGAAAATAAAAACGCTACATTTCTAAAGAGGTTATAATGTATAGTTTGTACTTCGTGAAGTAAAATTGCCACTCTACGGTTCTTCCATTGATCGACTGACGCAACGTGATGTGTTGCACGCGTTGATGTCTTAAGGGAGACTGGTAACGAGTAATGGCGGCCGAATATACGAGCGTGCGATAAGTTGTAGTTGGTCAAATTCCTTTGAAATTACATCCAAAACGTTTTTGGATGTAAGATCAAAAGGAACAATCTTAAATGATAAATTTCAAGTTATTTATGTTCTAAAAATGATCTAACATTTCAGTAAGAAGCAATGTTCGAACTCAGGTTGAAAATGAAATGATATTTACCCCTGGAAAGTGATTTTATTGTCCAACCCCCATCCCCTCTGGAATTTCCTGGGCCTCTGACCCCCCCCACCCCACCCCCTTGGAATTTCCAATTCCCTCCGTGGTGGAGGTCTGGATATTTTCTGGAACCACACATTGCAACGTGCATGCTGTGAACACCATAACCATCTGAATTTTCATACGACAAAAGCGCGGTTCCATGGATGGATGGTAACTCAGATGTAAGATGCTAGTTTGATTTTCTAAAGTAGCACTCCACTTGAACAGATGGTAAAACCACTGGAAAAAAATTGAAATTCAGCCTTGGCTAGTTGCAAGTCCTGTGTGAACAGAGATAAAATTTCGAACAGTTCGGTGTAAATAAAGTGATCGGTCAAATTTTTCAGCCAGTCAAAAATTTGTCTGATGCTGTGTGAATGTAGCTATAAACTTGACATCTGGAATAAGTCCCTCCACTTGATTCAAAATCCTTGATCAACCACTGTACTTACTGCATTTATGTCTGACTGTGGTCAATATCTATGATTACTCTCCAGGTTTGATTCTGAGCAGACTAGATGTTACCGTTGCACAGAATAACACAACATCAATTCCTATGTCAAATTCAAGTGGCCTTATCACCACCCCTAAATTACCAATTACCACGGCTCCAGCCACGGGACTGGGCCATTTCAATGTCTCATGTATCCTGTTGGACATCTCTTGTTCTGTTAATGTGGATTTGCATGTCAACAGTAAAGTATGCTACAAATATTGTTGAGGTCCTAAACTAAAGGTTAAACATAAATTAATACGGTAAACTGCCGCTAAAACAACTGGGCTTATACATCTTCATAAAAAATTTTAGGAGGGCTTATACACAGAGGGTCTTATATCCAAGGGGGCTTAGATCACTGGAATGGAAAAAGTGTGGCAGTTTACGGTATTCTTATTATTTATTATTGATGTAGGTTATCAGATTGAAGGGTCATCATTCAATTTATATTTTTTTATTATCATTTTAGATGCCTATAACCTTTCTTAGCTTGAAACAAGGGCTTAAACAAATCCAGGTTTCTTTTTTAAGTAAAAGATTTATGATTCGAAGAATCAAGATCTAAAGGATTATTAAGACTTTTGCTTAATGGCAGTGACATGAAGGTGGCAGGTAGAATTTCAGAATAAAGGAATATTGTTATTTAATATTAGCACAAAGCAAAAACATCTGTAAGGGCTTCACTTGCTCACAAACTACAGCTTAAACTTTGATGGATATACTGAAGACCTTATTCATCATGTAGCAGTGTGGGTAGTAATATTAAATCGGGATGAAATATTCACAGGATCAAAAACATGAAAAAAGCCAATATTCACCCATCTTGACAGAACAATCTTTTTTAGTAAAGGAGTTATTATATGGCCAAGAAAACTTTCTTTCTCGCACAACCGAAGTGAGAAATCCAGAGTAGGCAAGATAAGCCTATCTTGTTTACACAGGTGCTAATCAGAACACCCCATTCAATTTATCTTGCTTGCTTGAGGAACCAACATAATCATGAAAACTGATAATTACATCAATTTCTTTTTTAAGCAAATCAGTTATTTTGAAAATGGTCTGAATGTTTGTGGTCATATATATTTCAGGTTCAAACTGTTACTTATGACCTGCCTTTGAAAGCCGCTGCAAGTGGAACTTGTGTTGATCAGAAATCAGAAATCAATCTTGTATGGTCTAAAGGACCAGCAAACTTAATGATATCCATGATACTCGCCATTCAGAAAGAGAAATGGACTGTCTCCAACCTGGGGTTTACTGCTAGAACTGATAATCAACCTCTTGTCATCAATGCAACAGGTACATGTATAGCTGAAACCTCCACTAGTGGTGACCTCTATTTATTATGACAGTAACCTCTCTAGCGTGCCTGCCACTTGTTTTTGTCAGGGTGGACAGTCAAGTGAACAATCACCCATATTGACTTAACCTGGCAAGTCTGGAAAGCTTATAACATTAATAAAAACTGTCTGAATGCCATCTTGGTAACAACAACAATAACAAACTTTATTAGGAACACATCAACTATACAATAGGGTTTTTATGTTTAATGTTACCCTGCGAATAGAAAAATCTAATCAAGGTGGGGGGATGCAAAAAAAGAGAAAGAAATATTAATGCTATAAGAAACAAAAGCAAAAAGCAAAATCAAAAAGCATATTGAGTATATAAATGAATCACATAAATAAATATTAAATATGGCAGAAGAGGCCCCAAGGGGAAGCTATGCAATAAAGTATGTATGTATGTATGTATGTAAATTCTTAATATTTAAAGTTTTTACAGTGTATAACACATTATATAAAAGGTATAGTATCATTTAGTTCAAATGTCCATAAATAAATAAATGAATAAATAGATTCAAGAACAAGAACAATTCTTTAGTGACTCAGCTTTGCATCTGTAATCTGCACCACAGACAAAACTAAATGTCTAGTCACTAGTAAGTCCGTCTGTGAAACAGCGCAGAAATCGTTGGCTATGCGCCATGATTGGCCTGTTCAAAAAAACATTGTTGGTTTGCTAATCAGTTGAAGGGAAATTCAAAATGCATTTCTGGTAATTCTTTGAATCCTTTGGGGGCCCTGTGAACAATACATGTTTATTCCTATTTTGCTTTGGACGTTTTCAGAGAAAGAAGTCAGTGCTTGGCAGAATGACACCAGCATTCTGAAGATGACTGCCACCAGTGGCAAGAGCTTCAAGTGTGATCAGCATCTAGACATACCATTAAAGGCTGAAAACAAAGTTAAAGTTATGATAAAACAGATTCACCTGCAGCCTTTTAGTTCAGATGCTAAAAAGGAGTTTGGTGAAGGTTAGATTAACTCTTCAATTCAGTGATCAGTTTGTAATTTCTCCAAAAATGTCATTGCTTAATCAATAGTAAAAGTCATGAGAAGAAGAAAAGGATCACCAAGTTAGAAAAATGGCTTGATTAACAAACAAATTATCGTAGTCAGTACCTTGAAAATGTATCGGTGAACAGTGTTGAGAATATATGCAAGCTAATATAAGAGTTGTATTTATAATGGTGCAGCTGCAGTTTTTTTTAACCTGCAACTCATCTTGCAGGGTGGGGTACTTCCATCGTGGTAAGTTCTGTATGCTTAGGGATGGGGTTCAGAGAAATGTGGTGTATCAAAATTTCCCTCCTCCCCACCCCTCCCCCCCCAAAAAAGGATAATAATAGTAATAATAGTAACAGTTACCAGTGCCATACAAACGACTTATTGACGAGATCAAGTAAAACTAACTACGAGAGAATGACTGGAGAACTGACAATTTGACTAACAATAGATGACTGTTTAACTGCGACAATAGACGGATCAAAATGCACCAATTACTGATTACGAGTCTTCATAGCCAATAACATCACGGCTTAACTGATAGACGACCAATAACATCTCGACATAATTTACCAATCAGATCAATAACCAATCAGATCAATAACCAATAAACAATACAACTCACTTTGACTCTGAAGATGACTACCACACATGTTGTCGAAACGTCAGTCACTGTCAACAACAACAGTCCTGTTCAGGACTATGTTCACTCGGACAATCAAACTCAACCTACTTTTGAATAGTAATAATAATAATAGCAATAATAATAATTTCATACAAAATGGTACCCCCTCACTTTTTGTACATTTTCAAAGATTGAACCTTTCCCCCGACCCCCACCAAAAAAATAAATAATAGTAATAGTTCTTCAATTTTTTTTTAAATCTCCTTTGGGCTTAAATTAGTGTCCAAACTTAGAGTTCTTAAAACCATTAAGACGTCTAAAAGGAAGCATTCAACATTGTTCAGAAAATTCATAAGACATAGGATGCTTTATGTAACTTTATCAACCTGTTTGTGAACAAAGTGATGAAAAACCTAACTTACCAATTTTATGTTTTTGCCTTTCAGCTGATGTTTGTTCTCCAAATGCTGGAAGAAATCCTGCCGAACCCGTTGATACCATTGTGCCAACAGCGGTTGGCTGTGTATTGGCTGGTTTGATTGTCATTCTTATTATTACTTATATTGTAGGCCGCTGCAGAAGGCCAGGTTATCAGAAAATGTGATCATATTGTGTAATAGCAGAAACTCATGACCATAAACTGCTGCTTATAACACCCCCCCCCCAAATATAAGCCCTCCCAGTTACACGACCATCCCCCTATAAACAAAAAAACATATCCGATTATACCCCCCCTGCCCCCTTTACCTTGTATTAAAATAAATAAATGTTTGATTTATTATGACTTTTTAAAACTTAATTAAAAATCAGTAAATCCAAACTGCAGTTTGATCAGCACTGTTAGCTTATTTCGATGCACTTTTTTTGTTCCGGGTAATAAGCCCCCATTCCCCCCTCTCATCCTCCGGATATAAGTTTAACAGCACTCCTGAAACGCCTTATGAAAATGTATAAGTCCAGGTTTTGTAGGCAACAGTTTATGGTATTTATGTAGTGGGTGTGGCAAAATCAGAACCTTGACCACTGTGTATTAATTTATGAAGATTTTTTTTGGCAAATGAAAAATTCAATTTTGGGGAAAGGAATGGTATTATTCCACACTCAAAGAAATCTCTCCCAGGATATAATTAAACAAAATCTAACATTGTATGGATTAAGTGGACTAAGGTTTTACCATGAGATAAGTTGACTAGTTTGTTAAAATGTTTTGGTTAAGATTTCACTGAGTGTAATGTTTACATTTAATAACATATTAATTACTCTGTCTCAAAGTGTACATTAACTCTGAAAACAATGCAAACAGTGTAAATTTTGTTCGAAAGCTTGTTCACACCAAGAACCATTCCTCAAAATTCCCCTTCAGTTAAATTGCTCTAAAGGCACTTTTTTGAATTTTTCTTTGCAAGCGTGCCTTTTTTGATTGTATCTACACTACGTTATAGAGGTGACGTAATTGTACAAATAATACGCTCTCTCTCGACTAATGACCGCGCAAGGTAATTGTGAAAATTATTTCTATCGTGCCGTCTGACGCTGTACATTTCCTAGTTGTTATTATGTAATTAACCCAAAAAATATATAGTCTCCACACTTAGGAATTAACAATAAGAATGAACTTCATGAAAAGGATTTCACTGTCAAAATCAGACCAAATAAAGCATATCGTTGTCAATATTAGGCCATTTCCGAGATGTCCTAAGCCTCTGTTTGAGAGTGAGGCTAAGTGCGAAGACATTGATATGAAAATGAATTTTTTGTTATTTTCATGCAAATAGAACCCACTTTCACAGCAAAGGTTTTGCTGGTAGCCTCGTTTTGAAAGTGAGATTTTTTGGAACTCGGTTATGGTCTACCTTACACAAAATACGGCATGTATTTGCATGTTTATTTCTTGTTTAATTTGTTTTAAGTCATTTCGTCGGTATTTAATTTATCCTTTGTGCAAAATTGGTCTTGTTTTAAGAAAATAAAAACGTTATATTTTTATATTTTCAGAGGGGTTTTTTTTCTGCTCCATGAAGGAAAATCGCCCTTTTCCTTGTTTTCTTACCCATAAAACAGGCTGAAATCTAAATTTGGTTTTGGCGGCAACATCCACGAGGGACATCACCCCAACTCTAAAACACTAAAAATATACAAGATGATGATAAAAACTAAAACAACGAATAAAAACTAATATAAACTGCTAATAAAAGATAACCTAAAGGAGTTTACTTTTAATAATACAGAGAGATTGAGTGGTAACAGCTTCTTTCGGGAGTTTGTTCCATTCCGTTATTGTCGTGGGAAAAAAAAGACGATCAAAAAATATCGTTGTGTCCTTTTTCCGGAATGTGTGCCGCTCCCAGTGATCTTTTTAGTTTTAACTCACTTAAGTCCATGCCAGAGGGTTTTTTTATTCTTTCGTAATTTCTGATAGTTCGTGTCCAAGCCCCGACAGCGAGGCGCGAAGCGCTTTAGCAAACCGTAAGCACGGTTTATTTCGTTCTAGATATTTCGAGAATGGACTTCTGGAGCCAGGGTACATTTTCGCAGTTTTTTCCTAAACAAAAAAACATTTTTACGCACGTCGAAAACGACTGTTGAAAATATAACAGCTTCTCTGTAGCAATAGGCTGCTTTCGGGTATACATATTTTTTTACTTGCCAGCGACTTAGTCTGCATGAGAAGAAAACTAACCATCAAAAGACAAAACAAGTTGCTTAACCTCTCTGACCTCTTTTGCTTCTCTTGGAAATTTGTCGCAAAAAAACTTTCTCTGATTGAAGCTTACTCTAGTAAAGGTGAATCACAGTTAAATCGAGTTCCTGGATTCTTTCAGAGTCGTACAAAAAACGACTTACAGTAAAAAGATCACTATGCTTGAACGCTTCTTAATAACTTATTTGCAAACTTTCCCACTGCAGATCGTGTGTTGAAATGCTCGTTGCTTAGGTCTAATTTATGGTCGTTTTTCAGTGTTTGATCTGTGATAAAACCTTTTGGCTACTCTTTGTTTAAGGCCATAAGTCGTGGAAGGAAAACCATCGAAAACATGGTTAATGTTGATTGCTTTCTCCTTTCATGAAAATCAAGCCAGAATCTGCCAGGACCGCAACACTTTTTGGCCCCCTCTGTTGTGTGGTAATTTTCGCAACGATTAACTCAGATCACGAACATTCTCCTCTGTGAATCACCAAAGTAAGTGTCATTCAATCATCGACTATACAAGGTGAATAAGATATAACAACTTCCTACTTATCACAAATGTGTTTAGCTCGTTACTCACAGCAGCTTTGGAACAAAACTTACGTATTACTAACATCAGGTATAGCGAATGCATATATTTCCGATACTCTTGGCACTTCGTTAGAACTAGACTGCAAAACAGTCCGTATTTTTGCATATTGAAGTACGCGCGAGAAGGCAAACAAAAGGTCTGGAACGAGGCTGAAAACAGAGATCCAGACTGGGGAGGGACGCTAAAAATGTTTTTCTCTCGCTTCACACGCCCTACGGGGGTGTGAGGCTCGCGCGCTTCGCGCACGTGAGACTCTTACGCCACGCTTTACCGATTTCTTTACTGATTTTGAGAAGAAAACTGACTGTTTTGCAGTCTACGGTAGAACGGGTTGTCACTGTATCACAATTTCAACACGGTTAGCCAAGAAATGTTTTTACTTTATTTATCTGAACTCTGTCTAGTTAATCGTCTAATTCCAAGAAGGATAAAATTTTTAATTATAAAGGATTAAATTCTTCTTATTATTATACTTTATCGTGTTTTCTAAATATAAAGCTGTCGACAGACGAAGAGACACATCGCAGCCACTTACATAACGGAGGAAAAATAACGTGCACCAAAGGAAATATGGTACAGCGACACAACCCTTGAGAAAGAAATTCAGGCACAAACGAGGGAGAGTCTCACCACGATATTCCCCGTTAGTTCTTGTGTGCTAATGTTGTAAGTTGTCCTTGCACATGTCCCTTCGTATGAAGACAGCTGAAGAGGCACTTGTATACCCTGCCGATAGGTACTAGATGGTCTTTCGAGCCCTCAGAGGGGTTTCCTACACCAGCTATTAAATTTTTTCAAGGTGGTTCTCAACACTACGGGTTTCCAGCACAGTTTATCAGTTGATAATATCAAACGAATGCCCAATCACTGGTGAACAAGTTGTGATTATTTACTTGACATTACTGGTTACCATAGCAACGGTATAACCTGTTAAAAACACCCTTAATTGTAGCTTTAAGTGCGCATAACTGGGCGACCCCCAGTTATTATTATTATTGAAATTTGATCGGCGTGATAAGATACAATATTTTTGCAATACTTATACAAAAATTCCCAGAAGCTGTTTCAGAGGCACCTTAATTTTTCAAAAAAATATATAGGCAATAATGTCAAGAATATAGTCGCAACTTGTTCACCAATTATTGGGCATTTGTTTGATACCATCATTGTAACATCAACCGATGCATCGTGGTAGTACTGGCCAGTCAAAGTATAAGACCTGGAATGTGCTGGAAACGTGTTGTGCGCAACCTTAAAGAGAATAAATATTGCTACTTAATGAACTGTGTACATAACACCAGATGTTGTTCAGCATTCTTTATCCAGATTTGTCAATTCATATCCACGAGGGGGAGAACTCTTAAACTTTTCGATGACAAATGGACAGATCGCGTCATCCTTTACCAACTCGTCACTGAATTGGATACCAGCCTTAAACTGGAAGCGAATAGCGTTGGCCAGCATATGAGCATCTAATTTCGTTGGACGGGTGTAGCCTGCTGGAATAAGTAAGTATGGCTGCCGCACAGCACTATAACTGATTGGTGGATAGGGCTCTGTAAAGAACACCCAAAGAAATTTCCCGCGCGGGTTGTACGGATAGTAGAAATCAATTGTTGCATCGGTTTTCTTGAATGGCAAGTTAAGTTTGAGCTGCTTAAGTTTGAGCTGCACCATATGAGACGATGATGGGATACTCCTGAACAAACGAGTAGATTCTACCTGATATGTATTCCTGACAATTGACAATGATCTTAGTGTTTTCCGATTTCTTGAAAATCAACCTTTTGCAGTTGCCAGTGGACCATCCTTTGATCAAATCTCGCTGCTGGAAATCTTTAAGACAAATTTTATCATCACTGTCACGATAGAATTGAACTTCGTTCGGGAGAGCATCAGTGACGATCACATCATGTGGTCCCATGTGAAAAATCTCTACCACTCCACCAGATCCAACACCAACAACGACTGCATTGAGACTGTTACGGTCGTCTCCGCCTGTAATGGTTGACTTTCCTGTGCCTTGTGTAAATTTATTAGCTACGATGATGCTTCCGGATGATTTCCTACCAAGCTTGTAAGTCTTTCCTCTTGTTTTTGCAAGGACAATATTCTGGCCATTTCCAACGTCAATTTCGTTGCCAACAGTAGAAGGAAGGGATGTAGAATCAAGGATTGTGTCGAGCTCTTGTCCAAGGGCACTCTCAAGGTGTTTCAGTTGTTCGTACAGGAACGTTATTGTCTGTTTTGCCGTTGCTCGATTAAATTCTTGGTCATTTTTTCGAAAGAGCATTAATGGGAAGCGTTGGGCAAAGTCTATGATGAGATCAAACAAATTTGTTGATATTCCGCTCTTGAGTTTATTGCCCCATTCATTGTCAATAAAGACAGTTCGTGGAGGATTCGACTTATCCTTGAATACCAGTTTATCATCTTCAATACTTGCTGCTAAATGGTCAAGACTCCTTATGGACTCAAAACGTAGTTGATTGCCATCATCCCCTTCGTTGATTGTTTCTATGCTCCCCGTTGTTGTGTAGTTTACTCTCAATACTTTGGCTTGATTCCTCTTCAAGGAATTAAAATTTGATCCAGGTTGATAGATGATCTTCCTGTTGGAATGATCTTTAGAAATGGTTCCCAAGTTCTTTCCCGCGTCATCTTCGGCTGGAATAATCTCAACCGTGCTCAAAAGAACATCTGCATGATCATGTTTTAAAATGTCAATTTCAAGTCTTCCGTCTGTCTCCATCCATTTTCCATAAATAGTTGTTTTACAACGAATGGTGTTACCGTCATCACCCATTACCACGGAAATTGTCAAATAATCGACTACCTCAGGGCCATGGAGAACGTATGTGTCAGTTCCTGGACCACCAATCAACTCATGTCTACCGCGGGTACTCACGAGGGTGTTATCTCCATCTTTCGCGTCAACAGTTGTTTCTCCGCCTGCAGCGATCAAAAGGTTTTCTTTGTCGTTTCCAATAATATTTTTGCACGATGGGAAGCTGACCACATTCATTGCATGAACCAGCCATAGCCGTCCAAACTGTGGTCTGAAAGTTATATACCCTTCGTCGTATTTATACTTTTGGTATATATTAATAGTGTCAATTTGGTATCTTTCGTCTTCATAATACTTAAAGGATATCGTGTTTTTCGTTCCTTCACCAAATCTGATAGAATAACCTCGATATCCGTTAACGAGTCTCCTCGGCAATATCGTTACGTCTTTCTCAGTTGAAAGAGGACCGCTGAAAAAATCTGCATGGTTGACAATGTACCTCCTCGCGCCATCATAGTATCTAGCGTCTATACTGATCTCTTGATGGTAGTTTCGACGAGCTTCGGGTTGACGTACTTCAATAGTGGGTATGTTCTTCAAGTAAACAACATGAGTATAATACCTGAGAAAGTCACCCTTCCTAACTGGGTTGTCGATGTTTCTAAGGTGCCATCGACCATAGTAATCATTTGGGGTAGAGCCTCTTGCAGGAAGTGACGTATATTGGATAACAAGGGTATTTTCTCCACTTCCTCCAGCAATGTATTTGGCCCAGTTGCCCAGTTGTAGAAACCAAAGGTTACTCGTTCTGAGTCCTCCGTAACCTTATAATTGTTTATAGTCGATCCAATAGAAATAACGTTGTTACCTTCACCAGTATACACCGCATCACCAAGGCCATAGGACACATCGATAACATTGTGCTCATCGCTACCGATAATAGTTGTTGGAATATAGTGAGACAAGATATCCAACCTATCTGGTTGTGCAGCAGCTATTTTTTCGAACTCATCGAATACGAAACTTCGTCGAAAAGCAAATGCCAAAAGTGCTTCTAATTCGTTGTTTCCGGAGTACTGAAGACGTCCATCCCTGTAGATAGCAGAGCTCTGAGAAATGCTATTAATGGCATTTCTGGCGACTCGGGTCGAGGACGTGGAGACTGCATACAATGATATTCCGTCACAGAAGTACTTCAAGCCACTTTTTTCTGCCAGAAACCACAAAATTTTGCTTTTTAATTCCTCTGCGTTGCTGAGAGTTACAGGGTTCTTGCGGTTGAAAAAGTTTACTAGACTATGCTCCAGGCTGCTTGAAGAAAAAAATGCTGGCGTATGAATGACTTGGTTGAAACCGTCCGGCCATCCCGGAAAGCAAGACCCCAAATTAATGCCTGATCGCCCTTTTTTGGCATTTGAGCCGCTTCCTGAAGTATATCCAATATCCAGATAAATTCCTTTTACTGGTGATTTTCTTGAATTCCTTTGATACATGGATTCCCACACTGGCCCCATGGTAATATAGCGTCTATTCCATAGGCTTTCCTTGAATCTTAAAGACTCTCCAGATAAGGCTAAAGTGTCATCTCCCCCTTCCCCTTCGCATCGCCTATCAACACCGGGCTCACAGACAAGAAAATCGTCACCTTCCCCTCCGAAGAGAGTGTCCCTTCCTGTTCCACCATTGAGGTAATCATTTCCTGGACCACCATATATGGTGTCACTTCTGCCTCGTCCAAATAATATGTCATCACCTTCTTCACCATAAATACGATCTGGACCAAAACCAGCCACAATCTCATCATCATTTGCCCGCCCCTTGAGCGTTTTACCAAAAGATGTTGCGTCTACCAAGGCTACTCGTAACTGCTTATTCTCAAAATCTTCCTTCGCTTTCTCTGTTAGACACTTAGTAATAGTCTTCCTTTCAGCCTGTAATGTTTCCTTGTCAGCTTCTATTCCTGCCACATCTGCGTCTACATAGTACTTGAAGATGTCAAATCCTCGGTTCTTATATCCTTCTGCCATATTGTTTACGTAAGTTTTAAATGCTTCAGAGTTTATATATGTTTCAAATTCATCATGTACGCGTTGCGCAGTTGTTCTGAAGTCGATCAAATCAGCAAAGAAACCCAGAATTGTATTTATGACTTGCAAAATCGTACTTACAAGATCTATGATTGGTGATAGGGGCGGGAAAACAAAGTCTAAAACCACGCTTACTCCATCCAGAATAGCAGTTATCCCATCAACAGCAGCCATCACACCATATACGACAGCTTTACCCACAATACCTTGCTTTGCAGCGTCACTTGCGGCGATTGCGTTCTTTGCCATAGACACAACACTCGTACCAACTGAAATCGCACCACCAATAAAAGACCCGAAACGCTTGGTTTGCTTCAGTAACTTTACTCCGGCCGTGCCGACTTTTTTCAAAATGTTTTTTTCCACTCTTTTTCCAACAAATTTTACGACATTTTGCATTCCATTGGCGAGACCAAAGCTTCCTTGCGCAACCCGAAGTCGACCATTTCTAATCATTTCATTATATTCACCCTCTGAAATGTGACCCTCGGATCTTAACTCGCGAGCTTTCTTTATCATATCGCTTCCAGCTGCAGTATCAACTCCTCCCTGAGCAATATCGAAAGCAGTACTCAACGCCGTTGCCAACCTTACCTAAGATCTTACCAGCTACCTTTTTTGACTTAATCCTTCCTTTCTGCTGTGCCAATTTCTTTTGACTATTGAAGTTCTGCTGAGACAATCGTTGCTCGCCACCGACGCCTGGAAGACCTTTGATTTTTTCAAATGATTCTGACACAACCATGTCTTGGAGATTCTTCACGCCGGTTCTGTCAACTCGAAACTGTACTTCAGGTTGTATGTTAGATTTTACCATTTTGTCAAAGTTTTCTTGCCTAAGGACATCGACTGTAATTCCCTTCTTTAGTTTGTACTTTAACGCATGGTATTTGTAATTTAAGCTTTTTATCGCCCCTAGAAAGGCAAAATATAAAAATACGAGTACTAAATTAATGGGTTTCTGATTGAAAATAAGAGAACATTGTGAATGGACAAACAATGTTATCTGACAAACGGCTTTTAAAAAAGAAATGTCTCCCAAAATGAGTGCCCTTTCAATTGCGGAAAAAATTCTATTTCAGGAAAAATATAGACATAGCATAGCCATAGACATACTTTATTTATTAAAGATGAAATCAATTTAATAGATAAAAATTAAAAATTAAGAGAAAAGGCATCAAGAAAAAGAAATCTAGAGGTTATCCCCATTCAAAACCCCGGGGGAGGGACTCCGCATATGAAAGGGGTGGGGATGCTCGTCGTCTCGCTTAGGGGTGTAAATTTCGGATTTTGGTCTCACTTAGGGTGTTCTGGGCAAAACGCCAACATATTTAGCCGCGAAGGTATCGTTTAGGGTTGCACGCGAAAAATATAAATATACGTATATTGTCTGTGTTTCAACATGGTCTCTTTTAGGGGTAAAAAAAAAGCTTGGGCCACGCCCAGATTGGTCTCCTTTAGGGGTTTAATTCAAAATGTCCGATGAGCATCCCCACCCCTTTCATATGTGGAGTCCCCCCCGGGTCAAAAACCCCCTTAAACGATAGTCTTCATGTGATTTCAAAAATAGGCACTGATGCTTGTCCTTGGGCATTATCTATTCCAGGAGACAAACACTGTCTCTCGTGAAAAAACGAGGGCGAGTATTGTTGATGTTTTAGTCAAACACAGAACCTACAATTTTGAGTATTTTTTTGCTCATTCATTCTTTTTAAGCAAAAAAATAAACACTCCGTTTCATTTAACCGCTTCAAATATTTACAATAAACAAAAACTTTTCGTCATCGAAGCAATCATTTACGCATTTATTTTTTCAGACGAATCACGGTGGGTCGATGCTTTTATGTGAGACGTTATCGCCTGACTACAATGTACCATGCTACGACCGTGGAAATAGCTGTCCATGGCTTCCATTCTACATGCGAGCAGGTTGTGGCTAAATTGCGGAGTCGACTAGTGTAATAATTGCATTCAAATGTTTATTAATTATGTTCCTACCGTCCGTTATATCCCCGATGTCTCCAGGAAGCTCAGCCATAAAACCTCCAAAGGTGGACCCTGCACCCGACATGTAATTACTGTATCTTATCAAGTCGTTCTCTTTCTCACTCTCTTCTCCAGTGATCACCTCCCCTTTAAGCCCTACATCTTTTATTGGACCCGATTCTTCTTCTTGAAATTCTGGTAGATCAGTTCCTTAAAAATGTAGAAAAAGAGAATTCTTAATTTATAAACAAAACCAAACTCAAATAAATAATGGTAACAGGACTGAGTGGAGTCCAATTCGGTCTGTAATCATACGAGTGATTAAAAAAATTGGACGACCACGTAGTGGGAGTCCGATTTGCCCAATCACGAGTATGATTACAGACCGAATTCGACGACACGAAGTTCTGTTACCAATTAATCATAACTTTAACAAAATTTGTGAAAAAAAGCTGTTTTTTTAATCAAAACACAAGAAATTCCAAGGGTTTTTTGATAACAGTAAAAAAAAACGCCATTTAAGCGCGCGCGTAATGTCACCTACTATCCAATTACTTAGGCATGACCCGTACTGTCCTATTAAACTGTCCTGTTTAAGGCTGAAATCAGGACAGTTGATATCCAATCAGATTTGAGAATTTTGTTATGGTTATGATTAGTAAGGATATCACGGATAAGACGAAAGGGAAACAGGCAGCAGTGACGTGGCCTAATGGTCAGGACTCTGGACTTGTAATCCGGACGTTCCATGTTCAAATTCCCCCTGCCACTAGATGGATTCCCGAATACAAGTCCCACACGCTTTGTCAGCCTCCTGCCAGTTCAGATTTTTGTGAAGTTTCTGTTTATTTCTAACATTTTTTTTCGTTTTATTTCTTTAGTGTCCCCAATTGTGATTAAATTTGTATAGGTAATAGCATGTTTTGTCGTGATATTTGGCATAAATACCACGAGTGATATTTCGAAATTGTTATAATAATTTGAGACAATTTTGAAATATCACGAGTGGTATTTATGCCAAATATCACGTACAAATCATGCCATTTTTTGTTTATACTACTTATTTCAAACTAAGTTGAAATACCACTGCTCTAAGCCAATCAAATTGCAGAAATTTCTATAACACAGGATATATCTGTTTTTATACTACTACATGAGAAATTTCTTTAATTTGATTGGTTAAGAGCAGAAGTATTTCAGCTGAATTTGAAATACCTACATGTGAAAATTACAAAACCTTTGCGGGTAGTAGTATAAACTTGTAATAGCATGATTTGTACGTGATATTTTGCATAAAGACCACTAGTGATATTTCAATATTGTCTCAAATTTCACTCGCCTAACGGCTCGTGAAATTACGTATAACAATTTCGAAATATCCCTCGTGGTATTTATGCCAAATATCACTACAAATCATGCTATTACCTATACTAAAAAAGTAACGGCCAACCAACAAACCTATAGTCATCATATTTTTTCTGCCGTTCAGAGCATCATCAAACTCGGTCATTATTGTGCTGAAATCAGGATCGGTCTTCAACTCTTCCAAGCTCTCATAGAACAAATCATTCACTTCAGGTCCGCCGCCAGCACTTTCCTCCCTCAATACGTCAATCATCTTTTGAACAAGGACTTTTGGGTCGAAAGCTCCTCTGTTATTTTTCAAGGAACCGGAGATGTCGCTAACCAGAGTGTTGGACAAACTGTTGAACCACTTGGCTTGCAATGATTTGGTGAACAGATCGTTATCATCTTCTTCGTCATGTTTGGCAGAAATATTTTTGGTAGCCTCAATACACTGAAAGAAGTGGGAAAAGAAAGTGAAAAAAAGAAAGTGTTAACACTGTTCACCAGAGCCTTAAACACCTCCATATCCGTCCTTTGAAAGGAAGCAGTCACTTTTTTCTTATGGGCCGTACCAGGGTTGGGAGTCACTCACGGGATTCGATAGATAGTTCCTGTGACATAAAAAAGGACGCCCCCCTCATCAAAACCTATAGTAATTCCAATATTTCTGAATAAAATCCCCCCTCGGCTCCACCCGAAAATGATACAGGACAAATGAAACTTATCAAGTGATGTGATGATAATGATATTTCAAGCGAAATGGGTAAATCCGTTATCACACAACAAAGTGGAGTTAATTATAATCCATTTTGCAGAATAAAACCAACTTTCTGGTAGGGTGTTGCGGTAACATACTAGTTTTTCTAGAAAACTGGAAAATTTGGCGACATGTTTGACAGTGATACTCACGAAACCGTTACATCGTAGGAAAATTTAGTAAAATTTTGAAAACTTTTTCTCAAATTCTGTTGTCAAATGGCCAATCAAAATGCAACATCTTGCCGTTCTCTCTCAGGATGAGACTTTTTGAAATTCTAACGAGACTGAATAGTGAATAACATCTCCGAAGTTTTCTTAACGGTCGCCTGTCATGTTTATAGATAGAATATACCCCTCTTCAGAGTTCATGATCTTTGCTACATAATCGGGGGTCCGGAGTCATGCTTCCTTCGGAAAACATGAGTTTTAAGAACTTTTGAAATGCTACTTTTGCATGCTGGCTGAACATTTAACTTTGGTCGAGCCGAATAGCAGCAACACGCAGGGAAATGGCAAGTAGCCATGGCCATTTGAAAATTGACGTAAACCTGCTAGAAACGTGACTTACCCGTAGTTGCAAGGAAACCAAATTTTTGTCATTTATCTTGGTTACAACGGAATCACCTCAAGACGATAATATGGCGTGTTTGTATCTTTTGATCAGTCGTTATCTTGCCCTCTGAACACTTAGTATTGGTCATCAGGTTTCTTTTTAACAAAGTTAAACTGAATGAATACGTTTTTGTTTTCACTAAAATATTACAAATGTTCATTTGGAGTTAGACCCTGTTTACATGGAGTGGGGGACCCCGGTCTAGTGGGGTAGGTTTCTTTTGTTTTGTGTCCCCCAGAGCATGAAAACAAAAAAAACCAACTCCACTAGATCGGGGTCCCCCACTCCATGTAAACAGGCCCTTAGTTAGAGTTTGTCATATGATGTTGAGGAGAGGTGGTTATAAGGCGGAGAGAAAGTCGCGCCTCGAGAAAGCTGGCCTGGTCTCCAGAGGAACTGCCATCTTGGATTTGAATGGCTTGACAAATGGGACGAGCTTGTGAAAAAGGAGCCATCTTTCGTTGCGCAAACCTTCTCGCATACAACAATGGAGCAGTGGAAAAAGGTACATAACTGTTCACAGGTACCAAACAAAAACCAGACATGGAACAGTGAAACACCTGTTAAGCTGACAAAATAATGAGTAATTCCTCTGGCTTCTATCGAACTTGACTATACGCGATTCCTTTGGATTGCTTGGTTTACTATACTGGTCTGGCCCGTCAGTCCGAAGTAATGATAAGCGACCTTAGTAAGATTGTTCCTGCTGACAAGTTATTTCGTTCTTCCGTGGCAATATAATGAAGTTTAATGAGATTCTTTAAATTTCCTATACTTCCTATATCTTTATATATCATGTCTATGTGCGAGAAAAACATCATAAATCTTAGAGCTTCTTATGTTGAAAATATTCTAAATTGTTATAAATCCGAACTCTAATTAAACTTTCTTACCATACGAGTAGCGTAGAAGCCGTACATAGCTCAAGTAATTTTTCTTTTATGATAATATTCAATATATAGTTGTTGTTCCTTTCTTTCTTACTTAACTTTTATTTTACTTTGTTTCATTTGTAATTATATTGATTGTTTTGGTACTGAAATCTTCATATCGAAGATAAAGTCAATAAAGTTGTATTATTGTTGCTAACAGCCTTTACACTTCAGCCGGATTTCTGGTAAGTCATCGTCTTTGAGAGAAAGTTAACAAAGACTTGCTTAAGAAAATAAATGAATCGTTTTATGCAAAAATAGAAACAAAAAAGACAATGAAAAGTCATTAAGCTGTTTCAGGCTTTGAAAGCCTGAAAGAGTTTAACGAGTTTTCATTGTCTTTTGCTGTGGCAAAAATGCGGATATGCAATAACTTTGTGAAGCACGGAACACACGCGTTGCCTCACGGGGGGCGGCAACGCCATCGTCATGCCACGCGAATTTACTTCAAAGATCGTTACATACTTTTACAGCTAATTGCACCGTTGAAAAGCAAAACTAATCGGCAAGCTTATAAGCGATTACATGTTCCCACTAAAATTGCGTTTACCTGGTGCCATCATTGCTGCTAATGTAAAAACTTGATTATTGTTGATTGAAAAAAACACAAGAATAAAAAGAACTTAGCGTAAATATCATAAAAAAATCAAATAGTACATTGAAAATGCATTTTAAAGTGTCTCTAAATGCGACATCTTCCTTGAAGTAGTTAGTTTTGTTAGAACGTGTTAAGTAATCCAAAAGAATCGCGTGCAGTCAAGCTCAATAGAACAGACAAACTACCCGTAAGGTGTTTTACTGTTCCATGTCTGGTTTTTGTTTTGTACCTGTAAACAGTTATCTGCCTCTTTCAACTGATCGAAAGTCCTACCGGAAAAGCCTTCTTTCCCCGAAAATTGGCTGCTTTCTTGCAAGTTCGTCCCACTTGAAATACCATATACCGGGGGCCCTTGAGGGAAAGGCTAGCTTTCTCAGGGCATTACTTTCTTTCCACCTTACTTATCAAAATTTGGTTTTCAAAATCCAAAGGTACTAAATCAATATTTAGTGGGGGACGGGGCTGGAAGGTGGGGGAGTTAAAAATGTCTAAGCAAATGTCAAAGCATTTATGGTCCTCAGTTGTCTACAGGACCGCCTACTTCTTTAAGAAACGGTCCAGATAAGAACGATAGCAACAACGGCAACGAACATGTTGGAATGGAAAAAAGGTGCTAACTTTTCTATTGTCTGTACTTACTTCTGATTGGCTTAAACAGCAAAAGTTAACAAAACTTCATAAAGCGGTGCATATATTCATCCTTACTTTCCAAACATCTTCCACAACAAAATCTGGTCTCAGTTTGAATAACAAAGAAATCCTATGTGGGGAACATGTAAAATTGTAAACTTTTCTTGGCTATTGTTTTCAACTCTTGTGATTAGTCAAAATCTTTTAACACAAAAAAAACACCCTTTCAAAGTGGAGTGTAAATGCATTTTATTGCGTTAACGGCCTTCATGCAGGTTTATGCATTCTCTGTGTAAAAATGAGAACTTAACATTCCTATGTGTGGAAAGCACCGTTGCCGCATAACAAAAGAATCTGCTATCCACCTTACCCGGATCATTACTTAATAGAACTGTATAACTCATTCCCTTGTGTCGTCCCGTTTCTTTTCTTTTTTCCTTTTTTTTTCGGTGAGCGTTAAACTCTCACAGCTTTTCGATTACAAAATGGGTCTATAAGTTCAAAAAGTTTTCACTCTTTTTCCCCAATTTCTGTCGTTTCATTAGAAAGAATCTTGTAGGTTGCTTCCAGTGCCTTCTCGTAACTTACCATAATCTCTCTCGATTCTCTTCTTCACAAAATGATATGAAATCCGTAATATTACCACAGCGAATGTATCGTCACATCGGATGGTATTTCTGAAGAACATCTATTAAACGAGTTCCTTTCCGTTTGTTTCGTTTCTATTTCCTCTTCTTTGTGAAACATTGTCCAAGCAAGATAAGTGACCACAAATCCAGTCAAATGGATTAGTAAAATAGTTGTAAATCTACTGGCCGGTTTACATGCTCCCGTGATAGTACTGAACCCGTGTTAAAATTGCCGCTAGCGGCAGAAACGTGATTAGCTAGCATGTGAAAGAAAAATTCAACGAGAAATACTTTTCCTATAAAGTGTTTTTCATGTTAGCTGTTCTTAGATTATCGCAAAAGCAATTTGCCGGCTATGGTTGTGAATGTTTTGTGTGCTTAATTTGGGCTTGCCAATTTCACACACGATTCCCGTGAAATTCAGGTCACCAAGCCTCTATTTATTGTTTTTCAAAGCTACCTTTCTTAGTCATCTCGGGTTCTCTATGACTACAAAATATGGTGTAAAAATACATTTTCAGAAATTTTTGTTAGTTTTTATTTTTTTATTTTTTCAATATGATAAAGAATACGCTCGCATTCAAGATCTTCAAGAATTTTTATGTATACGGACCTTTCCGCCTGCAAATAACATCTGTATATAAAAGTGACAACCTCTGATAACATTATAGTAACCACTTAGTAAGACGATATTATAAACAATAAACAGAGACAAAACGTACAGTAACACAATAAGAAACGAAATGTGTCAAGTGTTTCAAACAAGTGTCTGTAAAAAGGCGTCAAATTGTCAATTAAAATCCAATAATAGAGAAGAACTTACCCTAAGTATCACAAAGAAAGTAAATGTCCATCGAAATGTTTTCAACAGTGTCGCTAAAAGCGACATCTTCCCTGTTTAGTTCCGTTTGAACAAATGAACGAATTCAAAAGAATCACTTATAGTGAAGCTCGATAAAAAAGAGGAATTTATACGTGTAATCTTGCGTTATCAGGTGTTTTACTGTTCCATGTCTGGTTTTTGTTTGGTACCTGTTAACACTTATCTGCCTTTTTCTAGACTTTCAAAAAAGTCCTTCGTCGGATTTAAGTATGGCGACAAGAGGTCGACTTGTAGCAAGCCTAGCCTTTTTCTAATGCTCGGACTTCGACTGCGAAAACATATTCATTTCAAGACATTATTACGTTCCCAAAATCTTGTCCTTAGGGTCTTTTTGTAGAAATTGGGAACATTTTTAGTAGCTTTTTCGAGGTGCAATCTCCTCTCCACCATAATAATGCCTTTATTTTACAGCAACATCAATTAAAAGTGTTATCAATAGAGATGCTCATAAAAATTAAAAAATCAAGAATCGCTTACACTTAAACACATTGTTTTTTTTTTCAAAATCCAGGAATTAACATCATGTGGCTGATTTGAGCAAATATGTCAAAACGAGATGTGAAGAATAAGCCAAAATATAACCCAAACATTAAAGTAAAGTTATGGCTTTCAGTTATGTTTAAAATGTAACTGAATTCTGAATGAAACTGAGCAATTGTAAAAAAACCTAAAAATGCCCGAGGACCGCTTACTTCTTAAAGAGATAAATGAAAATGTTTTGTTTAAGTCAGTGCTTTTTCGTGGCGGTGTAACTCCTAATAGTAGGACCGTTGCAGGTTGGGTCGACGCAGCGGGACTCAGAATGATTAAAGGATCTCTGTCAAGGTTGATATATCTTGTAAGGTTTAACTGAATTGTTCTTGTTTATCAAATACAATCCTTCTCAATCTTCCTTATTCCAAGTTGCCCTCTTTTTTTCTTATTTCGCTGTTACCTTTTCGATGTATTTCTACCTCGGTAAACTATTATTAAAGCCGCTTTACTTTGATTTAAGATGATTTTATACGCCTTCGTTAACAAAGGTAACACCATTCCGCCTGTCACTAAGACCCATTTTTAAAATCTCTAGAAGACACAGGTATTTTGTTTTACCGCAAGCTGCAGGATTGCGCAATCTTGAATGATATTTTATTGATTTAAAATTTATTTTGAAGGCCATTACTGAAAATAATTAGACCTGAACGTCGTCATTTGCACTATTCCACTTCGTTTGGTACTGACCTGTGTAGAGCCCTGTAGAGCTGTCTACTCAGTCCTTGATCACCTAAGGTTGTCATGCAGTGAGAAAAGAAAAAGAATTACTGTTCTGTCCAGGAGCAACGTTCTCATTCTATACACATATCCAAACCGTATATTTATATCCCAAAATATATTAAAGTATACCACTATTCACCTCGATCTCAAAGAATATTGTTGAATATATCAAATGTATATAAAAAATAATTGACTGACAACATCATAACAATTTTTCGTCGCGCCCTTTCGATATTTTAACTTTAAAATATATTTAGGGCTATGTAGGGCTGTGTAGGGCTGTGTATGGCTATGTATGGCTAAGTAGGGCTATCAGGCTATGTAGGATTATGTACGTCTATGCTGCATGGTCTGTATATATACATTGCTTCTAGTAACTAACATCAAACCACTATATGATGCTTACACCACGTACTTACCTGTCGAATTGTAGTATGGACCGTTCTTGGGACCCTATTAAGAAGTTTCGAAGGAACTAAGTCAAGATTCGTCCCTTAACAGTTTGATACAGCACCGATCCAGTTTCCTTTGTTGCCATCTCGTCTCTTTTCTTGTGACATCCGAATGATCCACCCTCCCCTCCCCCTTCACTTTCAAAGCCACACAGGCTAAAGTGGCGATCCGACGTTAAAACGGTATTTTAATACCGTCACAGTTTAAACACTGTAGCAGGGTCCCTTTGTTGATAATTTCATTCTAATTTCGATTTCCTAAAAAAAAAAAAAAAAAAAAAGAACCATTATTATCAAGCTTTCTCTCACAGAAAATCCATTAACACCCTTATCAGGAACCGCCACTGTCTTATTGCAGTGAACGAAACAAAAAAATGACGTTGCCTAATAAAACAATAAGGCCATTTAGGCATCAGAAGCTGAAAGGTTTTAAAAGCGCACAACTATTTCAGGCCTTGTCCACACGTATCCGGATATTTTTTAATCCGCAACTTTTTCTGTCCGGATACCGTTTCTCTCCACACGTATCTTATGAATCCGGCATCCGCAACTTTTTGAGGATATTTTTTTGATCGGTGACGTAACAATATCGAGATCAGTTCTTTACTGTGAACACTAAGATGGCAACCTCGTTCCCAGGTTCTCTCTCTCTCTCTTACCCGTCTTTACGACGCATGTTCTGTAGCCAATATTCCCAGAGGAGTCTTGGGTACTAGATTGCCTAGTCCCTAGGTCTCATTATTATGCGCGGCCAATGCGTTTCGGGTCACGTGGTCCGAGAAAGTTTTTGAGGCCGAGACAAACTCGGAGCTTTAGCAACGACGACGACGACGGCGACGGCAACGAAGACGTCAAAAAAGCAATAGGTTTATTACGCAAAACAACAACTTTCCACGTGCATCACGCTTTTTTGTACATTTCGTTACCGTCCTTGCACGACTACGACGTGAAAATACCTAATTGCAAGTTTTATGGAGGACGTAAAACTTGAGTGCGGTCCTCAAGAAATCAACTCCAGGGAAATTCGCCTACACTTACCATTTTCAGCAAATTGGAATAAATGCGACAAAGATTGAAAAAACGGGAATTCATTTTAAAAGTGACATTTTCGCTGCCGTTGCCGTCGTCGATGCTAAAGCTCCCTTTGTCTCACTTGGGGCGGAGTTTTTGGAAGCGGGCGAGCTGTCAATAACTTTTCCGCGCTGCTGAAAGATGTTCAGCAGCCATCATGAGAGTAGAGAGTATAAACAGGTTAACCGAGCATTTCTACTCTATGCACGTTTTCATTGTGGAAAGTCCTTTGGCCTTTCTTTTTCATTTATCTCATTAAACTAATTTGAACTTTATTTCATCTCAAAAACTATTTGTAGGCTAAACAAAACAGCGTCGCAAAAAAATTATTTGATCAAGGATATCGGATGGTAAGCTAAAGAAATAAGTTTATATTTATTCTTGGATATGAAAAGCTATCTTTCGTTTCTCTATTTTCGCTTGCTCCTATAAATTTCTCGTTATCATTTCACTTTGAAATATTTTATGTAATTTAATTTTTGGATTTGGAAGCTTATCAAACTAATCAGACAGGCTGTTGTATTTGGTCTCTAAATTTGGCAGAATGTAAACAAACTACTGTTTCAAATCTTTTTATCAATAAAGAAATATCATTTTAATGGTTCATTTGAAACTGAAATAAAAGAGAAATTACTCGCACGTTATACAGTAGTATTCTTTCCGATTCAAGTAATATTTTTGTTCTTTAATAACAGAAACCAGTGCCGATCTTTAAGCGAAGGATATTCACACGCAAAGTTAAGTTGAGCGTGTCTAAATGCTCACGCATGCGCACTCCGAGATTGTCTAGGCGTCTCCCGGCCGTTCGTCTCGGATACGTCACCGAAATGCATTGACCGAGAAAGGCCTGGAAAGACGCCGTATAGGGACTAGGCGACTTAATAGGCGACTAGGCAAGGTACTAGACTGAATCCGGATACGTGTGGACACGCAAATTCGCTTTGAATTCGGATACGTGTGGACGTGGAAATTTTTGAATCCGGAAAGAAAGAGTTGCGGATTGAAAAATATCCGGATACTTGTAGACGAGGCCTCAGTGATACAATTACAGCAGCCTGTAACAACTCTCGAATAATAGTTGAGTGGTTGAATCATGTTTTCAGAATCCGCATCGTGATTTGCTCCATTTTTGGCAGTGTTTTGGTCCTAGCGGTTCTGTTATCTGGCCATGTTCGATTCTTGGTCGTCTATCATAATCGTTATCGTCGTCGTCGTCAGTATCAATATGCACATACAAATTCTCCAAACTGATCTCCATACATTTTCTTCATGAATGAGTTGAGAGAATTCGATAAAAGATCAAGGCATTTTCCCTTAGGTGATCATTTTATTAATTCTCATAACCTAATCTCTTGACATTGTATGGATGTCATTAGGAGAAAATTGACGTTAGTCTCTATTGGGACTTAAAGGGTTAACGGTCGATGCCACCATCGGTAACCAAGCATTTGGTCATGATAGATGCAATATATTCCCTGGATTATCATCATCATCATCACCACCATCATTATTTTAAAATCACGCTGTAGATATCAGACAATTTAGGCGTTCAAAAGCCGAACGATAAAGATTTTTTGAATGTAGTTTCCCCCTCTCCTACTCTTTGAGTTTGATTCAGTTTTAATGGATTTGTCCCGTGGAATTCGGAAAGTACTTTTTTCTTTACAATCTCCCCCTTCTGGTCCCTAAATGCAGAAGACATTGTTTTCCTTATTGAAAACACTCACGGTACAGCTGACAGAAAAATACTTCCGCTGGATTTTCAACTTGGCTTGAATATCAATTTCTCGATCCCAGAGCTCTTGGAAGGGACCTCGTGAACACTGCGTGATCGTCCTGACCCGTCCAGCCAAACCCGAACTGCTCTCTGGGAAGTTCTCATGTTTGTCATGTGACTTTAGGAGCCTACTTCGGCAATCTCATTTCAGCTTTCGCAACAGTAGCGGCGTGGTTTTACCTGTAACGATTCATTTGAACGTCGAAACTCAAGATGTTGAAGCTTTTTGTGATTTTTATTTCCTGCGCTGTTGTGTTTGGTTAGTATTTTCTTTTTTGCGTGTGTTTTTTGACGAGTAAACACTTTACCAGGTTATTAGCATAAATTGAGGTAAGCTGTAGGGCTGTAGCGCATGCAAATTAACGTGCTCAAAGGCACCTCCAAGTTTTGCAGTCATTATCTTGCTTCGCTGTAATTTCAATTTCGTCAATAAGACCTTTTGCCGTTGATGTGAGTTCTTATATACGAACTTCATTGAAGATAGCGTTGTCAAAGCAATGGAAAATACTGTATGCCCTCGTGGTTGAAATTGTAGGAAGTAAGAATTGAATCTCACTTCGCGATCCTCCTTTTCTGACTTATTTTGCTTCAAAATTTGTATCTTGTAGAATAAATATTGTGCAAAAGGGTTTCATCGTTTGAAACAGTCGTTTCAGAGATTTCAAATTACCTTTCAAATATGGCTTTCGGTCTTGTGTCTTGCGGTATGCTAGAAAGAAGCCGAAGTTGTTTCCGCTTTGCACGAAAAATCAGGACGTATCGATTGTGTGCGTGCACAACAAGGAATAGAGTCTTGGCTTCAATTCTTATGCCATTAGATGTAATACTTAAACTAATCCAAATTATTTTCATGCAAGTTTGGTAAATGGTAGCTTTTTGTCGAGCAGAAGTTAATTTGAGTAAGAGTAGAATTCGATCCATTACGTCATGTCATGCAAGTTGTTTGTGACTCATTTGCATAACGTTAGGTCATCACAAGCATGGTTGGTGATGTTGCCCTTTGGTAAGATTCCTACACAGCCCCATGTGTTTATTATGTATATTTTTTTTCGGCTCCATTCATATCAACTATTTGTGTGAAAGAGTAGGAAAGCGCGGCATGTTCATTATCAACCCTTTGACTCCTGAGTTTTTCTGTCATATTGCTTCAATTTTGACATACATACACTAAATAATATCTCAAAAGTTCCCTTTGAGGTAAAAGTGCCTATAATCGTACATATTTAGAAAGTAGACATATCAGTGTTTCAACATATATATATGTATTAACCTAACGTTTGTTTGGAGAGCTGTTTGCCTTTAGCAGTCTGTTACAGTTGACACTGTACATCTTGTGGCCACCGAGGCGCCCGCTTGCTCTCTTTCTTCGATATTTTCTTGACCATCACACCGTGTATCTGCATGCTCAAGCTCTGAATTGTTGCCGGTATCTTCGTCCATTTAATCGGACTAATCTTCACCTAACCTGAATCACCGCTAAAATCCGGTGCTGCGAATATAGTTCGATCAACTCCATTCGTGTCTGACGCCATTTTTAAAGGTTATCATTAGCACAGCGAGGAAATATTGCCAAACAGTTAGTCCAAAATGGCGAAAAACCGATTGAAATGAAATCATACGATAAACAACTTCATATAAGCATCATAAAGTGTCATTTGACAAAATATGGAGCCTTTCGGAGCCTTTTTTGGAACAAAATTTACACCTTATTTGGAAGCGCACCAAAAAGTGCGCTCAGGAGTCAAAGGGTTAAGGAAACATTTTGGTCTTCCATGCCTGAGATATTGCCATGTGATTATTGCATGAAAAAGTGGGAAATGTACTTGAAAAATACAATGTTTCAGTATATTAATTATTGATGCAGTTTGAGAAAAGAAACTCTTGTCAATAGTTGTTGTAGAGTGTGTGTTAGGTGCCTAAACTATGGTAAAGGAAGCTGCTGGGGTAGTACTTCCCCTTCTGACCACTCTCCTGTCTGTGTTCAGTGTGCTTCTGTGTTTTGTAGCTGCAGAGCCTTTAGTGCAGTCATGCAGATTTTCACATGTCCATAGACAACAGTGTTGCTTCTTTATGATTAACTCATTTCGCCCTGGTCCAAAACAGCAAAATATACCTTGTTCAAGTAAACAATCATATCTCAGCAGCTATCTACAGCAGCATGGAAAGCTATATGTCTTTTGAAAGGGCAGAAAAAATACTTTCCAGAAAAAAAAATATTTTACTTTATGGCAACCCATAATATCTCACGAAAAAATTAACAAACATTTGTATTTGTTGGGGTTCAATTTTATCCTTGGTTTAAATGTTATTTCCCTTTGTTTCAACTTCATTATCATACATATTTATCATACCTTAAAACGAAAGAAAATAAAATTTAAAGCAAGGATAAAATTGAACCACAACATATTTATTAAAATTATGCAATCATTTTGATTGAAAAGCGATTTTTGCAAAGTAATATTTGGCTCTAGGAAAAAGCTTAAAAGAGAGGAGTTCCTTTGATGTCTGAGCAGAACAATCCGCTTATGTGCCTTAGGTAGTGGGACACACAGAATTTGTTACCAATTTTTTTCAAGACACTATCGCAGGGTTGTCAAAAGTAGCCGGCTGCCAGCTATTGCCCCCTACTTGGTTAGTATCGGCCGGCTATTCCGCTTGGCTTTTTTTTATGGATGGCGTTTTTTGAATAAAATATCCCTGGATTGGCGGCTTCCGTTGACAACTCAGCCGTCTACTTCAAAACTTTCTGACAACCCTACATCACGTTATACAAATTACCTAAATACTCATTTATATACTTCAATACTGCTCTTAGGGTGACTTGTTTATTACGGAGCATTGCAACAAAAACTTCAATTTTAACCCAGGAACATTAACTTAAAGATAGATTCCAGAGTAAAAGCAGGCTTTTGGGATTGGAAAGCCAAACTGAGATGTATTTCATCGCATTTCAAAAACACGTGGCTCTCTCTTCTGTGAAGTGAGACGCTAAGATTTTCACCTATCAATTGCCTCAATTTTTGCAGTTATTCAGTAGCTGAGAAGCCAAACAACATCCAAAACTATAGTAAAACGTACCCACTATCGAAATTCACGTCCAAAACATGGATTCATATTCCCAGTCGTCCAGTCGTCCCTACAAACTTGTATGGATGATTAAGATAACTTCAAAAGTTGCCATTTGGATGAGTGAGGTTTTGTTCAACCACAAAATCTTTTCAAAAATTCTTATATGATTTTATACTTTTTCCCTGTGTTCTGATTACTTCTCATCCACTTAAAACATTTAGAATAATGGAGAATAACAAGCAGCTTTTGTCTGCAATGAAATCATAAGTTTGTCATCTGGCTTACTTGCCTGGCTGATGACTCTGAGAAAAAATGAATTTGGATCCCTGCCAAAGGCATTTCTTGATTGCGGAAAGCATCGTAAATTTTTCCTGCATTGTGAGCCATTTTTTACCATTTATAAAAATTACTGTGACAAGCATAGGCACGGTTGGGGCTGAAACTAGCCAGGTAAATGGCTCAAACAGTCTACTTCCTGTGTGCCACATTTGGTAGTGATTGGAAGTAACAGATTTTTTGAGAATTTTTTTCTCTAGAGATTGACATTTATAGGACTTGGGGGAAATTATTATCCAAATTATTATCCAAAACGGCAATACCTTGGACATTCTGAAAGCAAAAATAGCTGATATTCAGATCCAATTTCTAATTCACTGGTATTTTTTCCACTTGAAAAGAAAGAATATAGGAATTGTAAATCATTTAAGTCAGGTTTGCACCTTTTTAGGAAATAATGGAAGTTTCCTTTAGCACAAGGTTCACATTGTTTTTGCTGACTGTTAAACGTTATTTATCTTGTAGAAGACAGTCATGGGGTTATGCTATCACCAACACCCTCGCCGACAAGCTCACTCAAATCAACTACTGCAACAAAACAATCAAACTCAACAATGTTGTCCGTTCAGAGCCTTGCATCAACACCTGCAAATCAGACAACATCAGCAATGACATCAAGACATTCAGCAATACCAAGTATTGTAACTTCCACAGCAACACCATCAACTGCTGCAATAAATTCAACTATTTCTCCAAATTCGACTATTGCACCAAAACCAACTCTTACGCCGACACCAAAAAATTCTACTACACCAAAGCCAAAAAATTCTACTACACCAAAGCCAACTACACCAAAGCCAACCACACAGCCGCCACCAGCATATGGGAACTTCAGTTTGGAGGAGAATGGCACATTTTGTCTGCTAGCCCAATTTGTTGCTGCAATTACGGTTCACTATAAAAAAACAAATGACACAAAGGTATGAAAATAAGGTCTTTTGTATAAGTTGTACATAGGATAAGAATATTAATGTACAGTAGTTTTCATGTCATATAACCCTCTAAGTCCCAAAAGTGACGAAGGTCAAATTTCTCTTAGCAATATCCATACAATGTCAAGAGATAAGTTTTGAGAATTAATTAAATGATCACTCAAGAGAAAATGCCTTGATCTTTTGTCGAATTCTCAAAACTTATTCTTTAAGGAAATGTATAGAGATCAGTTTGGAGAATTTGTACGTGGATATTGGGGCTTGAAGGGTATTGAGCAAGCTAAGAATAGAAATCACCATGTTGATAGCAAAAATCCATTAGCCCTGGGTTATTGGATACTAATCTCTTTATATACTGATTTACTTATATTCAGCTTATTTTGACTCAGAGTTTGCCACCTTGTCCTCAGCCTGTTTTGAGGCTTCTATAATCGTGCTATAATGTATTTTACCTTTCCACCTGGGCTGCTAAGTATGCAACTTCAAGAAAGGCACTTAAACACATACATTATGCTGCGATCAGGATTAGCCTGAAAAAAAGTGTTGCGATTGAGGGAAAATTTTAGCTAGGGACCTTCCCAAAGAGGTGCAAGTAACAGTCATAGTAGTCATCGGGCAATGGACAAAATTTGCCCATGTCCAAGAAAATTATTCCTACAGTCAGACATGATGACCAGGCAGACAGTAGGGTCGTTTATACGAGAGAAAGTAAGCCGTGGCTTACATAAGACGCAAACACCTCGTATACATGGTACAAAATCTATGTTCACGGCTTATCCTGGCCGAGGGGTTTTGGGATGGGCTCATCCAAGCCGCGGCTTACCTTGGACGTGAAAGTGTTCATATAGTGTTCGCCCAAGCCATTGTTGCGAGATGCAAATGCAATTACCCCAAAACGAGGCACCAAAACAAACTACCTCATCATTGGACTGATCTGGCCGCAAACTAAGCCGTAAACCATTTATACGAGCAGTTTGCGTCTAATGTAAGCCGTACTCGTATAATGGTTCCTTTCGCGTCTTATGTAAGCTGCGGCTATAGTAAGCCGTGGCTTATTTTCTCTCGTATAAACGGTTCTAACATCATTTTGAAGCTAAAGATTTGCATAGTAATAAGAAAAATGACAATTTCACATAATGTTTGTCCAACTTAAACGGTGACCTTGTTGGACATGTGCATTTCTAAAAAGAAAATTATTTGCAGGTTTGCTAATTCTGTGCACTAAAAACAGACCCTTCCATGCTTTTTTGAACTTTTGACTTGGCCCAGTCAGTGAAAATCCATCAACGTGACTGAAAGAGCACCTTAAAATCAGTGAAGTTGCCAAGTTTGAGAGTGATTTGTTAGTGTTGAAAACTATGAGGGTGTAGCTCCACAAAGTCACAGAATTTTACAGATGTTTGTATGGTAGGGTGCCCCCATCATACAAATGTCTGTAAAATTTAATGGCTTTTTGGAGCGATTTCTTTGCTCTCTTTGGACATATTACCTTTCAACTTGGTAAGTTACACTGTACCTTATTGCTTCGGAGCGAGCGAGCAGCAATATAATCAGGATTTAAGAGAAATATATAAGGTGGGACAAATTCTCAAATTCATCACTATTTACCAGAATGCATGACATCTAACCAGATTGCACTGCGCCACCTTTTTACCAGAATGCATTGCGCCGTGAGCAACTTAAATAAAAACATGAGGAAGTTTGGTGGGTGAGAGCATGCATCGTTCGCTGCTCAGACTCAGAGTTTTCTTTGTGGCAAATTTTCTAAAGCACAGTTACAGGTCTTACCAAATTCAGGGTTCGTACGTGTCTTGAAAACCCTTGAAAACCTTTGAATTTCAGGAGTCCGATTTCAAGGCCTTGAAAGTACTTGAATTTCGATTTCGGTCTTTGAAAGTCCTTGAGTTTTTATTGAACAAGATCGAAAATGTTTTGCACTATCTGTAAACCCAAAACATAGATGTTAACACAAGCATTTTTCTTGGTTTTGAGGTAAAATTGTCATTAAAAAAAGTCCTTGAAATTTCTAGTTAGGGTCCTGGAAAGTCCTTGAAAAGTCCTTGAATTTTTGGCCTGAAAAAGTGTACGAACCCTGCAAATTTATGACACCCAGGAGTCTTTCAGATGAGTACGATGGTTAACTTAGGGATTGGATTTAAATTCAAGAGCCTGTGACTCGTCCGGGAATTAAACTTGACGACAAGATGAGCTTTGGCTCTTCGACTCCTCAACAGAGGGGATATACAAATTCCAGCTTGCTAGAAGGTGATGTGAAAGTGAGAAAATGTCATGTCATGCTATTCTCAAGAGCCTGTATGAGCCGAAAATGGATGTGATTTTGACTGCTAACTTCAAAGTAACAGCGGAAATCGAGTGGCATTTTGTAAAGCATAATTATGTTCATTCATTGCCTGGAATGCGTTTACATTGTTTTGTTAGTGTTAATAGCTTGGTTAATGCGGCTCGATCATCTTTAAGGACGTTCGCGCGAAAATCTTCTAACATCGAATTTTTTCTGAAACTTTCACCAGTTTGAGATTATGGGTTACTCATGTCAAAAATGTAAAAAAATTGGGGGTTCACCGAATTCGTTTCTCAGAGTTGATTTTATCATTTAGCGGACACATTTCTACTCTCCTAACAGCCGCACAAATGCCAAAACTCGACGCTCCATACACAGAAAAACTGGAAATTTTTTACCTTCCCACATTGATTTTTTGTTCATTTTTTCACAATCTATCGGAAAGTGGAAGAGAAAGTGGCATTTTCTAGAACGTTATGTCAAACGGTATACAAGTTCAGTGTTCTCACCAGGATTTTGCCTTGGGGAGTCCCAGGGCCCCCTCTTCTGAAAAATAGGGGCCCTGTAAGAATGTTAGGGGGACAAAGTTACAAAAAACACGCGGTACGAAGAACCTGAGCCCGCACTCCAAATTGTCTGTTACATGAAGTACCTACCTGATCCAATATGGCGGAAGAGGTGTTTACGATTCGGAGGAGGAGTTTACGATGTAGTGGGACGTGCGTGGGACCAATGAAAGTAAAGGCAACAAAATTAAAGACTTTGACTCATTTGATATCATGTTTTTTTATTTATTCAGACAAACAGAATGCTTTAGTGTTAGGGTGACCATTAAAACTACTTAAGTCTGTTTGACTCGTAGCTTGCCCCTGCGCCCTAACGGGCGCATCTTCTTGGTTTTAATGCGCCATTTCAGTTTTTTCTTGCGGGAATCTCGCAAGGCCGCGGCCTGGTGAGAACACTGCAAGTTCCAAGCGAGTTCTTTTGATGAACTAAGTATTTTCCCACAAGCTGGAATGCTCTGCTTAGTCAAGTGTGATGAAGATTGATTTTCAAGTTCTGTGTTTCCAAGTTGGCGGGAGCCGTAAGATATCTGAATTTCAAGTGAGAGTTTGTTATTATGGGCAGAGGCTGTTTAGTTTTACTTAAGTTCAAGTCAAGTTTATTTTTTTTTTGGTATTAATCTTCCTCGTGTTAATCGGACGTCCCTGCGTGCTGATAGTCACTGAATAATAATGTCCTCAAAACATTCGAACTTGTAACATTGAGTTTTAGCCAATTCCATGCTCAACGTAATTGACTCCTTACCCAGGCCTTACATATAGTAAAATTCTGAAAATAAGCCCCGGGGCTTATATTTTTCAAGGGCCCTTTTTGAGGGGCTTATTTTTGGAGGGGCTTATCTACGGAGGGAAATTTGAGTTTCAAAATCGATTGGGCTAGCCTTATAGTTGAAAGTAAATTGACCGTTTTGGTTTTGTTGTACTTTTTATTTGAAGGCAATTTTCCAAGTACAAGGCCACGGGGGGCTTATATTTGGAGGGGCGATTTAACAGAGGGTTTTTTGCGTTACCGGTTTGGGGGGCTTATATTTGGAGGGGCTTATACATGGAGGGGCTTATTTTCGGAATTTTACGGTATCTTTAATCAGTACATAAGACTGCTATGCTGTTTTTGAAGCCTGATGTAAGAAAAATAGAGAATTCCTTTTTCACTGTTTGTTTTGTTGAACTTGTTATTCACCGCAAGTATCCTCATATTTGACTTAGGTCTAACTGTTATATTTGCAATTATCAGCGTTTAGCTTACCACCTTCCCGCTTTTTCTAAATGTTTGGACCGAAGTCAAATTTAGAAGGATTTGTATGGAGTCATCCGAGCATAACTGGGCTAATATCTCAGAGACAATTTGTTCGAAATGCTAGTTTTTTGCAAGTAGGCCTCTTGGATGTTACTCTTTTCAGAATATCCTGACAAATGTCATAATTTCACAAATTAACACCTTACTCTTACTATATTTCATTTCTTACTGTTCCTCCACATTTGCAATTAATCAGTTCCACAACCATGATGCCGAAGTGTACCCTCCATAGCGTCTTGTCTAAACAAGGTTCCCATGAGTTCTTTTTTTGTCTCTTCCAAGCAGATGGATCACTGCCTAACTAATGTCAGTATTAACAGAATATGCGCTGAAGCGTTACTATCTTTTAGATACAGACTGTACCCTAGTTTTTAGGCTGTGGGGGACACCTATCTATGAATAAATTCATAAAGCAATAATTCGCTTGTGCTAAACCTTTTAAAACACTTATATCTTGGCTGTTTTAGAGGTGATTTTGATAAAATTTTACAGAGACATATTGGAATGATGGAAGCGTAGGAGGGTTGTTTCTTAGTTGATAGATTGTGCCTTACGGGTGCTTTAAGCTACAGTTGTACCAAATTGGGAAATCGTGATTTTGTGTCCAAGTTTCTGGAAAGAACAGAAGACAGCACCCTGTGATCAATTTTATTAACAAATGATTGGTCAAAACCTGTAGTGTGTCATGTTTAGAGCAGGGTTTGCAATTTAAAGTTTGCTAGCAAGATAAAATCTTTTCAATCAGAAAAATCTGTCATCCCTGAAATTAGTCCCATTATATCTTTTTAAAAAAGCACTCTTTTAGAATTCTGCTCCATACGTGACACACTACAGTCCACCAAGTTTACCATTTAGAGCCCATTTGTTACTTTTGAATTAACATTCAGTTTGCAGTCTCCTTGCTGGACGTGCATGTGAACACTTCAAATCATGCACTCAGCTTTTATCCAGTTGTGAATATCTCATAAACCTGTCTATATCAGTTGTTGTGCTTTGTGCAGACGCTTTCCCCCGTGACCTTAATGTGCTCTTTCCCACAATGCCAATGGATATTTGCTTGCTTCTCTTTATCAAAAGTTGAAAAAACCGTGGAAGAATCTATTCAGATGTGTATGCATGTGTAAGGTCATGATTGTAACAATGCTCTGTTTATTTGTGCATGTGACGTTTAGACTGGAACAGTTGTCCAACAACTTGACAGAACTACAAAAGGTAATGTCAGTGTAAAAGGAGACTGTGGGATAGGTAAAACCTCATCCAGGCTCGTCCTTTCTTGGCCCAAAGAGAACCCTCTCTATGAACTGACCATGATGTTTAAGGAATTACCAGCAGTGTCTGCAAACAGCAATAAGACAAAGTGGGAGATGAGTGACATCACTTTCTTTGCCACCGTGAAGAACAATGATGATTTTTCGAATTTCTCAGGTAAATGAGCTAATAGTGTACCTACTATTAATTATTGTTTGTTCCTCTTACAAAGTAAGTATTAGTCCTGTTAAGTCCATCGACACACAGGTTATAAGATCACAACTGACAGCACTTTAATAGGGAACTTAAGCACTAGACGTTCTTGGTACCACGGACACCAACTGGAAGTATTTTAGCAGAATGACAGCCACTGCGCATGTCAAGACATTCTTGAGCTGCAGTCATGAACTTCAAAACGCAAGTTCTCAGGTTGAGCACGGAGCTTCAGAAATTCTGGGTTCTTTGAAGATTATTATTCGTCATGCAAAAGTAGAAGTTCTTCGTCTGAAATCATGTTTTCTGCGAAAGAAAGAAACAGAACTTCACACAAATCTTTGAAAGACATTTTCAAATGGATTATTCTGTCGGTGTTTGTGATGGTTTCACGTTGGTTTGCTTAGTGATTTGCATTTGGCGCGTAAACTGCGTCCCCGATCCAGTTCTGCGCGGCCAGCTATGCTGTTCATGAATCAATAACGTCTGGTGCTTAAGTTCCCTAATGATTATCGACAACTGCTGAGAATTTTACGTTCCTAAACCTAAATCTATTATTTCAAGAAGTTTTTGAGATATCCAGAATATTCAGGTTTGAGGTAAGTGTGATCAGCTGAGTCCTTGAGCTGATAACAATACAATCAAACCCCACGTAACGGACACCTGCTTAATATGGATACCTTGTCATTACAGACTGTTCGCTTTGTATGTTGGCATACCCACCCTTGTCAATAACTTACAAAATATATGTTAGTCCTGAACATCAATTATCTATTTGCATATAATATATTCATGCTATCTGCTTATTTATGGCTTATTGATTATGTGAAACGTGCTACTAATTTTACTCTGTAAACAGTCTTTCCACTGCCTGCCTAGATTTGCGGGCTAGTGTCAGTGTTGAATACTTTGCAAAATCTCCCAATAAACTTTGAACTTTTTGTTTTCAACTCCCAGCGTGCAAAGAAAGTCATGTCCAATAGCCCAGGGCTAGTGGATTTTGCTATCAGGCAAGTGATTTTTGTTCTTAACTTGTCCAACGGGCAAGTGCTGTTTTTTGGCGGAAATTCAAATTACATAAGGATTGTAATCAATCCTGCTAATTGAAAAGGGTTTGGGGGTTAGTTGAAATGACTTGTGGGCTAGTACATGCTAGCTACAGCTTGCCCGAATGGCAGGCCGTAAAACTGACTTTCTTTGCACCCTGACTCTCTCTGGAAAGCCCTCTCTTAAATTTTCCCTAAATTCCACCCGCTTAATACGGAAAACCAGGTAATATGGACACTTTTCTGTGGCTCCTTTAGTGTCTATACTAAAGAGGTTTGACCTCAACTTTAAACAGTGAATGGAACAGCTGCAGCTTTAAAATACCTTCCTTAGCTTTTGCAAAATTCTCTTGTTTGACTGTGGTGATGGCCTGAGGCCTGTCAAATGCTATAATCTTATATAGCTTCTTTATATGCAGGAAACGCTACAAACATCACCAGTTTTTACGACAGTTCAAAAGACTTTCATACAGCAGAACTTGGGTCTTACTACATGTGTAAAGCTGTCAAAAGCATACATATGGAAAATGGCTTGGGTGATGAATTTAAAGTGGATTCCAGCTTCTCACATTTGAAACTTGAGCCATTTGCAAACAGTACAAATGGTAGTTTTGGAAATGGTAAGTGGTAACTGACATTTTGATGATATGATGCTGAGGAGATTCCTGTCATTCTCCCTGCTAGCAGGGGTAAAAAGAGAGCTTATTGGCGATGAGATGGCCTCCCGGAGATACATTCTAAGGCCTTTATCACACGTTCCTTCCCCACAAACGTCTGCCGAAACGAGTGGTTAAATTCCTTTCCCTTTGTTCGCAAATATCAGCTCGAGATCATGTGCAAATCACCAGAGAACAAGTCAAGGCCAAGTGATTGTTTGATACAAGGCCAATCATAAGAATAAAAATGATTTAAGTTTTGAAAAGCTTAAGTCGACTCGCAAAGCTTGGATAGTGTGATACATGACCTTAGAGTTAAGATTTTGCTTTTTTATTTAAAATAAGCGGAGGCTCTTTGTTTAATTATTTTTTTCTCTAAAGGATTGTTTTGAATTAGATGCTTTTTTCTCGTTAAGGTGTTCTTAAGGTTAAGCTACGGCAGGGTACTACATTGTAACGAATATCCATTTTTTTTAAAGTCAAATTCCATTCAGCAAGCTTATCCTCTGAGGTTATTTTTTTCTATAGGATTTTTGGGATGCTATTCTCACCAAATATTTAATTAACTGAGGAGTTTGTTCTGAGAAATGTGGGGGTTTTTCCTTGTACAGGGTGCGCCAAAATTTGTCGATTGTCCAGGACAGGTAGAAATACAGTTCGGACAAGTAAACCTTTGACATAACTTGTCCATGGGACAAGCACATTTTTAATTAGAAAAAGTACAGAAACAGATGAAAGTTGACTTCAAATTACAGTAGAATTAAAATTTATGTTAAAGTCATAAAAGCAAACCTCATGCTCGTCAAAATAAGGTTAAATATTCCTTTAAAACTTCGCCATTCCGCGGCCATTTCAATCATTTGTTTTTTTTTTACGAGCTCCATTTGGCTTAGGAACCTGGCCTTAGTAACCAGGCCTGTTAACTTACCTGCAAAAAGGCTGATTATGTGGTAATTAACAATTAATGAATGAGGCTGAGTATCTTATGAAGAATTATGGAGGTCGAGGAGGGTGTTGCGGATAACACCCTCCGAGATCTCCATAATTCTTCATATGATATGAAAGCCAAATTCAATAATTGTGTTATTATTCAGTCAAAATAATTCCTATTTGAAAAACATGGTTAAAACATGCTTACCTCCATCGATCCATCGATGTTAAGTTCATCTTTGATAGTGCACGTTTAGGTTTGTCCAGCTCCGCAAATATTCTCCGAATAGAAGATGGCGCCCTTTGAGTTGTCTTCTTGCTGTTCTTGCCATGTTTTTGGTTATTTTTTCGCCTAGTTCTTACTCTTGAAACAAGTGAAATGTCCGCCATTTTCTCAAGTTCACAATCAAAACAACTCAATCTCGTTCCAAGGTCTTCTCGGTTAACGGTGCCTTAATCTGCACAAACGCTGCATTTTTGACATCATTTCCTCGTTAAACACAAAATTCTTTCAAATTTGGTCATCAGCAACTGTTTATGGTGAATTATGCCTGTGCTTTTAGCAAGTCAGAATCGGGCAGTAAAATATTAGCCTGCGTGGCAGGCGTTTGAAAGAGAAGGGAAAGGGGTTTGAGGCGCGAGGAGGGAGGGAGAGAAACACCTGCCAGGAAACCATTGTTTTCGCCATCCCGCCTACTAATTATGTATGCAAAAATAACGCAACTGTGAATGACTAGCTGTCAAATAAGTCTGGCCACAATGCGTTTATTTAAGTCGTATTTCACGTACTGTTTTTCTTATGTTTTCCTAAAACAAGAAATCTGAAGTGATACTATTAAAAAAAGTGTAAATGCGGTCGTCCATTGAAAGAAGAAATTCGCAACCATGTGTGGCTTGTTATATAAAATCCAGCATAAATCTATTACGTTTTTGCTAAAGGTATCGTGTTGGACTTCCCAACTTGCATGCAGTGTTTGTCAGAGAAATTAATTACAAACACTTTGCTGACTCTCGAACTGTATCCAGTGCAGCATACAAAAGAATGCTGGTAGCAGGGAAAGAAGAGCTGAACTTCAAAGATCTACAATAAGGCTAATTCTGCAATCAGTATTATTATTAAAGTAAGTTCCTGGCGGCTTATTACGTCTATAACCAGCAAGAAGAAGTCCTCAGACCAAAAATCGCTAAGGATTATATATCGCTTCGTCTTCAACAATCTGGTCATTGATAAAGCGTAGCCTGCGTGGTAGGCGTTTGAGGTCAAACAGCAGATAACAAGCACACAGGCAGCATGATTTTTCCTTTCTCTCTTCTATTGGGTAAAACAAGCCGCTGGGAGACAAGACTTCTCAAAACCAGTCAGCAAAACTCATCTAGCTGACAGGTCTTTTCCTTCATAGGAGTCTTTTAACTGCTTTCTTCTATTCTCCTTTCAAGCTGAAATAGATACCTTCAGTTTCCAATCATTCTAAAACGATGAATTCCATACAGAAATCTCATCACGCCTCACTAACAACATATTTTTAAATGATTACTGAAAGATTGATTAAGTTACTCAGTAGCGTGATGTTGATTTCAGCCTATCGGATTAACGTATTAAGGCTGTGATTGACATGTTTTGAAGACGGACCAATCAGGATTTTAACATTCGCCTGGTGGATGTTAAAAACGAGAAAAACAATGGTCTCTTGGCAGGCGTTTCCCTCCCTTTGTATCGATGAGCGATTTCCCGAAACTATGCCTGGCAACTTTATGAGCACATCCATGTTGTGCATCGCAATTTGCTCGACTTGCTTGCTGCTGTTGCTTAACTCCTAAAGTTTGAGTGGGACTTGACTACTACAACACTAGTGTAGTTAATTGCTTGTTTTCACGCGACGATTTTGATTATTCTGTCATTCACACGTGGGGCACCAATAAAAGCAAAGCTGTGATTGGAGGAGTCACAGTACCGCAAATGTGGCACGAACACCTTCCAGAAAATGGGAGCTGAATTATCATTGGCTAATCACGGGAAAGGAATGTAGTTGGGTTTTCAGCAGCTGTAAGTGGGAGGAGCATTGCGTGACGACTCTAAAGACGGCTGTGTAGCAGACTACAGATTACGAGGCAGAATAAAAACTATATATTTTCTTTGTTGGTTAAATTAATTATTAACAAACCTCGGCTCCACCTCAAATCACGGGACACCTCTATTCAGGGGACACTTTCCTTGTTCCCAAGGGTGTCCCCTGAATAGAGTTTCCACTGTACTTCCGAGATTTTTACTACTGCCAATAAAACTGGATGCTTTCTGTACAATTGATTACCCTCCCCCAGGTATAAGGTGGAGTTCTTTGGTCAAGTACAAATGAACGAAACGTCAGATATTGATTAAACACAAATTTGTTGTTTCTTTTAGTTGGCCTAACTTAAAATTCTGTTTTTGGTTTAATGACAGGTTCTCACACTGATTGCCAAGAGGATAAGACCACACCAAAAACACCGACAACTGCACCATCTAAAAATAACGACATTGTCCCTATAGCTGTTGGCTGCGCTTTGGCCGGTCTTGTACTTATTGTGCTGATCGCTTACGTCATTGGCCGTCGCAAGAGTCACAGTGGTTATGAAAAGGTGTAGACTAACAGTAATGGCCAATCGATAGCACTGTAACAGAATGCAACATCACAAGGCGCTGCGCAAGCCCTTTCTTTTACAATGTTGATTAGTCATGCCCTTGAGACTGATTTTGATTTACTATAATCCATTCTTGGCTGTGAGGCTTATTAAAATAAAACAAAGGAATTTGTGCATCCTTGAATCTCAACGTACAGTTTAACCTCCCTCTCCACAATGGTCCCCTCGGGGACAGAGGAAAGGAGCCATTGTAGAGAGGGTTAAAAAAGAGGCAATGTATGAACTGTCCGCCAGAAAAAGTGGCTGTTAGTGGAGGTTTGGCGTCTATTCCTTTAGTCTTTCTCCCTTAGTCTCACAGTCAGGTATAAATTATGATTTGATTGTTATCAAAATAAGCCTGTTACTGCTCCAAAATTAAATAATTTCAGGTACTGGTAGTTTATAGGTGACTTCGTGTACACTATACTCATCATTATCCAAGGGAAACAGTTGGTTAGCCTCTAGCTCAAGTGTGAGAGAGCTTCAGTGCTATCCTTATGACGATGAAAGCGAGACTGTGTCTTGGCAATGTCAACTGGTACAAACTCCCAATTTTTTTACATGTTATGCAGTAGGTTTTGGAGAAGTAATACCACAGTTGCATTACATTGCATTATGTTCTTAATCAGTCTTGCTTTCTGTTTGGTCTTTTTATTGTGATTTGCCTTTTCCCGTAGACGCAGCCCTAAGGTTGTCTTTCAATAAGCCTAAAGGGTTACGTCACCAACTATGGTAATATTTATTGGTAGGTAGTAACATGGTTAGTGGTACCAGAGTTTCTTTTGAGGAGGAAAAAACCCCAGGTAAATGTGGGTCACTTATTATCTGTTAGCCAAAAGTCTTAACGTGGCAGGCTCTTGAATTCTAGAATTTTGTTAACAGGAGAGACTTGTCAAGGTAATGAAAGGTTGTTAATTTTTAGTTATCCATTTTGAGTATTCTAAAGTATTGCACAGAATTTTGTAGCGTTAACGTAAAAGCAATGATTACTCAATGATCTATTTATGAAACTTTCCACTGTGCTTGCTATTTTTTTATAACATTATTTTTGGATTGTCTGAGTGTCAAGCGCTCTTTATAAACATCTATGGGCTATCACCAAGGGCAAGATCCTTGGGAAGGTCACCAAGATTATATGAGCTGTGTCACAAAATGTATCAAAATTCAAAAGTTGTCCTACTGCCACCAAATCGAGTAAATCGTAAAAATAACTGCCCAAGGCTAATACATGTACTAAAGAAGGCAGATATGGACAAATTTAAGATTTGTCAGGTTTGATTGGTACTTAGGAGGCACATTTGTTGGGCAAGAGGTTGTGATATTGTCATTTACAAGAAATTTCTTTGCGAGCATGAAGTTCCGTAGCGCATAAGAACATGTGACTGGCAAGGTTACCGGTCGTTTTGATACAAAGTTGTTTTGATACAAGGTTATTCAGTCGACTTGTAAATTGATTCACCTACTTGGCTTAAGGACTGAAGAATAGTCATCCAATATGTTTTCTTGTTCACACGCAGGCTATACTAAGTCTTGAAGTGATCAAAATTTGCGTGCAATTTCACTGCATAAATTTGCATCGAAACGACCGGTTACCATTGGCAATATTGACAAAATGAGCCATACAACTATAACAGTCCCTTTAATAACTACCTCAACATGCGGCTGAATAATCTGCCCAGGGGGGGGGAGACTTTCTCTCCCCTTGTACCCCCAACGTATGAGGGGTGGAGATGCTGGCATTTCAGAGTAGCAGCTGAAGTGTTTAATTTGGTGGAATGTAAATGTTGTCTAAAGTTAATCCAGACCTAGGGTAAGCAACAGGTAAAGTAGGCTCGACTTTTTGGTTCGACACTTTCAAGTTTGACACTGCTGATGGCAACAATTTTTTTTTTAATTATTGCTGATTACGGTTTGCTTTCACTTTAAGAGAAGAACCGTTGTTTTTTTTTCCTTCTGGTTCATCAGGGGGCATCATTTTAGTACATAAGCGATTGAGTTAATTCAAGTCAGTTCTGTGATCAACATTGACATTCCCCACACTGTCCTTCTTATATTTGTTCTGGTACTAATTAGAAGAATTTGGTTGGAAATCAAGACATTTAATCTTTGCTATTTTATTCTGATGAGCTTTTTTTTAAAGGGTTAATTGATAGATCACATGTTGGTAAGCACATGACAGATACAAGTTCACAGTAGCTCTGTTAAAAGTGGTAGTTTAGTGGGTGATTCATACTAAGTAATTCTCTTTAAAATAATGTTGATAAATGTTTCACCAAGAAGCCTTGTAAGCGTATTAATCAATAATAAATTGTTGTTTTTATACATAATTAAACCGGTAAGACCTAAATCCTTTTGATCTCTGTTTGTTACCAGTCTTGTTATCCAGACCGCAGAAAAACTCGTAAACACAGCTTAAGTGAACTATGAGTACATAAAGTTGAACATCCCCTCGCAGGTTCTTCCATAATGTGGACTCCTCAGTGCTCTTGCTCTTTGTAGTAGGGAACGCGAGACACGCGAGGAGATATTTTTACTTCCGCGTGGGTCGGAGGCTCTACCGTCTTGCCTGCTCTTGGGCAGATATTGAATGCTGACAACATGAGTAATGATGAGAGGGTAAGGTACAGCAGTGACCTGTCCAGCTTGCCTCAAATGTTCAAAATGATCGCAACACTTATGTTGAAGATATTTGCGGTTATTCACCGTGTATTTTGTCATTCGTTATCCTATATTCGTAGCCTGCGTAGCAGCATTGAAAGGGGAAGGGGATAGGGAGGAAGGAAAAAAGGGAGGGAGATTGGGGAGAGAGGGTAAGGGACCATTCCCTTGTCCCCTCTTTCGCACTTTTCTCCCTACCCCTCCCCTCCCCTTTTTGCGCCTGTCACGCAGGCTACTATATATATTCGTCACTTCCACACCTTCGCATACCGTAAATCCTCTATCCATCTTTCTCTTACAAGCTCCACTTCTCTTTAAAGCCCCCTTCCCTTTAACCCCTTCCCCGTTATTATTGTTCACTGGTAAATAATAGATTGTATAATCAATCACGACTGTAAAACTTCGTGTGGACTGATCTAGGATGGCAGGAGAGGATGGTTAATTCACCAACTAGAAGTCCCGATTTGTTTTTGATCCTCGGCTGCATGACCTTCAACGTTTTGAATTTAAGCTTTCTCAATTTGTAATTATAATTCTTTGTGAAGAATAGCCTGATTCTCAGACGTCCGAGGTCGTTCACGGTCCCTTTCGCTTCCCTCCCTCTCTCAGAATAGCCTGATTCTCAGACGTCCGAGGTCGTTCGCGGTCCCTTTCGATTCGCGAACGACCTCGGACGTCTTTTCGAAAGGGACCGCGAACGACCTCGGACGTCTGAGAATCAGGCTATGTAAAGAACTGATACCATCGTCTTTTCTAAATTAAATACGCCCCTCCCCCGCTTCGAATGTTTTTGAAGTAAATAAGCCTCCCCGGGGGGCTTAATAGAGGATTTAAGGCAATATTACTCCACTTGTCTTCAAAACTTTGCATAAGCATTTTTTAAGTTTTGCTTGGACTTTCCATTGTACCAAGAAAAACTGAATCATTTGTCGGGGAGGAGCTCACAGAGTTTAATATGGAACGCCCTGATGCCGGGAAATCGTCTTTTTTAAAGTGCTGTGGTCTGGTCAGGATTTCAATGACTGACGCATAAAATACCACATTTCCTCCTATTCTCTTTTGCATTGCCCATAATGCACATAGTTCGCCCCTTCCAAATTTTGTAATTGTTCCCAATTTCTCCTGGATATTACAGTCGTCATAAGAGAAATTAAAAACAATGCTTTTGCAGTTTTGGGAAGACAAAGAAGCTTTAATTTAAGGTTTTATGGGCAACGCGAAAGTGCTGAATAATCGTCGTCCCCAGAGGGGACCCCCATCTGAAAGGGGCGGGGATGCTTGTTGGAAATTTCGAATTAAACGCTCTATCAGGCCAACAGGAGTCCCCACAAAGGCCTTTGTATGTACTTGTAATTGTACAAAACCCTCCAAAAAAAACCCAAAATAGGAACGCGGGAAAGACTGGGCTCTGACACGTGTCCATCTGGGCCTCTCAAGCGCCCTATCACGTGTCTACCCATACTTCCGCCTCTTCCAGGAACTGTTCCCTTCAATCGTGCAGAGCAAGCAAAGGGATTGCGAATTGCGAATTTTTAGTATTCGTCTTCGGCTCGCGTTTATCATACAGTTCTCATCATGGCTGTACTTCACGGAGTTCTCGGGATCTGTTTGCTTTTTGCAGGTGAGAGCGCTTTCTTCCCTACTACGTGCTTGTTCTTTCGCGATTTGTAATCTTAGATTATGACGAGTTTGCGCCATTTTCAGTGAATTGCACATGGAAGAATGCTACTTGACGCCTCTCAAGAGTATTTATTTTAAATCCATTTTTATTAGTGTAGTTTCTCGATCTTCAGGTTTGCGTTTAATCGGGCGCTTGTAACTTCGCTAAAACTTCATGACATTTGAGCTAACTAACAGAAGACTTGGAAAGCGAAACGCGTTAATTCTTATTTTCCGCCTTGTCAGTTTAGTCATGAATATTAAGTCCACGCTTGATTGTTTTATGAAAACTCTGTACATTAAGAATCAAACGAACAGTAAATCTTCCAAACGTTTTGCAGAAGAGTGAAATCACTGAGCAATTTCTGTTTCATTTGCACGAAACATTCCTTTGCCAAACAAGTAGATAAGTGGAATCCACTTTGTCGATTTTATTCGTTGCCTTTTAACACAAATAAGTGCGGCAGGTTTTTTTTCTGAAACCGTCACTGTTGTAGACCAATTTCGATATATTGAAATTCATGCTTAGCTACGAGGCTTGAAGGAATAAAACAATATAAATTATTCCCTCAAGCCTCGCGAGCAAGTACGAATTTTCGAGGTGAGATGTATGATGCATGGTCCAAGTTTCATAGTCTGCGGTGCATTATGGGAGCAAGTCCAGTAAATTACGTGCCCGCGACGAGCCTATAGAAAGTAAACATTACTAATGCTTCTATGCTATGTCATCAGAACGTTACGACAATGTATTTCAAAACACTGAATCCTAGGCTTTTTAGGACAGCAATTTGAGTTTAGGTTTTGCTCTGTGGTAATATGGAAATGTTGCAAATTTTCAATGAGTTTGCTTGGCTCGTGCACGTGGGAATTTTGGATGGTGTTAAAAAAAAAACAAATTCAAGGCGTATGTTGAACTATAATAAATAACTTAACACTACGCGTTTATTTATTTTTGAGGCAGTTGTTTTAAAACTGAGTAAAAAAAGAATAGTGTTGATTTGCTTTATTGAAATAATTAGCATCCTGGCCTGTGCAAAAATGCAGCTTAATCAGGCAGTAAAACCCTATTCAATTAATGTTGTTAAAGGAAGAGGCTTCTAATTTCTTACTGTGAGATTTTAAAAATGAAATTTTGTAGCTTGCTCGTGCTTAAGAATTTTCGCAGCCATTTGAGTTGAAAGCTCTCTTGAACGCCTTCTCACAAATGGTCTCCATTATGTCAGTGAACATGAACAAGACTGAACTTCCCACGAAACGGTTTACCATAGTGCACTGCAGGCCATGAAACATGGTTCACTGGACCAACCTTAATTGAAATAGGTACATACAGTGAAACCCCACAGGAGGATAATTCACATGATGTCACTGTGGCCATATTGGTGTTCCAAAACAATGAAACAGTAGCCATGTTGGTCTACCAAGACAACCCTGTGGGAATTGAACTTTTTTCTTATGTAAAAACTTTCTTTTGTTCCAATAAATTAGCATAGATGCTGGCCACGTGAGTGAATACAGCCTATAAGAACCCCGCTATAATGAAGACCCTGTTATAACGAAAAACATCTGAAAGCCTGTCAGAATTACAGTAAAATATGAATGAATGAATGAACGAATGATTGATTTATTTAATGTCAAAGACGTGGGAAGTGTTTACACAATCTTCTGAGCCAGAGGCTCATGTTAAAAACGCTTGACAAACTAAAAAATACAAAACAGGATAAAAAGTGAATTATATATATACAAATATTAAGAAAAACCTAAAAACATCGTAATTTTGGGAAAATTTTTTAAGAAACTATTTTCTGAAAAAAAAAAACACTAAAATAACCTAAGAACATGCATGGAAAATAGTTTAAAACGGACTAATCATTATAAACTGATTAATTATATTAAAAAATATAATTATATCAGTATAATTATATATGTATATAAACTAGCCCAAGAGTATGTAAAAATGTAAAAATAGATAAAGTTACGTACAGTTCATACATTGGCACCCTGTGAAATTGACATTATTAAGGCGAGTACGAAATTGCGCTAAAGTGGTCGAGGATTTAGTTACAGTGGACAATTGATTCCTTATGTGGGCAATCATGTATAAAAAAGAGTTGTGCATGACAAGGCTGTTATACGAAGGCTGCTCAACATTATTTTAATCTGCTGTTTCGTAGATTGCATTTAGTTAGCCGAGGGGTAAAAAATTTGGAAATATAATTAGGGCCACCTAGTTTAAAACATTTAAAAAATAAGATAAGCGATTGCAGGGTACGTCTTTGCTCAAGCTTGTCCATATCAGCCATTTCTAGGCAAAAGTCATAGGTAGCCGAATTACCTAAATTCAGTAATGTCTTGATCGGATAATGATTGGTACGTTTGATGTTATTTTTCAAGACTAGATATGCCCAGAAGTAGTGGGCAACAGTATTCTAAATGCGGTAACACGTAGGCTTTATAAAGGGAAATCCTAACATTCGAAGGAACTAGGCGCTTAATTTTCCGTAGTGCGGCTATCTTAGCATACGCTTTCTTCAGCATGATTGCCACGTGTGGCTTGAAAGACAAATCCCGATCCAATGTAATGCCCAGAATCTTGAGATTGAGGTTCAATTTCGATGGACTTATCACCGATTTTTAAGATTATATGGGTACTGAGATTTCCCCAGTGTCATGGCCTGAGTTTTAGTAGCGTTTACTTGCAGGTAATTCGCAGTGAACCAGAGGGTTAATCTCTCTATATCCTGATTCAGTGTAAATTCTAGTGTACAGGGGCTCTCATGGGCTATATATTGCATTGTGTCATCAGCATACAGACGTAGGGAGGAAGATCCAGCTGAGTAATTGACATCATTCACAAAGATATTAAAAAAAAGCGGACCTAGAAGGCTCCCTTGCGGTGTTCCACAGCGAAGAGGCAGCCAGTCTGACACCTTCCCGTTGCATTTTACTCGTTGAAAGCGGCCTGATAGATATGACTGAATCAGTTTTATAGCTGAATCGTGATTGCCATAAGCTTTCAGTCTTGCTAGTAATAAATTATGACAAATCGAGTCAAAGGCTTTGGATAGGTCAATAGCGATCACCGCCACATCCTTGGCAGAAATGTACCCTACTGTAAGGAATAGATTTTGATGGTCCCAATGCACAATTTACCCCGCTATAAGGAATATTTTGTTCGGTTGCTCACAGCAGTCAGTAAAAACAACAGATTTGAGTAGAAATCACAGCTTGCTTTAATTGAAAGTGTTTTTGAATTTGATGTCTTGATTGTCAGCGTTTTACACTTACAGTTTACAGTATCAAATGAATTAAAATGTTTTCTACATGCAGTATTGAATTTTTGGTAATTGTTATTTATTAAATTACCCCACTATGATGAATATTTTTGCTGTTGATGAGATAATTCATTATAACAGTTTCTTCGCTATAACAAAGACCCTGCTATAACGAACAACTTTTCGGCACCGTGGCACTTCGTTACAGCGTGGTTCCACTGTATTGGAATTGCTCCATTAAGTATATTGTACAAGTGTTGGTTGCATCATTTGCAGGTAAATTTGCTTGTATTCATTCTCCAATCTGTCCTTTCAAAGGGTGGGGTAAGGTGAATTGGGTGGGACTGGATCTAGTAAAAATAAGTACCAAAAGGCACAAATCAAAACGGTGTTCTAAGAAAATCAGCATCGAATTCAAATATCATCAAGAGCTATTGTCTTGATTTCATAGCCAGCTATTACTGAAAGGAGTACAGTGAAACCCTGCCTTACGGCAACCTCAGTCAGGGTTGTCAAAAGTAGCCGGCTGCCAGTGAAAATCGCCGCCTACTTGGTTCGTATGGGCAGGCTACCCTTCTTAGCATTCTTTATGGATGGCATTTTTTAAATAAAATATCCCCGGACTTGCCGCTTACTTTGAAAACTCAGCAGTCTACTTCAAAACTTTCTGACAACCCTGCTCAGTAATATGGTCGCCTTGTTATTGTGTCCACTTTTTTTTGGCCACCTGGCAAAAACCACCATACATTTTCCTGTAAAAAAAAACCCTTGTTAATATGGCTACCCCCTTAATTTGGCCCATTTGTGACTGTATTAACGGGGTTCCCCTGTACTACTTGCCTCTTCTTACTGAGTTGTAATTATAAAATAATTTAATGCATCAAACTTCAGTCCTTTGAGACTTGAACTCTGGTGCTGTTTTAAAATCTGTCAAAGTTTAATGAAAGAAGGCATTGGTTTGTCTATTAAACTGCAAGCCTGCAAATAACAGCCAGTCATTGGTCAAATGACCAACAAATTTTGGATTTTGACGGGCTACAGCTTGGCCTGGTCGGTCACTCTCTCTTCCTTTTTTCCTTTTTTTGACCTACCAAACTGGTGTCTTGACCCGCAAAACCTGGTCCTTGTCCAGTCAAATGACCACCCAACAGCCAAAAGTTATTTGCAGGCTTGAACTGTAATTCTTATATAAACACCAATGAAATACCAGGTGAACTTTTGCGCGAAAACATGATATCTTCACACGTGAGAATAACATGTTATCTTTACTTGTGAAAAGATCACTGTTGCTATGGCTACATAACTAATTGCACCTTTCACACCAAAAAACTATTTAAGTGAGATGGTTTGGTATTTCAATAGTGTTTACATAATAAATAGAACATTACATGGCCCCTTGGAGATACGAAATTTCTCTTCTTGTTTTGAAAAAATATTTCACTTGTTCGCTGCGCTCACTCGTGAAATATTTTTCAACCCTCGAAGAGAAATTTTGTATCTCCAAGCGACCATGTAATATCCTCTATGTATTTTTGCCTTATGTCATTTCCTTTTAGTTGTTTTGGTTGATAATAAGGGAAACAGCATGAGCGCTTCAAGCCCAGCAGTTATAGCAAATGGAAGTGCTACACAGAATCATTCCTCTATGGTGCAAAACTCAGCATCGACAGCCCATGTTAACCCATCCTCCATGTCGATAAACAAGACTGCAACCATGACGATCAAACCTTCGCAAAATAAGACTTTCACTCCTTCTCACATGACATTTACACCATCCCACAATATGACTGTCACACCATCCCACAATATGACTGTCACACCATCCCACAATATGACTGTTACACCATCCCCCAATATGACTGTCACACCATCCCCCAATATGACTGTCACACCATCCCCCAATATGACTGTCACACCTTCCCACAATATGACTGTCACACCATCCCACAATATGACTGTCACACCATCCCACAATATGACTGTCACACCATCACAAACAATACCAACGCCCCCTGTAACACCAACTCCAACACCAACACCAACGTCAACACCAATCCATCCCGAGCCAGGCAATTTTACTGTCACGACGAAGAACCACACAGTGTGCTTGTTTGCTTACATGGCAGCCACGTTTCATGAGCCCATGAATATTGCAAAGGTATGGAAGTATTTATTTGCACTGTTTAGCAATGGATCTTCATTACAGCAGATCCTCAATATAACGATGTTCAGAGTCCTTGTTATAATGAATGATTTTATTTACCCCAGTACTGGTAAAATGTATGGAAAAGAACCTCTGTATAATGAAACCTCGCTATAGCGAACACGTTTTGCCAGTCCCTTGGCCCTTCATTAAATTGAGGCTCCACTGTATTACTGTTACCACTGGGCAATCAAGGTTGGGTCATATAGACATTCATGACAGTGAACATAATAGCAATTTAAACCTTTTCTGTTACCTAACCAAATATCATTTTACATCCCGGTCTAGCCAGACTATTGTCCAGTGCCTGACCACTGTTTTTTGTTTTTGCCTCTAACGTTTTTCTGTGAAGGTTGTACAAAAAAACCCAGTGGAATGCCTCATATTAGCTTTGGAAAGCCAGTTATGGCTCCCTTAGTCATCAGCTCTCAATTGTATCATGAAAAACAAAATATTATTAACTGTACATTTATTTTATTATTATATTATTATTTATTGCTTTACAGATTGTGTATTTGCCAGCGAATGCTACAGCTACTGGAGCCTGTGCAAATTATCCTTCCAACGACAAATCGTTTATTACCCTGTCATGGCAGTCAAAAGAGGTTTCTTTTAACTTCACAATGCACTTTGTCATAGTCAAGGGCAAAAATTTGCAAGTCACATCCTCACCACGCTGGGCTGCTGCAAATTTGACGTTTTCAATGAAAGGACCTGGACTCTCTGGTATGACTGCATATCAACTTATTGTAACTCAAAGGAAAATAAAAAGGCCACTACAAAAAATACTATAATCTCAAATTGCAGTTTGGGTAGCGCTGCATGTAAAGCTGATGTTCACATTATCTTTTGCCCTTTGCACGATCTGCAAGGGCAATGGCTGATTTCCAAAAATACATGTACCTTAGTAATAGTGTAAAGTGTCATAAATTTTCTGGCCTTTTTTGCCGGCACAATCATTAGAATTCAGGGTATTTATAGATAGAAGGCTTCCACCATAGAACTGTGATTAAAGAATCCACCAATTCCACTTGTCTTCCCTCATGCCAAACCCCTGAACATATTAAAAAGAAAACAGTACTTAACTATAGTTTAGCCAACATCAGAACATTAGCATAACTGTGTTTTCACCTAAACATGCTAAGTATGCAATTTTTTGACAAACTGACGTATTGCATGTGCAAATTGTGTGCAAAAGTAAGGTTAATGTGAAGTGCCGTATTTATTTGATTAAACGCCACAGCATTTATTAAATTTTTAGCATTTCCAATGCAGCGTTTACTTAGGGCAGCGTTTATTTCCAAATCACAACAGTTATTGTAATTCGTTTGTAAATATAATTTATGTAATTTAATGTCAAACTCAGAAAACCATGAACACCTGAAAAATTTCAGGAATCAGTGCTCGACTTTCAGAAAAAATCGTGGGGGCAGCTGGCCCCCAAGTTTTCATTTTTTGTCGCCAGAACAAGTATTCTGGTCGCTAAAAATTATATTTAAGAATTAATGGATTTAGTTTTCTGAAGGATAATGGATTATCATTAGTGTACGTTTTCCCAAAGAAGACAGTCACCTATCTTGGGGGCCAGGTAAGCGACCAGGCGTGAAAATTTTGTTGCCACTGAGTAAAAGCTGGTCGCATTGGCGACTCCACGGGTCGCAGCGTCGAGCCCTGGGAATTATATTTTGTGTGTTGCATAAAAAGTACTTATCTCTAAGTTAGGGTAGCTTACTACAGAAGTCTCATTAGACGTGGCACAATGACCCCCTTTTGTGTCCTAAATAACTGGCCAACCACAATAAAGTTCAGGACGTGAACAAACCTCAAAACCACAAACTAATTACCGTTGCTGTTTGTGGTTTTGTTATCACGTGCCTTATTCGCTTATTTCTCGCAACACAATAGCATTCCATAAATATTTCTGGTGTTCACGGATTTGTGAGTTTCACGGTAATACTTTGCTACTGAGAGAGAATCGTTAATGTCTGGATTGTGTAAATTACCAAGTTGTACTGAGGTTTTCCTTATTCCCCTCGAGTAAACACTGTATTCTTCTGATTAGGTGATTTTGCTTCCATCTGCGGTGTTTGATCGAGTAAGGTGTTTATTTGAGGGAATAGATATGGTACTACCCAAATGGCACTCTGATATTATGGTATATTTCAAAGTGGCCTATTTAGCATGAATAAAAAAAATATATTTTTCCATGTGCTCCAAAATGCAGAAGCAGACATTTGGTTAGCTTGAGAAAACAGCTGTCATTTTGTGATGCCAGCACTGGTTTCCCCTGCATTTTAAGAAATGAGGACAGAAATTTGATCCTGATGATGTGTCATTACCCAGAGCTGGGTACCGGTAGCACTTCTCATTGGCTGAAGCAATTTTCCCTTGTGGCGCAACCAATCAGAAGCACTACCCAACTCTGGGTAGCTAGTGATGCGTCATTAGTATTGAGTTTCTGCATTTTTTTTCTTAGACATCATTCTGTGGGGAAACCAGTGGTGGCGTTGCATAATAACAGTTGTTTTCTCGGTTATTAGAAGAATACTTTGTACCTTTCTTTTTAAAAGAAGCGGGGTGGGGAGAAATGAGACATCAGTATTCAGAGTTAATGTTTAACATAGTTTACTATGGGTATGGTTTCTTTGCAGAAACATTTCATTCTAAACAAGAGCCACTGAATGAGGTTTCAGCTCCTTTGGGTCATGCATACCTGTGCAAAGCTAATTTGAAACCCATTAAACTGACAGCTGTCAATTCCAGTGTGGATGTCTCACTAATGGATGTCAAGTTCCAACCCTTTGAAGTTGAGAATGGACAGTTCAGTAAAAATGGTAAGGGCAGGACGTTGACTAGGCAAACTACAATCAGGTGTTGTGCTTGAAATTAAGCATACACCTCTCATGTTAGCAAGAAGTGTTGACTGATGATATGACGTGCACAAATATTATTAGAAAACGTTTCTGAATTTTGAAATGGCTGGTGTGCCTTGAGTAAGCTTTTGTGCTCTTATCAGGGCTCGAAATAACGGCCGGTCAACGGACAATGTCCGGACTGATTGGGGAGTTGACCAGTCAACTTTTCGTCTTGCCAGTCATGTTGACCGGTCACAATCGATCGTATTGAAAATGAAATCAGTTGTTTCAATTGTTATCAGTATGTAGCGAGTCGCTGTGCATTGCGAAACGTTGATCTGAAATCCTGGGTGAAATACAACTACAACCGTTGTTTACAATTCGCGCATTGAAACAGACATTGGGGTTCACGCGCTTTCAGTCACAAAATTTAAAATATTTTTACTTTTATGAGTTAAGCAACAACTTAAGGGCGTCTGATCGGTCGCGAAGAAAAAAGTCAAGTTTCGCGGGATTTTTAGAGAGATTTGCAGAAAAATCGGCTGATATCGCGGGAATTTCGCGGAAATTTTCGGGACTAACTTCGCCGAAAAACAATAGATAAAAACGACCGATTTCGTGGGAATTTTCTGGACAAATTTCGTGCTTTTGTGCTGATCTGACGAGCATGTTTAAAGTTTTTTAACAGAGATAATCACTTGCTATTTTAACGACAAAGCGCTCGAGAAATGAGCCAGTGGCAAAGCTTTTTAAAACATCATGACTAGTGCCCAGTTGTCCCCAACATAACTTATGCCTGGTAGTTTTGGAATGTTGTTCGCTCGTTGTGGGGATGAAGTTGACGGCAATTAACAGCCCCAATAGCCGAGATAAGTTTCAAATATGTTGTATCGACATGTATTAGATAAGATTTCTAACAAATTTCGCGGCCCCTTGACCCCACGAAATATCTGAACCCACAGCTGTTTTTTGGCCCTTGTTTTAAGAGTTATTTGTCTCATAAATTTGACCGGCCAGAAACGATAAGTGACCGAGTTAAAATGAATTTGGCCGGTCATCGTGTCTGAAGGCTCTCCGGAAATTATTTCGAGCCTTGTCTTATAAGCACCCACCACCACGATGTCATAATAGGCTGATTTGGCAACAGAACGGGAACGTCACTTGACAATGGCACGTGCAAATCAAACAGCTGGTTTGACAAATAACTGAGCGGCAAATTGGGTACCGGAAGCGGCGTACAGTCCTTTCCATGCACTTTTACCCGTCTCGTCAACTAACATTTCCGTTTTGTTGCTAAATCAGCCTAATATCAAACTAGCACCCCCACTGAATAAACGTCCCCCTTTGATGCCCCATAACCCTCTTAAATAGATGGGATACAAGGAATGCATGTGTTTAAGCTTCAACTTCATTTATACCAATACTTCTGTGTGTTAAGTGTATAATAATATTGAGGTTACTGTTTGCTTGATTACCAAAAGGAGGGAAACTTAATAAGTGCCCCTCTGAGAAAAGAATTAGCGCCCTTCTTTCAGTAAGTGTCCCCTCTTTTCACCGCAATTTTAAATAAGCATGTGGATACTTGTTTGGGGAAATACAGTAAATAAGATTATCTTGTTTAAAGACCTGGTAATCCATGCCAGTGACACAACTTTGTAGCCTGAATTATTTTTATTCGATTGCTTTGAGTCGTTTTCTCTTTACTGAGGAAGTAATAACCACTTGAAGTAATCGGATGAAATTCAAGCTAACACCTTTGCCCATGAAGTCTATTTGAAAAATTATACCCTGATCCAGGCATTTTAGTGCAAGGTAAATAAACCTCTTATTGTCTCTATTTTGTCCTGTTTTGTGCATCATAGTGGATAACTGTGTTGCAACGACAGCATCCACCCCCACGAACCCCTCCCATACAACACCAAAGCCACACAAGGAAAGCCACACAGTGGCAATTGCTGTTGGATGTACACTGGCTGGGCTTGTTGTTATCGTTGCCATTGGCTATCTGATTGGTAGGCGTTATAGACGTAACACATCTGCTGGGTACCGCAAACTGTAACCATAGCAACATTGGAGGCTAGAAAGAAAGCTTGCAAAATTATTCAGTCTGGAGTATGCTAGTAACTTGTACACCCAATAACTATATAACAGTGAGAAGGATGTTTCATAGAGAATTGAGTCAATAATGGTAATTGCGTGCAATTTTTTTAAAATAAAACTTCCAAGTGCTTAAATTCTTTATCAGACACCCTCACAAGTGAGTAATGGTATTGTGTGAAAACCAGTGTCAATTCGTAGAGAAAATCAAAACAAAAATATAACATTTGTCGATTTTCTCTTAATGAATAATAATTATTGTTGGACAGTAATTAAGGTAAATTGGGAGACAACCTGTGATCATGTTTTCTTTTTGTATTTGACTTGCATTGTCTTAATGCAATTTGCTTTTTACTTTTTTGAGAGAAATTTTTCATTTCCCTATGTTTGTTGTTAATGCCCGACATTCAACTCTAAAAGTGGACACCCCTTTAGGTGAATCTTTGTTTACATTTTCTGCCTCATTAACATATGCTCATCATTATCTGATGAAGCTAATAAAATAAAACCTCTGAATATTGAAAGAGCAAAACAATTTCAGTTATCTCTGAAAATTTGATCCGGATATACCAAATGGTTTCGGAGAAATTCTCTTTTAAAAACTCAAAATTTTGCAAAGAATGTATGTCTCATTAACTTTTTTGCCACTCAGCAATTTTGCAGTTTTTGCTGGCTGGTATTTCCTTCAGCTCTTTCAACTTTTGAATTTAGTTCCTATAGACAGCCACGGCTTCTTTGAGTTAAGTCGTATGCTAATCAAGAAAAATGTAAACAATTACGTCAGCAAAGATTCGCCTATCAGGGGTCATTGCTGGTTTCATCTACTGCTGCCAGCCCACTTTTAATTTTGTGTCTATACAAAGCAGACAGTTCAAGCTGATTGCAAGCTTCTGCAGCCCTTTCCCTTTGGGTAGAGGGGGCCACACCTTATAGTGGTTTTCCCTGCTCAGGGACCTTTTTCAGGCGATAGGTATATAAAGTAGAGTCCTTAAGTGTGACGTCATAAAAAATTAGATTTGTGAAATAATTTCAAAAAAATCTAATTTTTTATTTAGGATTTTTGGGGGTATTATGAAAGGACAACATCCAAAAGGCCTACTTGCTAAAAAATTAGCATTCCAGGGCAAATTTTCTTTGAGATTTTGAGCCGGTTATGCTCTCATGGCCTATGCTTTTACCTGTCTATAAAATAGGTTACTCTAAAAAAAGTGTTTAGAATAAAAGTAGAAAATGTGATACTTCCTTTGTATCTCCTTTGTCATTTCAAGGGCTGGAAAGGGATGCATTGTGTTAACTGTGTAGGTACATGAAAGGGGTATATGTAACATGTAACATGAATGATAGGAGGATGTAGTTTATGAAGAGGCCCTGTTAGGATAAAATTCTGACAAGCAACGCAACCTTAAAACAACATCATAAGACTAGATGAAATAGTATGGGGTTGAATACCAACAGGGACATGGCTTACTCCAAAGGGTTAAGGATTTGGCTGTGGGGGTGGAAAAACATTGTTAGGTTCCCCTACCTCTCCACCCTGATGGCTCTGGTGTCCACTTTAAAGAGTTGGCTGTGTAGATACTTCATTTTAATTTGATAGCAACGCTCCAGATTAAAATTTAATGTCCTGCAAGCAGCAATCCCAGTCATATTGTTGAAACGCTTGCCAATTTCTTGGCCTCCTCCCCCTCAATGTTGATTTTGCAGACTTTTATGACCAAGCAAACCTGTGAGAGGGATGCGATACATGTATTAGCGGAACCACTTAGTTTATCTTGTGTTTTCCAGAAGTGTTTCAATAAAATATGACTGGTATGGGGGTCCATTGTAGGGGTGTGAGCTGCTGCTTTGAAGTTTCTCACATAAAAGCATAAATGTGACACAATACCCCAACGTGAAAGAAATCAAACATAGCGAGACTTTTGTTTGTTTGAAGTTAGAGGTGATTGATCTTTTATACTTTTTTTTAGTGGTAGTCATCATCCTAGCTTTATAGGGAAATTGGTGTAAGCTTTAAACTTAATAGTTAGCAGTATTTTGATAAAATTAACCTCTCTGGTTAATCCACTTAATAAGTCAGTGTGATCGTTTATTTGACTTTAAAAAGGATCATAGTTTCAGGGTTGTCACTAAGATTTCAAGTTGCCGGGTAAATACAACAAGTAGGCGGGGAATCAAACGGCTAGGGATTTCTTTTGGTTCTATTTTTCTTCTATTTTCCAATAAAAGTAGCCGGTGACCACTCTCTTAGTAGCCGGGGAAAATCCCCGGCCCCCAGCTCTTAATGACAACCCTGTAGTTTGGACAATTAGGTTCTTGATAGTTATTTTTGCTGATAAGCAATGTAATAGATTTTTATATATTTATTAGGCGAGTTGCTGATTGAAGTTTGAACTTAAAGTTAAAGCAAGAGAGAATGAGGTACATCATAGTACCTAGTACCTCGTAGTTCTAAGCTAATTTATATTCTTAGATTGTATGTTTTGAATAAATCTTGTTTGTTAATAATTATTTGTGTCCACTTTGAACTATTCATTGTGATTAAATGGTGAAGGTAAAGGCGCACACGAGCCAAAGGCCCAAACGGCCGAAGCTTATCCCGGTTTCCTTTAATAGCATGAAGCATACCTAGGAGTATTGCTAACCCCCTTCTGGATGGGATGCTAGTTCTTTGCATGTTTATCCCCAAGCAGTATGTACAGCTGGGTGAAGAGAGACAAAGTGGAGTAAAGTTCCTTGTCTATGGAAACAACGCGACGGGGGAGGCTTGAACCCTAGACCCCCGCATCTGGAGTAAGGTAAGAAAATTTTTGCTCTCCATTTCTTCTTACCTTTAGCATTTTGGATTTGTTTCAGGGCCTGTTTATGAAAGTTGATCCCCCCGGGGTGGGTAGGGTGGTACTCAACATTGTACTATACCGGGAGTCTCCGCCCAAACGTCCAATCCCTTACCTTTTTAGATACCACTTTTCACAGAAAAGGTACCCCTTTCCTATACCTGCTTTTCAGAAATGGCCGTAGACGTAGCGTGAGGTTTTGAAGGTGTACTCACGGGAAGAAAGTTACAGCGCTGAACGCACTCCAAACTAGGGGGGAGGGGGGTCTCTGAAACGCCATTTCCTTCGTTTTCCAGAGGACATTTTCAGTAAATAAATACAAGGGAAAATGCAGTAGCTAGTTGCTCTCCATTTCTTCTTACCTTTAGCATTTTGGATTTGTTTCAGGGCCTGTTTATGAAAGTTGATCCCCCCAGGGTGGGTAGGGTGGTACTCAACATTGTACTATACCGGGAGTCTCCGCCCAAACGTCCAACCCCTTACCTTTTTAGATACCACTTTTCACAGAAAAGGTACCCCTTTCCTATACCTGCTTTTCAGAAATGGCCGTAGACGTAGCGTGAGGTTTTGAAGGTGTACTCACGGGAAGAAAGTTACAGCGCTGAACGCACTCCAAACTAGGGGGGAGGGGGGTCTCTGAAACGCCATTTCCTTCGTTTTCCAGAGGACATTTTCAGTAAATAAATACAAGGGAAAATGCAGTAGCTAGTTGTTTATTTTCTCCATCTATATTGTTATCGGTAAGGTCGGTACGGTGTTCATAGAAAAAGGTAGCCTGTGCCAGGCTCTCAGATGGTATAGTGCGGACGTATTAAAACGAGCAAAGCGAAAATAAGACGCGCGCGACTTAGGAAAGGGGGGCGGAAGCTCTCCCCAGCCCCCGCGCATTTTTCGCATTTTTTTTTGACTGAACGACGTTTCACCACTATCTCGGATCCTGGAACAGGCTAAGAAAAAGGGTACAACAGTGACGCCATCAACGAGGTTACATACAAAGGGCGGCGAGTCGTCTACAGTCACTGACTAATTTTACTGACATCAGCTGCGTTTTGCATACATATATTCCTAATCTCAGTTGAGCGCACATTTTTTTTCCACATTATATTTCAGCCGTACGCATGGACGTATGTCCGTATACGGACGCTACGCTCCAGTCTAGTTTAAAACTTTGCATCCCTTTTGGAGTGCATCTGTTTGGGTCTTTTTACAGACCGAAATGACCGATTTTTCTTCCCTTTCAAATACTTCAACTAGTGAAATCCCCACCCTTTCATACACCTGAAGCCTGAAAAAGGTGCTATTTTTTGTCGGAGCCTCCCGATCCCTGTAATGGCCATTATAAGAGAACCTTTGCTTCTCGCCGTTACCTTAGTCTGCTACACAGCCGTTTTTAGAGTTGTCACGCAACGCTCCTCCCCTCCGTTGCGTGACGACACTAAAAACGGCTGTGTAGCAGACTACCGTTCCCTAGACTTCTCAAAAATACAATTTGATCAGTATTACAAATGAACTTTTAAATTCACTTTTTATACCCCGTCTCCTCTACGGTTCTGAGGTATGGGGAATCTATGACAAAGAAGATCTCAACACCTGGGGAAAAGATATTATTGAGAAAACTCATATCTTACTTTGTAAACAGGTAAACATATAACCCGGTAGGGTGCTCGGGTTAATTTTTACTGGGTAGGTGCCGCTGGCCTCTCAGGGCCCCTACCCCATTATAGTCTATTCTGTGGCCAAATATAGACTCCATCTTAGTCACTTTTGGGTAAATATGTAATTTCCGCGATCCCATCTTAGTCACTTTCTATTTTTATGAATTGACCCATATTTTAGATTCAAGAATTAAGAACTCTTTACTTTTTATCTTCAGAACAAACATTCTGGAAAGTTTGCTAACCATAAATATGAAGAACGGTCTTACCCTCCAAAATCCGAAAATATGTGACCCCATTCTAGTAACTCTATTGAAAATGCCACCCCATTATAGTCAATCGAGTCGTGAAAATGCGACCCCATCCAGCGGTACATCCCCATCAGCCTCCTATAAGGAAGTACCCCCCTTCCGCCCCCCGGACAAATAATGCCCAAACGTTGCTGCCAGGAATGAACTCGGTAGAACCCCATTGCCTGAACAGCCGTGACGAATTATTGGAATCCATATCCTTAGTATTTTTCCTTTCCAGTTTTTATGTTGTACGTCATTTCCGCCTCTCCCTTTTAAACAATTTTTATTGAGACATTCTCCATCTATATAATATTGTGATTCCTACATAAGTTCAGTAACATCTGTAATCCTGAAGAAGGCTGGTATGGCCAGCCGAAATATTGTTAGAAAAAAACAATACACGTTGTTTTAAATCAGCTTTGCAACACGGTAGTCTTTGGACTTCTCGTTCTCGGTAGATTATCCTTGAATTTGACTATAAATATCAATATTCTAAAAATTTTGGATCCATTTACAAAGTTGCAAGATAATTACATCGCAAAACAGTGTTTATAACTTTCAATGGATATGGCTGAGCAAAATAAGCCAACTATATATATCACAAAATGGAGTTAAAATTTGTCCAATACTGTCAATACTAAAAGCATCAAAGCAAAAAAATGAAATGGTAAACTTTTAAAGGCGATGATTGCTCTTGTATTTGCTGTCTAGTACAGACTAGTTTCAGAACTGTGCACGTACAATGCTCAATTTTTGTGCCCTTGTAAGCATGAGTGACTCGTGTTTTGTTGACAGCGAAACTAAACCAATTATTGCAGCTGATAACCATGGTTTAGAGTGTCTGCGACGCAGGCAATGCCATGTATGTAAGTGAGTACCTTTTATTGTTGTTGTTGTTGTTGTTGTTGTTTACAACAAAGGTCTTCAAAAGTCATGTGAAACTACACGTGACTCTGACGCTCAGGGCCCAGTTGCTCGAAGCATGGTTAGCGTTATCCAGCGTTTAATACCTTGACAACGTATTGGTTTTGATACTGCTTAACCATTGGTTAAAGCTAACCATGCTTTGAGCAAGTCAGCCCAGAAGTTGAATTGCAGTCGTTGATTATTAATGAAGATTTTATACTAGAAATGGAGTTAAAATTTGTCCAGTACTAAGAGGGTCTCAATGGGGTGGTGGCTTTTACGGTTATCGGCTAAAATTTTGGCTTTTTTACGGCTATCGGTTAATTTTTTTCAGTTACGCTTAACGAAAAAATTAAAAGTTAAAAATTAACTTCTTTTGTTTGAAAACGTTAAATATTAATTAACCTGTATTTTTTTGAATAAAGGTCTTCGGATCATCTCGGGATAAAAGAAGCTATTCTTTTGAAAAATTTTAACATTTAATACATTAAATCATACTTTTTATAAAGTATTCCACTTCTAATATTATTTTACACATAGAAATGTCAATAGTCAATTTAAAAATGATCTTTGTGAAAAAGCAAAAGCAGACACGCGAGCGCCCAACTCAAGGCCGGGACGCGACATTCATTATAACAGAAAAAGCCGTTTTCACACTAGAGAAGGATTATTCGTGTGAGACAGGTTATCCGTTTGATGATTCGCGTCAGATAGGTTATACGTCTTAATCTGAAAATGGAATAGTTTTAATTTTGACTGAACAATTCGCCTGACTTTTGAAGACGGGATTATCCGTTCCAGATAGCCTGTGTACAGCCGCCCCATCCCGACTCCATCCCCCAGGAAAAATCGGAGAAGGGGTGTCTGTGGGGAGGGGGCGACTGTACACAGGCTAGTCTCAGACGGATGATCCATTTCTAGCTATAGTGTCAAAACGGCCAATAACAAAATTCCCGTGTCCAGTGTTTTTAATGATAGCGAAGGACTGTACAGAACGACTGTCTGCCGTTGCCTTGTCCATAGGCCTCATTATTTCGCGCGGCTAATGGGTTTCGGGTCACGTGGTCCGAGCGAGTTCGCCACCGAAACGCCTTGACCGAGATTGCCTGGGAAGACACCGTACAGGGACTAGATATGGCAATGTCTACCGTCAGGATTTATCGGCAACGTGTTTTAAAAACAGTGACATCTCTGCGTGTTGTTTCACTAGTGTTTCGAGGGCACGACCTCCGGAAAATTGCAAATATTAATCCCCCGCAAGAAGCCACACTTTCGCTATGGAAAAAATTAATTCCCCGAGAGAGCGCCGGAAATGGAGCCTAGGTCTTGGTTAACACCTAAAAGGCGCTTCGCCTAACGTGCGTAGGGAGTCACCCTAGCCGGGAAATAAAAAACGCAACCATAAGTGAACTTAGTACCTTCCTTAAAAGTAGTAAATCTAGGGAACACTTTCTTTTACGATTAACTCTTTTTTACCCTATTTACGGCTAACGGTTAAAATTTTTCAATTTTTACGGCTATCGGCTAAATTTTTGGCCGTTTTAC